ATTGATTTCCCAAACGGATCCGTTTGATCATGATTCGCAATCGGATCGGATACGGAGCTCGCGAACTGATAGGATACGGATCAATCCGAAAAGTGTACTGCTATTTACTGAAAACGGTTGGCGTGCGGTCCGTATGCGGTTCCTATTTCAACCGCGCGCGAACGCGGAGCGTCCGTAACGGACCCGTTCGCATTTTACCTGTGACACATATTTCTACTATACTTTGTCCCTATTCATTTCAACAACCATTTCCGTATTCTTAGGCTTCTTGGTTCAAGGTACTCTCGCGTCAACGTCTGTTCTTCCTCTCTCTAACTGACCATTTATCTGAGGTTTGTCATTATCAGCTGACTATTTTCTTCTGAATTGTTTGCTCCACTACACTACATTTTTCTTCTACAACATATAGCATCTAGTGGTTCTTGATTCCTTACCTGATCTGTTGGTTATTGGCTCATCAAGAGTTAAGATTATTACTGAAAATCTGATTGTGAGTTGCAAACATTTAATTTATGTAAACAACAATCTTTCATTTCTCTCCAAAGTTCAATTTCGATATAAACCTAGGAATTCGAATTTTTAAGTGTTTAGAAAATTCTAAAAACGTATGGTTCATCGTTAGAAGTTCAACTTCTGATAGGAAAACAACTTCTGGTGGAAGGCAATTATTGCAAATAAAAATATTTGTTGAAAGTTCGGAATAATTTTTTTTTAATCCGGAATTCAAATTAATAAATTCCCTTGATATTCGGATTTAAAAAAAAGTGCGGAATCCGGAATCAAGAATCCGGAAATTTTTGTTAAGTATGATATATTGTTTGTCCTTTTTAATGGAACTTAATTTCAACATAGTTTGAAGAAGGACTCGAAAAACCGGTCGAATTTTAGGTTTTCGAAAATGCCGAAATTTTGTAGACTAATATTGGCCCAACCCTGATTGTATCACTTCTCGTTATTGACCTCATACTTCTTCAATTAGACCATGTCGACCAATGTTTATTTTACTTTTATTCTTTATCAAAACATTTTTTGACCTGGAACATCAAAGTTCAATTCGAACCATTCATTTCCCATTCTAAACACCTTGTCCCCATTGTATCGCATCAAAGGAGAAAGTCAAAAAAAAGAAATGATAAGAGAAATTGGAGAACTTTGTCCGAATTCTGATGATTTATTTGACAAGAAGACTGACGACAATGATAAAGAAAGAAATCAAACATGACTACAATTTTCCGATTCCTATCAGTCGCTCTAACCATCCACGCTTTTCTCCTCCGTGACGTCCAGATGGTGTCGGAATTCTGGAGTCTGGTGGTGACGTCGTCATTCGTGGTATTGAAGTGGGTGGATCCAAAGCCCGATTACGAAGGATCGAAGATGCTGGTGGTTCACGGTTGACTCCTCCATTCTCTACTGTCCTCTATAGTTCACGAACTCTTTTTCATTACCCTTTTCAAAAATCCGAAAACTCACAAATCTCGAAAGCTGAGCAGATGGCTGTTTGAGTCTGCTAACAGGTTGTGACCTCTGAATCTTGCTTTGTCTCCTTTCCACACCTTCCCCATGTTCTCTTCGTTCTCTTCGTTCTTCTCTGTCGTGCAGAGAATCTACAGTATTCCTACTCTCTGCAGAGAATGCTCTTTCCAATTTTCGTACTCTTCCCATTTGAGGAATACTTGCTGGAACGATGTTGGCAGTTGTTCCTTCTGGCACAATATCATAAGCATTTCCCCTGACTGGAATGATAATTTTTCTGGTGAAGACGGGAGTATTATGAGGACTGTGAACATTATTCGAAACATCTTGAGATGCCGTCACTGTAGTCGTATTCATGAATCTCTGCGGTGGTTCGTAAGCATTGTATCCATGATCAATGCTATTTGTCTTCATGAATTTGATACTTCTCCTTGTTTCTTCATTTCTTCGAATCCTTCTTTCTTCTGTTTCCACCAGACTAATCGGTCTTCTATTACTCGGTACTTCTCTTGTAACCCGATCTCTCATCAAATTCGAATTCGAAATTCCAGATGGACCTCTTCTGATCGTCGGCCGATTGTTGCCATTCATTTCTCTTATCATCGTCTCTATCCGATTAGTTGCTCTTCTTTCTGGCACTCCAGAGTTTGCAGCGAGTTCTATTGAAACGTCTGAAATTACGTCGTAATTTCAAAACCGACAATTGAACGATCAAACCTTTCGAGTAGGAGAATAACTTTAAGAATTCTTCTTCGATGTTTCTGTCGCTGCCAACTATCGAATTCTTTTTCACAGTTCGTCTTGAGTTTTCCACTCGAGACCCATGCAGTTTCAGTGGCAAGTAGAAACTCAAGTTTTGCCGAACCTGAAGGTATTTTTTTTATTGTCGCAATGATTTCTGACTTACATTTCGATCGGTACTGCTGTGTCCATGGAACGAAGATGGTCGTTTCTGACGTTTTCCTCGAAGAGTTTGCATTATTTTGAGCCTTTCTAATTGAGCAAGACTGACGAGATGAGAAGATTGAGAAACAATAAGGTCAATCTAAAAACTTAATTTTGAATTTGCAGAAATAAAGAATTCAAAAACCTGTGCTCTACTCGCTTCATTCGCTTTTTCAATCATTGCCCATCTAGCTTCATTTAGTCTCCGAACAACTGAATGCGTAAATGCGTATAAAGCTTCATAGGTGGGCAAATTCTCAAGCCGTCTCTTCATATTCATCTCATCGACTCCGATTTCCATAAGACTTGAATGAATCACTCTCATATGCTCCCTCTGAAGATTTTCGAGTTTTTCTAGACAATTCTGATGAGCATCTTTCTCGTGGCAACTGGAGTTTAGAGCCATTTGATGAGCAGTAGCAGCTTCAAGTTTTGCATTTTGCATCTGATTTTCGAATATTCGAAGTCGTTCCTCGATCTTTTTTATCCAAACAGTTGCACTTTTTTCCATTCTTTCATCCAGTGTTAGCCTGTCGAGAGCTTCTGATAAAGCACATTTTCTGCTCAATGTGTTCACTTGCATCTCCACTTTATGGAGTTGACACTGTAGTTTACTTTGCTGTTGACTCTTTTCTCTCAACTGCTCCACTAGACGAAGGTTTCTCATTTTCATTTCTTCGATTTCAGCCATTAAATTATCTTTCTCATGCTGCCAATGAGTTTCCTTGCTAACACGATACATATCCTCTACAAAAATATCTTTCATTTAAAAAAAAATGTCTACCTCTTACTCTTACCATGTTTATAATTATTCACATTCAGAGTTGACGCTGTCTTTCTTTGCCTGATCTGTCGAAGACAATCTGAATCCTCACTGTCATCTCTCCGATAGTAACTTGCTGGTCGAGGTGGTTTATTGGCAACACGAGAACAATGATCTTCCATATTCACATACATTCCAGAAGATTCAGAATCATTGCCGTTCCCAGAAATCTTCCTACGACGTTTCTTGATTACTTGCTTCAACGACGTCGTTTTCGAATAGGAAGTTGGTTGTGGAATGTGTGTGGAACGACGACGGAGACCGAGAAGATCAAGGAACGATGATCGACTTGTGACTGAAAGATTTGTAGGAATTTTGACAAAAAATCAGTTCAACTTACTCATAGTCTCTGACGGATCTCTGGATGAGGATGCAGATGATGGAGACGTGCATGCCGACGTTGAATGATCATTTTGATGACGTGGAACATTCACAGAATCACATCTTCTAGTTGTGTCTCTGCTTCTATGATCATCTTCATCGAATACCTGATCGTCGATTTCACTGTCACTCAATTCAGGTCGAACGATTGGTGGTGCTCCACTTCTACCATAGGATACGTCAGTAGAAGTTGTCATCGAATTGCTATTTTCTTTCCGTGGTGGGGTTGATAACCTCTCTCTTGCTCCATTTCGTATTTCCATTGAATCAGATGAACGATTCGAACGACGAAGTTTTGGAAAAATCGACGAACCACGTTGTTCAAACATTGCAGACATCCGTTGAACAACATTTTTCGAATTTCTAGGTGCTGGCACCAAACGAGTCTTCAATCGACGATTTTCAGTTCGCAGGGAGCCGATTTCATCTACCAAGGAACATAAAACAGCTGGAAAAATTGTAAAATAAGTAATGTCGAAAACTGCGATAACTCACAAAGAATAGGAGGTCCTTCATCTGGTTCTTGAACCATGTCATTCTCGTTTTCTTGAGACTGTTCCATCATTTGTTCCAGCTCTCTGACGAACTCTTCCTCTTCTGATTCATATCTGAATGTTTGTTTCTCAGAGAATGAACGAGATCTATTATGTTTTCAGTCTATCGTAAAACCTTTAATAGAAGGGTCTTCACACTGTTACTTATGAGTTCAATTACCGTATTTTCTCTAATAGTTCTGTTGTTTTCAGTTCATGGTAATTTACTGAGAATGAGGTTGAAAAATACAATCTCTTGGGGTTCAATTTGAGAAAATGCAAACCGAGATAAAATGGTGTAAGATTAGGGGACCTTTCTATTGCAGGTGCTACAGTAATCGTAAGTTTGCAAAGGCATTACTAGGAACAAGATCTTGAAAATTTCTGAAAGTGAACATTTAAAAAACTGTCAAACCTGAGAATAATGTCTCGAACAGAATAGCCATTCGGATGCTGAGTGGACATTATTCACTGGATGATGTTCGTCTAGCCGCAAAGATCGAATGAATAAAATGAAACCAGTTAGCCAGAAGAAGAAGAAGATATTCATCGGATCTCTATAGGTGTAATTGAGCAGTTGGTTGATAGGGGCACACCGTCAAAACACGAGCACTTTGTAACATTTAAAGTGATTCGAAGAAGAGGGAAAAGGGGGTCAGGTTTCCGACTGTTTTCAAAGTATTTCCAAGTTATTGCATTCTCCAGGAATTAGAAAAAGGGCAAAGAGATTACAAGTTTATTGAGGGAACAGTAAAATTTACAAAAATGTTCATGATGGAAAAAAAAAACTGTTCAGATTGAGAAATGATTTATTGGTGTTTGCGTTTTGATTGCTTTCCTTCTCCGTTTCTGGTTCCATTGCCTTTGTGATCAAAGAGACTGTTGATATGGAAGATGGTTGGAATCTCTTGTGGATACGTCTTTTTGAGCTCATCGATCTTTTCGTCGCGTTGAGTTTTAGTCAAACTGAGATCAGCATTCACTTTATCCACTTCGACTTTAGCTTCAGCGAGACGTTCGATGACAGCGGAAATGTTCTTGCTGCGTTGTTCTTTATGGAGTTGGAGGTTTTTATAGAATTCAGCGTATTGTTCCTGAAGAAGAAAAGAATGGCTATTGATAAGAAGAAAAGCAAAAACTCACTGTCAAGTTGTTGGCCTCTGCCCATTTCACAAGTTTATCCTCCTTCTGTTGGAACGAGATTCCTGGATTCTTGGAGATTCCGAAGAAAGAGCTGCGTTGAGCATTCGTGAGATTTCTTACGAAAGCTGGTTCCTCTCCTTTTTGGTGATTTTTGTGTTTGGAATCGACTGTTCCAGAAGCAAGAAGGAATACAACAAGAATGGAGAGGCGAAGATACATTTTCTGTAAAAAGAAAATTCGAAAAAAAAAGAAAGTTGGGGAACAAGAACGACGAGCCAAAACGAAGAAGAAGAAGATATGAAAGGAATGGGAGGGGCTCTTTTATGAGTTTCTTTCACTTTTTTTCGAAAAAAAAGATGCAAAATGTTGGAGAGTTGAGGAAGAGGAAAATAGAATAACAGACAAGAAGGGGAAGGAGTTCTGTTTTGTTTTGAGGGATGTTTCAGTTAAAACATGAACTGGATTTCGAAATATAGAGAAATATAATACTTCCTGCTGGATTCAGATTAAACATGGTTGATCCCTTGGTCTAAAGATTGGATATATACAAACAGACGATAGATGGCTCTGGAAAATAATGAATAGGTATGTAATCCGGGTGTACTAGGACTAAAATTTTTGATTTTGTCAAAGAAAAATTATTGGATATTTATTGTTTTGAATGAATCACAAAATCAAACAACACCGAATAATCGATAGGTGGTTTGATTCTGGAAAATACTGTATGGTTATAAAATCGAGGTTTACCCCTAAGCGGTCGGCTTGTAACTTCTGGTCGGAAATTGCCAAAAAACGGATGTACAGTGGGCCATAGTCAGATTTTGTTCAGATGTTGAAAATTAAAATACTCCTATGTCAGAACCTTGTCATGAGTTGATCGGAGTTTAATCAGCCTTTGTTAGGCTCTTATCCGGAATCGGACCAATTGCTAACCAGAAGTTTCCGTCGACGCCCGAGTAGGACTAAAAATTTTTGATTTCGTCATAGAAAATGTTCAAACTAAGAAAAAAGGAAAATGATGAAATCCGCACAGAATACATAAAAATTATCGAATATTTGGTGTTTTGAATGAGTCAAAAAATCAAAAAACACAAAAAAAATCAATAGGAGGTTTGAGAGGGGAATAGACCAGCCAACCTGTGTTCGTCACACGATAATAAGTGGTGGGGTTGACGAAGAGTGCCCCCTCCACTCTCCTTCTTTACAAGTAATTACAAGATGACCTTCCCTTCAAAATATCTATTCAGCTCATGTCAATGCATCTGTCATTGTTGTGATGAGCGAATGGAAAACGGAGATGGACGGCTATTTGAAATAACCACCCTCTTACTTGTCTATTTAGGAACGGTTGTTTTTTGTTAATTCGATATGTAAACTTGAAAAAAGCGGAAGTACAATATTCTAACTTTTCCGGTGGATAGACCGATACAATTTTGAGAATCTTGAAAAAAGTACTTTGTCACAGTTTATAGAGCAACAGAGAGACAAACGAGACGCAGAGAAAAGATCAGACAATGGATTGTTTGTTTGAGACGTCATCCTGAGGATTGAAGAGACGACGAATGAACAGAAGGGTTGGGATTTCCTAAAGGGAAAAATATGAATTGGTTTTTCAGTCGTCCATAAATCAATCACTTTTGAATATTGCTCAGCCAGCTCATTCACTTCCTCTCTTTGTTCTTCGATGCTCAAGGTGTCGTTTTGAAGAATTTTGAACATTTGAGAGTTTACGAGAGACAACTCAGAAATCAACTGAGTGACGTTCTTCTCCATTTCACTTTTGACCGAACTTTGTTGAGCTTCATAATTCGAGTATTGGGTCTATGAATTTGAAAACGTTTGGCCAGATTTAAACTGATTGACTTACTGTAACTTTATAAGTTGTTGCCCATTTTTGGAATTCGGCAGTTTTTGTGTTGATCGGAATTGTTTCATTCTCCAAGATCACTTTGTAGTCATATTGAGCCTTGAGAGACAGAGATGATAAAAAATCAGGGACTGGTTTGGAGAAACGAATGAATCCGATATGGTTGTGAACTTGTATGGCAAATACGACAGGAAGAATTATGAAAAGAATGAGATAATTCATTCTAGAAATCGTTAACAAAACTAGGAAGAATGATTCAGAAAAAGAGACTTGAGCAGGTGATTATTGAGTTTTTTCGCAGAAGTTTGTTGTGGTTGTCCTGGAGAAACAAAGAATGTGATTAACTTGGAAGCTGAAAATTTTGAAACTGATATTTGAAGTGTGTAGTCACGAAAAATCGAAAAACTACTAGATATTTATATAAATATCTAGTAGTTACTACTAGATATTTATATATCCGAGGAAATTATGAAACATGTAAACATTTTTAACAACAGTGTAGTATAAAATGTCGTTTATCATTTTAGAAAGTAAATCACAGGTAAAGGGGCACTGCCAAAAACATGTTAAATGACACCGGCAGAGGCTCAATCTGGCGAATGACTGCTAGTCGGCAGCCGAAGGAGAACCAACGGGCCGTCGACGGACTATTGACGGACAATAGGAACTCCTTGGAAAACCGGCTTGAAATTCTTGGTTGGAAATCAGCCAGAAATCAAAATTGTTTATACTTTTACTAGATTAAAAATGATGGTAGAAACTATGTTTCCTCAGATCGGACCACTCCAAACAACAGTTTGTTGAATGACTGCTTAATGTCAGTCGAAGGGCGCTGACTGGTAGATGAACGCTGGTTGGCGGATCAAATTTCTGCAGAATCGAAAACTTGGTAAACAATTACTTTTGAAATTATCACAGTATAAAATCCTAGAAGATTCTGGAAATGTTAAAATAACATTATTAAGAGTTTTTCTGCAAAAATTAGAACCGGAGGCTCGGTTGGTGAAAAGCGGCTAAAGTCGAAGAGACGCTGACTGGTTAATGGCGGCTGAGTAAAACAAAAGCTGTAAAGGTTGGTGGTCTAAACAGAAAATTAATATTCTATACAGTTTACTGACTATTGTAATAAGAATAGTTCATATTTCATCGAGATCGCTTGCTCATTTTTGCACTCAGTCTTTAATTAGTTTGGATTGCATCTATTCGTTAAATTTGGTATCGTTGGAATTTAGGTTGCAAAGACAGATATCTATGATTTTTGATAATCCGACTTATTATATCGTATTTTACTTTTTGAAACAAAATTGCCGACTAATTAAAAACCACCGATTTGCCCTCTTTGTTTCCGCTTTGCACTCATACAGCAATGACCAAATCATACGGTCGAATGTATATGAAAATCACAGTTTTTTTCCACTAGAAACATACAACAAACCGATTCAAATTTATTTTATGTTCAACAGGGATTAACGCCCCCAGAAATCGGATTTTGGGTAAAATCCGTTTCCATCCACTACTTGAAAACGGTTTTCCCCTATTTTACTCAACTTTTTTAGTTCATTCACTGGTTTTTGTACTCCTTCCAAACCATCAAAATCATGAGGAATCTGATATTTTTGGCCGTTTTGGCTTCCTCTGTTTGCTCATTGAGTTTCTGGGAAAAGGCACAAGGATATCTATCGTAAGGTTTAACGCATGTGTTTTTTATCTTCATTAATTTTTTTTCAGTGGAAATGAAGCAGCCAATGCAAGTGCTGGGGAATCAGGATCAGCAGCAACGTCCAATTTCTGGGCAGGAATTCAGAATTCTTCATTCGGACAATCTGTTCAAGGAGGAATCAATCTCTAGTGAGCTAGTATAAATAGAAAATTCCCAAAATTCCAATTTCAGCAATCAAGCCAAAAACAATAGCGGATCCAACAACTGGCAAAAGTTAGCATAAAAGTTGCTCTGTTTTTATATTTTTCAAATTTTTTCAGAGCTCTCGCCAACTCTTCCCTTGGAAACTATTACCAACAAGGAGTGAACTTTTTGTGAGTTTTGTCCCCAACTTGGATTTTCAAATCTCTTATAATTTCAGCTCAGGAAATGGAAGTACCAGTTTCATTGACACTGCTGCAATTCAACAGTTAACATCCATCAATTTTCCAGAAATCACAGCGTTCTTTTTTTCAGATCTATCGGAAACTCGTCATTCGGTGAAGCTGTACAAAGTGGAATCGATTTCTAGTATGTTTAAAATGTTTTTTCTGGAATTCAAATGAAATCATTGTTTAGCAATAACTTGAAAAACGGACCAACACCATGGTCGGGTAGCGCATCTGACGTCATCGGCAGCTTTGTTCCATTCCTTGCCAATGCCTCCACTGAAGCAAAGACTGAATTCTATGCAATTCTTCCAAAGGTTGGAAACATGACGATCAATGAATTCGAAACCGCTGTTGATGAATGGGCAGCCAAGTATGGATTGACTCAAGAAGTTGAGGCATTCAACCAAAGAAAGGAAAATGAGACTGCTGCCGCTGAGGCTCATGCCAATGATGTTGTCATGAATCTTCCAAACGTTATCAACAATTTGAAGGCTATCCGTGCTGATAAGAATCAGACAGCCATGGAAATGCACTCGAGAATGATGACTTATATAAACTCGTTGGATGACGATACCCAAGAAGTAATATAGATTTCAGAACGATTGATAATAGAACCCAAAATTTCAGATCGTCTTCGTCTTCTTCAAAAGTTTCCTTCCACCACAATTTACCAAACCAAGATGTGTTGACAACGGAAACTTTTTGACCAACATGTACCAAAAAGCTTCTGAATTCTTCGGAGGAAACAACAGCACCATGGGATCAGGAAATGGAAATGGAAATGGAATGATGGGAGGGAATGGAAACATGTTTGGAAGTATTGGATCTCTGTTTTCCTCATTCAATAAAAATGGTAACGGAAACGGAACAGACAAGCCACACCCAATGCTTGGAATGCTTAGCAACTTCATGAACGTAAACATGTTAGAAGAAGCTCTGTAATTTCTCAAGTTTTCAGAAAAATAACATCAGTGAAAACCAAGCAAACGCCGTGATGAATGGAGTTCAGCATGATGAAGGATTTGCTTCAATCCAGATTCTTCCGGTTGCCCAAGCGGACATCGGTCGTCCGATACTCTCTGGAGAAGGGGATTTCAGTTTACAAATCGTCGAACAGGCCGAAGCAACCACGAAAAAGAACAAAAAACAGCAACAACAGGTCAACAAGAATAAAAATAAGAAGAAGACGACAGTCGCCCCGATCGCTGATGCCAACGTCGCATTGGAAGTAAATGCACAAGTCCTTTAGAATCAATTTTGAATGAATAAATACATTCAGAATGTTATATTAAAAGTATATGTGTCTTTTCATGAATAACAATTCTCGGCAATGACGGATGGTGTTTTCGTTCTTTGTCCATTTCGAATGATAATAATGTTATAAGTTTGTATAAAAAGTTATGCACGAAGTGGGATTCGAACCCACGCACCCATACGAGTACCAGAACACCCAGAGAACCTCGAACTCGAGGCAAGACGCAATTCGCTTGAGTCTGGCGCCTTAGACCACTCGGCCATCCGTGCGTGAGTGGGTTTGTTTCGTTTGGCGTACACATTTCTCGTTTTTCTTGTTCTCCCACAGACTATAGTTGTGTACATCACTACTGTGTCATCACTGGAAAACACGAACAAAGTGGCTCCCTTGTTTTCTCTAATATTTCTGTCACCATTCGAAAAAAAAATTTCGAATTTTTCAGAGAAAAAAAAGTACGGCAATTTGCATAACTCCGTTTTCAGAGAATAATCCGTAATTTTTTTCTTGTGACAGTTCGGTTGTCTCGATTTTCCATTCTTTTTGGCATATCAATGATCGGGAGTATTAGAAACCGGATTTTTTTAGTCAGTCGTGACTATAATAGTGAAACAAATTGACTGAAAATGCACGAAAATCTAGATAATAAATCCGAAAAATAAAAATATTTTTAGGTTACTGTAGTTGTCGTTGTGGGACCGGCGGCCACGGCCACCGGCGTTTCTCTTCCACAGCTCCTATTTTTTGTACTAACCTAATATGAAAACTTGTGTCTCTCCTCGGAATGTATAGTTTTATTTTCTGCAACTCAGAAATCCAGATTGCAGTGGTTTGATAGTTGGTTTTGGCTTACCCGGTCTCCAGTCCCCATAAAAATGACGTGAGGTAATATACCAGTCTTCAAAAAGAGACCCTCTCCACCATACTCCCTGTAAAATTCACTTGTTCAATACATCTTCTCGCTTTCAAATCTACATATCACATGAATTTACACCCTAATTGATGACTCACTTCCTCTCCTTTTTTTTATAAAATCGTCTTTTATTTCGTAACCGGTTCAAAAAGATTCGCGTTTCAATTTCAGAACATGTCCTCTCTACTGTTCGTCTTTTTCCTCATTTGCTATGCTACCGCTGACAAAATCGAGGAATCGAATTCAGATGGATATCAGGTTAGTGATAAAAAATATAACATTTGAAATCTAATGAGAAACATTAATGTTCGTTACGGCTAATCTGGGGAGCGTCATTTTTGATTCTGGTCACCTTGGATCACTTTCTGATGAAATTTTGGTCAACCAATGAGTACTGTGGGCCTACGTAAGGAAAGTTTGGACACTTCGGCTAACCTAGGGATCATCATAATCCCCAAGACATGAGACCGTCTACCCAACCCATGCCTTAGGGAGCTACGCGGCCTAATTTTATGATCTCGTGCCCATTCGTAGACGTTAACGAAATTTCGATTGAATAAATTAGCACTCGAAATCTTGTCCTGACACCGATTTTTGAAATTTAAAACAGGTTTTCAACAATCATTGGATGGAAACAATATCCTTTTGGGAGAAAAGTTTCGCTAAAATAACCATACTCCTGCAAGAATAGAGATTCGTATTTGCCATTTTTAATTATCTGAAAAGACAAAAATCGGAGAGTACATTGATCGTATACACGCTATCACTAGCAGATAAGAACGCCTTTTTCCGTTAGCCGCTTTTTCTTTCCTCCGATTTTTTTCACTTTTCTCCGAATGATAAATTACAAAACAAGTGTGGTTTGTCTCTTAGAGATAGAATGACGCCATCCGCTTGGTTCTTTTCCCATTAAGCCGTTTCCAGTTCTAGTTCAAACTTCTAATTTCCCATATTATTCAAAAATAGGACACGACCTTCCAATGCTATCAAAGGAGATATAATTTCATTTGAATTGGCCTGATTCAATTTCAAGTCTGCGTTTATTTTAATTCTCCTCCTTCGCTTCTTCTCCTCGCGAACAATACCCTCGTCATTTTCTTGTTGCGGCTTCATCTTCCATCCACCAATCATCTACATTTATCATTTTTCTCCCTTCTCCGTACACCGCGCACCAAAACCAAAGACCAAAAGGTTCTATTTCTGCAATAGTATAAAGCTGCTTTTGAATCAGAACCGGCCATTTAGGTTCCTCTAATGGGTCATGAGTACGATATAGAAGAGGTCTGATATTCCTCTTATAGTTTCTTCAAACTAACAATTTTTCTTTTAGTTATTCACATGGAAATGGGACGATGTTCACCATGTTTATGTCATTACGGTATGGCTCCTCATCGCCTCGCTAGCTAAAATTTGTAAGTTTTTTTCCAAGCATTACTGTAAACACTTAAACAGAACGCTACCCAAACCGTCAACTTTGAGCCCATGTATCGAATTTCTTGTAAGAGACATCAAAAAGTGATAGACTGATAAAATGTTGCTATTATTATGATAAAAAAATTTGTCAATTGATCACTTTTTGGTAACTTATGCGGGAGATGAGATACATGAGCTCAAAGTGGACGGTTTAGGTGACATTTTATTAGAGTGCTTAAGGTAACATTACACTCTTTTCAATTCCAAAGTTTCAGTATTCAACTTAATGAAACCAATTTCAAAATGGCTACCAGATTCCTCACTTCTTATCATTGTCGGTTTGGCACTCGGATGGGTACTCCATCAGACAACATTGAGTGGAGCTACATTAGACTCTCATACTTTCTTCCTTTATCTTCTTCCACCTATCATTTTCGACGCGGGTAAAGAAACCATCTTCAAAAAACTTAACTGATAACTTCAATTTAAGGTTACTTTATGCCAAATAGAGCTTTATTCGAAAACTTCGACTCAGTTCTTGTGTTCTCAGTGTTTGGTACCATTTGGAATACATTTGCCATTGGTGGATCACTTCTTCTTATGGCTCAATACGATCTCTTTACAATGTCTTTCACTACATTTGAGATACTCGTTTTCTCTGCGCTTATTTCTGCAGTTGATCCTGTTGCTGTTATTGCAGTTTTTGAGGAAATTCATGTCAATGAATTCCTTTTCATCAATGTATTCGGAGAAGCACTATTTAATGATGGTGTTACTGTGGTAAGCAGAAGTTTAGAGTACGACTAATTCGAGAAAAAAAAATTTCACAGGTTTTATACCAAATGTTCAAGAGCTTCGCATTAATTGGATCTGAGAATTTATCAGTTTTGGATTATGCAACTGGGGGATTATCATTCTTTGTTGTTGCTTTGGGTGGAGCTGCAGTTGGAGTCATTTTTGCAATTGCAGCAAGTTTGACAACAAAGTAACTTGAAAATATCAAAGGATTTTAAAAGGAAGTTGTTCTTTTACAGATACACATACGATGTCAGAATTCTTGCACCTGTGTTCATCTTTGTGCTACCATACATGGCATATCTAACTGCTGAGATGGTTTCACTTTCTTCGATCATCGCGTAAGTGTTACACTGGTTTCAACTAGAACGAAAAAAATTTTCCTCAATGTTTTGTTTTCGGTTTAGAAATGCTTTCGCATATTTGTGAACCAGTCCCTGGTAGCCCTCCTCGAGCCCTGTCGTAGTTTCTTTTGGGATCAGTATTTTTGGACTAACTTAATTTCATATCAGAACTCAAATGATATATTTTTGTAGTACTCGTCGAGTTCTATCATATTTAGTTTAGCTGGTCCAAAAATATTGATTCTAAAAGAAAAAAGGTAGGACCCGGTTTACAAGTATGGCTTTTTGTATTCATCATCATTACAAACTTTTACAATTTCAGAATCGCAATATGCGGAATGCTAATGAAACAATATATCAAAGGAAACATTACCCAAGCAGCTGCAAATTCTGTGAAATACTTTACCAAAATGCTTGCTCAATGCTCCGAAACTGTAATTTTCATGTTCCTTGGTCTATCCACAATTTCATCTCAACATCATTTCGATCTATGGTTCATCTGTGCCACTCTTTTCTTCTGTTTGATCTACCGTGCCATCGGAATCGTTGTTCAATGCTACATTTTGAATCGCTTCCGTGCCAAAAAATTCGAAGTTGTTGATCAATTCATTATGTCTTATGGTGGCCTTCGTGGAGCCATTGCATATGGTCTTGTGGTTTCCATTCCCGCATCAATAACTGCTAAACCAATGTTCATCACAGCCACAATTGCAGTCATCTACTTTACAGTATTCCTTCAAGGAATCACTATTAAACCATTAGTAAACTTGTTGAAAGTGAAGAGAAAGGAGGAGAGAGATCCAACAATGGTTGAAAGTGTTTACAACAAGTACTTGGACTATATGATGTCAGGTGTTGAAGATATTGCCGGTCAGAAAGGACATTATACTTTTATTGAAAAGTAAGTTCAACTGAAAAATATCTTTTGTTTACATCTTATTATTTCTAGTTTTGAAAGATTCAATGCAAAAGTTATCAAACCTGTTTTGATGAGACATCAAAAAAGAGAAAGCTTTGATGCTTCTTCAATTGTTCGTGCTTACGAGAAAATTACACTTGAAGATGCGATCAAGTTGGCAAAAGTTAAGAATACTATCCAGAATAAGAGACTAGAAAGAATAAAGAGTGAGAACAAGGTAGCACCAATTCTCCCGGATAAAATTTCGAATCAAACAACGATGACACCTAAAGATCTCCAATTGAAAAAGGTAAATCAAAGAATTTCATAATTATATAAAAAAATGAATGTATTGAATTTCAGTTCATGGAATCTGGGGAGAACATCGATTCCTTGTACACTTTGTTCAGTGATTTGTTGGATAGGAAGCTACATGAAATGAACACAACGCCAGCTCAAAAGAAGGAAGTTGAGGGTGAAGACGATATTCAGGATGACTACATGGCTGAAGTGGTAAGTTTTTGTTTAATATTTGGCCCATAAGGAAAAGTTTTCCTAAATCTCGAAAAAACGAATCCCCAAAAATAGTATTATCGTAAAACCTGTAATAGAAGAGTCCTCTAACTTTGAACTTTGAGTCAATTTACCGTATTTTTTCTAATAGAACCCCACCTCTATTTGAAGCCCACTTCTAATAGAAGCCCACCCTGGCTGTGCATTTTTCTTTTTGTTTAGTGCATACATATTTTTTTTGTTTATTTTTCTGGTAATTCCCGTTAATTCTTGTCAGTTCAGTTAAAAACCGAAAACCCTCTAATTTGAGAGTTTTCTCTAAAATTTGTTCATCCCCAGAAGGAAGTTAACAAATAGAAGCCCATGGGCCTCTAATAGAGGAAATAAGGTATCTCAATACCTGTCAATGATATAATAAAGCTGTCATCTGATAAGTTGTTCATCATAACATCAGAAGTTTTTGTCAGTTATCACTTTTTGGTATCTTGCATGGGAACCGATATAAGTTAGCTGAAACTTGTCAGTGTAGGTGCCATTCTATTACAGGTTTTACTAAAGCCATTGAAATCAGACCAGAGTATATCTAATTTTTTTTTGATTTTGGATTTCCATGCAACTTATTCACTCACTTTTTCAAAAGACAGAAACTTAATCAATTTTAGTTTTTTTTTCGTTTATCTTATTCTCAACACCATTACCATCGAACTGCTGACATCATTTTTTTCCTTGAAGGGATCACGCTCAAACCTTTCGGCAATGTTCCGAAGTGCTGAACAACTGCCATCAGAAGCAGCATTTCATCGAGGAAGAAGACAATCGACCGGAGATTTGAATGCAACGAAAAGAGCCGATTTCGATGTTTGAAATTGTTTTTAAACTTTAAATTCGAAATTTAATTTGTTAAACTTTTGAACACAGATTTTCAAAAACGACTAATAAATTATGTATATTTTGCAGAACACAACTTCTAATTGAATTTCTAATTAGCTGTTTTTTGTTTTGAAAGAATTCCGAATTACTCCGATACTAATGATAAGACCCAAGAACATAGAGCCAGCGGTTTGGGGAGAGACTCAGACACTCACTTTCAAAAAACATCCAGCATACTCTTTATTTCCCTTTTTCTCTCTTCATTTTTTGTTTCCGTCATTTTCCCCACTTCACACTGGTGAGACTAGCCTGTTACACTGGCCGAAAGGTATGCTCAGGAGAAAAATGAGAGAGCAAAGGAAATGAAGAGACACGAATTGTACCAATACCGACACAGATATATATCTTTCGATCATGGTTTTCTCATCCGATTCATCTTTTTTTCTCTCATCTGAAAAGAAATTTAAAGGTGGTCCGATTTTATTTCGAACTCAAATTGTTATCCTTGTTTTACTTTGGAAAACTCTTTTTTAAAGATTTTAAGATGTCTGGTGGGAAACAACTCTGAAAAGGAAACATCAACTTTCATTTCCTGATTCCAAAGGAATGTGATTTTTTCATCTCAAAAGAATCTTCAAAGATTCGCAGGATTCAAAAAACAAAAGAAAATGGGGTGGAGCTGACAAGAAATGTCAACAGTTGGTACAAAGTTCACATAACACTTTTCATATCTTCTTCGGTGTTTTTCGTTCTTTTGCTGTCTTCAGAACGTTTTGAACCTAACTTTTTTAATGGGTAATTTTACGACTTTCCTTTCCTTTAGAACAAACATCAAAACATTATCCTTGTCAAGACCAAACCTCCTTTTTCAAAATCAGTCGGCATTCAGTAGACTTTCTTGAATCTGTATCGCTGTTGACCGCGAATCAATCACGTAATATAAGTTATCGTTCAATCATTAATCACTTCTCTTCACCCGATTCATTTTTTATCATCATCATTTGCTGTATTCTGTATCCTTTTTTGAATTTTGTGTTCTTTACAGAATGTCTCGAGATGTTTCTCTTCATTGGTTAGATTATGCAATTTTCGGTTTAAGTATTGGATTATCATTGAGTACGGGTGTCTATCATGCAATTAAGTGAGTTCTTTTTTCTACCTGTAATCAAAACTGTGCCACGGCCGGCCGCGGCCAGCCGCGGCTTTTTAAAAGAATTGTTTCATGAGAAAACGTAGATATTTTTTTTTTGAAAAGTGGGACAAAAAAAATAAAGGAATTCTTCAAAAACTAATTGATTTTCACTTCACGCGTTTTATAAGGCTAGCCGCGGCTTTTCACGGCTTTCAAACAAAATCCGCGGCCGGCCGCCTTTTTGCACAGCCTTGCCTGTAATAGAAGGGCCCCTATATTTTAAATTTAATTCAATTTATGTCGGTTCCCGTCAAAGATATCAAAGAGTTATGAACTGATAACGTTTTGTTATTATGTCAGAACTGTTTTGTCAGTTGACACATTTTTGATATCTTGTTTAGGAGCCAAGAAAAATGAGCTCAAACTTGTCATTGCAGGGGCCCTTCTATTACAGGTTTTACGGTGTATTCACTAATCATGGCCCTTTCAGTAGCCGTATAATTCTCCGAAGAGGAGATAGAACAGCAAAAGAAGAATATCTAATGGGCGGCCGTCAACTTCCCCCACTTCCTGTTGCTCTTTCTCTCTTGACCACATTCCTCTCTGGAATTTTGATGCTTGGAGTTCCGGCTGAAATGTTCCAAAGAGGTGCTCAAATCTGGCTCAACTTCGTCATTGGAGTGGCCTCATCAATCGTCACGTGCTTCGTTTTTCTCCCAGTTTTCCACAAAATGAAGAGCACATGTCTTCATGAGTACTTCATCCATCGGTGGGTCATTCGATCATCTGATCCATCATAGGAAACAATGGTTTCAGATACAACTCAATCCTTATTCGTCGTCTGTTTTCTCTTTTGTTCCTTTTATTCACGATAGTCTACATGTCAGTTGTTCTTTATGCTCCATCAGTTGCACTTTCTCCAGTTCTTCAAATTAACAAATGGTATCTTGTTTTGGTTGGTTTTCATCATTCTTCTTCTTTTTCGAACACCACACATCACTTTTTAATTTCAGATATTCGGATGTACAACCACATTGTACACATGTCTGGGTGGACTGAAAGCTGTTGTGTGGACCGACTCTTTGCAAGCTGTTATTATGTATTCAGGAGTGTTCACTCTCATTTACAAAGGATTGTCTCATCCACGAGTTGGAGGACTAGAACGGGTTACGAGTATTGCATTTGACAGTGGAAGAATAGAGGAATTAGCAAGAATGGATTGGAGAATCGATCAGTACAATAGTCTCTGGATCAATCTTTTTTCTGGGACTATTGTCTGGTTAGCATCATTTGGGGTCAATCAATTGGCAATTCAAAGATATGCTAGTCTTCCGAATCTGAAAGTAGCACAAAGCATCATCCTGTACACTCTTGCTCCGTTCACAGTTCTTTGCTCAATCGTTGCTTTCGTTGGATTCATCGCCCTTGCCTATTTCTACAATTGCAACCCTCTGGAAACTGGTGAAATTAAAGAAAGCGACCACATTACGATCATCTTTGCCCGAGATATTCTTCGTAAGTCATATTTTTACGTTTCTATCTTCCTGCTATGAAACGCTACATGCCTCTGTTGGCGGAGCAACGGACCAATAAATAACTAGATAAAATCGCGCCGAAAGGCCACTCAACATCTGTTTGAAGCGCCGGAGGCGCGGAAAATAGGCTGGCAATAGAAAAGTATTTTAAATTTTCAGAACCAACACCTGGTCTCTTTGGTTTGTATGTTTCTTGTATCATGTCAGCTACACTTTCTACACTTTCAAGTGGAATGAACAGTATGGCTGCAGCTATTTATGAAGACTTTCTGAAGAACAACCTGGATGGAAAAATTACGGATACAGGAGCAACTCGGCTAAACAAGGTACAGTAGCTAAATTCAAAGTCAGCTATAACCTAAGTTCAATTTCAGCTCATTGTGCTCATTTGTGGATTAACATCAACAGGTCTTGCATTCCTTGCCGAAGTTCTTGGAGGAAGTCTTCGTATTTGTATTTCTGTAATGGGAGCGATGTCTGGGCCAATGGTGGCCATTTTCGTTCTGGCCCTATTTTTCCCAAAGAGTGGATCAAAGTCTTGCCTGATTTCATTCTTCCTTTCTAATCTTTTCTGTCTTATCATCTGCATTGCCAATTACATTCAAGACCCGTATCACGAACTTTTCTTACCAACGAATACTACTATGGAAGGCTGTAATGGGAACTCGAACTTTACGATCCGAATGATGCCCACATATGATGCTCATTATGGAAACCCGGATACTCTGTATATCTCCAGAATATCCACGTATTCATATGCGGGAGTTGGCTTCGTACTTATGTTGGTCATCGGATGGATCACTTCTCTTTTTGAAGAATCTGATCACAAAGAAGAAAAAATCAGCCATTTGACATTTGCAGGAAGAAAGTGAGTTTGAATCTTTGAAAGCTTTACAACTTGATTTTCTGTTTTTCAGTGAGCCATGGCCTGATACCCATCATGAGTTCGACCATTTCTTGAAAGAGATCTAATAGAATGATTTATAAATTGGCAAAAAAAGAAACAGATAATAACGTTCAGAATATGTGTTTTTTTCAAAAGCGGGTGAAATTGTCCAATTCTTGTCCATAGCCTGTCAATAAAGTGATTCCACTCAAGATTGAGACATTTTTTCCTTGAAATCTGACATGTCGATATTGCAACAGAGACGAGAGCCTCCATCGATTATGATGCTTTGCCCGACAATGCATTCAGAAACTTTTCTGAAGATCAAAAGATCGAATTGGAAAGGATTAAATAAATCTCACCTGTCAGCGAGAAACAGTATCGCTTCTCCAACGTCCTCAGCAGTTGCAACTCTTCCCAGTGGAATATATTCTGGTTTGCTTGCAACGTAGTTTTCCATTTTTCTAGCATTCTCGTCACCAACTAGTCTCGCGAAGAACGACGTTCTCACTAAGCCAGGACTGAAATATTGTTGGTTATCGGGTTGTTCCGGGGCCAGCAAAAATAGTTTTCTGCTACATTTGAGATAATTTCAGAAGGAAACACTCACTTTACAGTATTCAGACGCACACCCTTCAGAATGAATTCGTGTGCCATTGATCGACTCATCTGATCCAAAGCTGCCTTTGGAACGGCGTAATATGGCATTGAAAGAACACCAAGAGGCCCAGATGATAGAAAAGTGGAAACGTTGACAATATCTCCTTTTGTTTTTATGAGATGAGGAATTGCTTTTTGTGTCAATACCATGATTCTGTAAGATAATTTGTGAAAATAAACATTAAAAATAGAACTAACGATCGGAGATTCGAGTCCCATGACTTTTCCATAACTTCTACACCCATTTCCCATCCCTCCTTTCCAGACATATCAACTTCCAGCGTTCCAGCATTGTTGATCTGAAAGTATAATATGATTTGTTAAAATTATGATAATCATAAAAAATCTCACCAGAATGTCAAGCTTTCCAAAAGTATCAATAACTGTCTCAACTAGAATCGTCAAGAATCCATCATCCATAACATCTCCAACAGTTGGATGAAGATCCGATGACTTTGCTCCAACAGCCATACACATCTTTCTTGTCTTTTCCACATTTTCAGCTGACCGTCCAGTTATTACGATTTTTGCTCCTCCTTTGGCAAATAGAATTGCAGTGGCTTGTCCGATTCCACTAGAGGATCCAGTGATAAGTACCACCTTTCCAGTAAATCGTTGAGCAGACATGACAAAAAAATAATGGGAAAATGAACAACTGGCAAACTTTTAGAACAACTGGCAAACTTTTTAAACGAATCGAGTATGTCTATGACCATTTTTATAGTGGGAAACAAATTAGGATTACTGCCTTTTTCTGTAGCGACAGCCCGTTCCAGTTTTCAGGTGTTTATTCAATTAAAAACCTAATCCGATGGAGTACAGAGAGACATAGGCAGCCTAAATAATCATGTTACCGTTCTACATCGACAACAAAAAAAAACTAAAAACCACTATTTCTATAGATGGCAACCATCCCAAAACCGTAAAAATGCCCGTTTGTGAGTGATCAGAAGACGTGTCCTTCGTCTGAACATTTTCTTGCTGTAATCCATTGCCACTCGACATTTGAAGTCGTCGCGCATCAATTCAATTTCACAGACTTCCGACGAGACGCGATTTTCCAATTCGAATTCGAACTTCATTAGTTTCTGACGATCTTCGATCGTCGACTTGTACGAAGTGCATCTAGAAAAAGTAGAAAACAGTTTTTAGTAGACTGTAAGTAATTACCGTCCGAGGGCATCTTCGTAAATACTCAAATTGTCGAATTGGACTACTTTTGGAATGTAGATAGAACGAGAAGGCTGAAAAGTTTGAAAACTTTTAGCTGAAAAAAAAGAGGAGATCATTGTTTTTGGTGAAAGAAGAAGGTGTTTCTATGTTTCCTCAAGTATGCCACTCTCGCACTTTGAATATAATTATCTCCATTCATAAAAGAGGTATCAACAATTTTACAATTAACAAAATGATTTATTATACCATCCTCAACATTCTAGTAGTTTACAGATGTTTGATATCTCTTTCAGAAACCAAGATAATTTAGGTCAACGTACATTATATTCAGTTTCGTTTTCTGTAGAGAACACGACATTTAGTTCTTTGTAGATGTTCTTTTCCATAAAGACAAAAAAATCACTTCTAAATTTAAATCAAGTTCCCTTTCGTGATCAACAGATTGATGTCTAGCAGATTTTTGCTCGGAAAACTGTGACTCTATGCGCAGTGAACGAACGTTCCGTCGACAAGCCGTCCACGGCCCGCCCGCAACGCCAAGGCGCCAAATACTTTCAGCCGGAATCTAGGAGTTTTTCGCCACCCTCACTTTGTCTATAAAAGTATTTAAAAAAGCAAGAAATACTCTCGACTTTTTTTTTCAAGAAACTTTCAACAAACTAACAGTGTTCTCGATATTCGGACTCTGCAAATCTCCGCATTCTTTATCCAAATCTTGCGCATCTTGATGAACAAAACACTTTTCATTCAGAACGACATCGTTCTCTGCAAGTCTTTTATTTTTGCTTAATTTCCACAAAGGATGTCTTACGGGAATTCATAGTGACACGATAATTGGTCAACTTTTTCAACTTCCATCCTGCTGTCACCAGGCTTGTGACTTCTTTGCTGAAAAAGAGAGAATTTAAGAGAGATGCTAATGGCTGTACCTTAAGGTATAATCTGGATTAAACGGAATTGAATTGAACTTAAGAGTAGCCAAATCAATCAGAGTCAACTTGCGAACAACGGGAGCATATCTTAAGAAGCAATGAGTCAAACTTCCATCTGTTCCTGCTCTTGAATAATTTGGATCTAGTTTTAGTTTATCGAAGTCCCCTCGCTTTTTGGTTTCTGGAAGCATCCATGGAACAACTTCTACATTATCCGAATACTCTTCAAGAGCTTTGTATAAGCTATCACTGAAATTAGAGAAAAAGAGAGTACTAGAGAAAGAAACGAAATCGGCTTGCCTGACACTCGCAGCGTAGATCATAATCTTGGCAGCCGAGTTTTTAAAATGCTTCAAAAGAGAAAGGACTGTGGTTCCATCTTCATAAAGTATTAAATGAGACATACAAATGACATGATCCTCTTTTACAACTGATTTCCTGATTGATAGCGGCTCGAGAGGAGTCGGAGCATCAATCTGAAACAAACTTCCCAAACAAAAAATTGGGAAAAATTAGACATACCTGCATGCTGAAATCATCCAGTTTCAAAGTGACGTATAATGGGTCTTCAACTACTGTGCATATTCCAACTAACAAAGATTCTCCAACTTGTTGAATTCTAAAGCATGATCACTAAATAAATGGGCAACTGATATTCGACTTACGCAATTTGTGAAGTAGTTTCAGTATATCCATCAATTGAACTACAAGTCATCGGAAGATAAAAATTAGCAATTTGACTGGTTATCAGAAACATAAAAGTTGGTTTTTCAGATGCAGAATAAGTAGAATTATAGTACACAATATCGTTGATTATAGCAAAATGCCTTGAGTTTTCTTCCAATTCGGACAGATGATTCATTTTTCGGATTTTCAAAAGTAAAATATACAGTGATGCCATGCACATCATAATGATAAAGGCGATGATAAAGCGATTTCGTGTTCGACTTTGTCTTGGCATGTTAGCAGGCTAAAAAGAAAAGAGAAATCGATTCTGGAGAAGAGAAGAAGCTTTTCGATGTGACGCGGGGGACCAGATAAAATCTGAGAATAGAAGGGATGAGGGCAGTTCGGAAGGCACATGGCAGACAGGTTGCTTTCTTTTTTATGCCCCGAAAAGAAATATGGACGGATGGGAATTCGAAAAGGTTACAAGATTCATGATTGAAGATTTTCAAAGGTTCAGAAGATTACTGTAGATCATGTTTACTCTTAAAACGTTATTTTCGGAAAAATTGTTCACTGATCAGATTTCTCAGAATTATCTGGAGCTGGAGTACGAGTTGGTGGACCGTTAGAAGGGGATGAGGCTGTTGGTTGAGGTGATTTTGGAGTTTTAACAGGTGCATCTGGAAAAAAACAATGAAAGTGATGAGATTGAAAAAATAATGTACCGAGGCATTCAGAACTTTGAATCCGAGATGTTATCTGAGAAAGACTTCTATATGGTTCTAATGGATTGAGAACAGGAAAACGACGAGAGACTTCGGCAGATGAATGAACTTTGGCTGGTGCACGGATGAACTCTTCTAGTTCTGCCTCATTCATTACTTCAATACGATTTTGGAATGCTAAATTAACAACAAATTAACAATTAGTGAATATGGATTTACGCTGTAAGATATCGTATTCGTTGCATATCAGTTTGTATGTAGCATCCAGATCCTCTTCTGAACATCTTGGCGAGTTTATACACATTCTGATCACAAATTTGTTTTGCAAGATGCACGATGCCTAAAAACTAAATGTAGAAACATGAAATGAATTTTTCTTACCAAACTGATTTTTCCAGTCTCATTGCATCTGTACAAAAAAGCCTTATTGAACATATCGTTGGCCTTGACACGGAAGCAAATTAATCCCATCACAACCTTATTGCACACTTCAAATTTTGAGTCTTTTTGGAGCATCTTGGTCATCAATTGCCCTAACTTGATATGCTCCCTAATCTGATTTTGAAGATTTTCGACTCCGAATGAACGAATCATGAACCAAATTTTGAGAGCTCCAACTCTCTGACTGGTTGGAAGGCCTTTGAATGGTAGATCTGGATGATTTTCCAGTGATGCGAGTTGTAGTTTATGACGATCTCTCACCCTGAATATTTTCTAGGATTTAAGATAATTTGTTCAAAACCTAACCAGAGACAGCAGACATCACAAACTGCTAGTATCAGTTTGCTCGGAGTGGTGCAGAACGAATCAGCCCAGTCGATTCCTCTCATTAATCCACGTGTTTCTGGACATATTAGTGCAGTACCCGCATACGCAGCATCCACATGCAACCATGTTCCATGATCTCTGCACACCGGACCTAATTCATGAAGATGGTCAAAAGAGCAAGGACCTGATGTTCCGAAATTGGCACCGACGAAGAATGGGATAAGCCCTTTCTCGATATCAGCTACCATAGCTGCGTGAAGCGTATCTCCTCGAAGGATAAAGTTCTCGTCAGTAGGAAGAACTCGCATCTTCACCATTGCTACTTCTGCAGCCTTTTTTATGGAACGACGGGCCTGAAACTCTTTTTTTTTAAATTTGGATTCTAAGAACATCGAAGTACATCAGAAGAAGTGTAGGCAACAAGACGAGCCAGAATATCAGATGATCTCAGACGTCTGTCCCGTTGTTTCATTCGTTGGATCATTTCAGTTCTTGCAGCAATTAGCACGAGAAAGTTTGACTCGGTGTCAGATCTCTGGAAAAATAATGATATTTTGGGACTCGTTTGAATTCTTCATTACCTGCATACAGCCTCCGCCGCGACTACCTTCCGGAAACAATAAAAACTCTTTTGGAAGAGCCATCATTTCACCCAACCAATCCATCATGATCACTTCCAGTTCAGTTAGTGCTGGATTCGACGTCCAATAGAAGCCAGCATCACCGATATGACCACCAAGAAGATCAGCAAGAAGACAATGAAACGGATTTCCAGCTGGATAAAACGAATGGAAATTGGGATGACTTGAATGCGATAGACCCGGAACGATCAATTTGTGATAATCTTCGAGGATATCATCAATGTCTTCAGCTTTTGTAGGTGCTTTTGTAGGTAGAAGAGCCTTTAGATATCCTGGTTTCAGTGCAGGAGAACAACGAGCTGTTCGAATGTTCTCATCTTGTTTCATGAGATATTCTACCACTTTTACAGCTGCTTTCTTGAATTGATCTCTAGTCATTCCATTCACATCCACTTCTTCTTTTGCTGCTGGTTCCGTTGGTTTGAAATCTTCTGCTTTTTCTTTTTTCGCAAAACCTTGCTCTTCTCCTCCAATTGGATCAAAGTGTCTTGTATGATGAATTTCTGGCATCATTACTGAAACTTAATTAACAATCTTAGCTCGGTTGGCTTTCGAAACTTACAAGTTTCCCTTTTGGTTTCTGATTGGCGGCTTGATTCTTTCGAAGATTTCGATACTTTCCCTTTTTTCTTTTTCTAAAAGTTTACAAAGTGTTTAAATTAACAACAAGTAACCAACCGTTTTTGCCGCAACTTTTCTGATTTTTGGAACCCGATCATGGTATGGTGGGGTTTTGATTATTGGGTTGAGATCTAGAAATTGAGTTAATATATTATTCTGATACAAAAAATTAGAGCTGTAGAAGAGGTGACCGTGGCTGAAGGTCCAACTACCGTAACCTAAAAATGTTAATATTTTAAGGATTTATTTTCTCGTTTTCCCCTGAAACCGCACGTAAATCGAGTAAATAAATCCAGAAAGTAATAATAAGGTTACGGTAGATGTCGTTGTGGGATCTTTGGCCACGGCGACCTCCTTTTCTCTTGCACAGCTCCGATTTTTGTACCAGAATAATAAACAAAATGTGCAATAAACTCACAATCCGCTTCAGGTGTATGAAATGGAGCTTGGCGACTGGTGACTTCAGAAAAATAGTCGATTTCCTGAAGTTATTTTATCAGACTGTTTCAGAATTCCCATTCAAACGTACGATCAAAAATGCTGCGGCCATGAAAAACACTTTGATGTTCAACTCAGTTTCGGGAGAAACTGAAAAATGTTATCTCAGAAGAACTTTTATATTTTTGGATCTACATACACCAACAAGCAACTCCTTTGTAATTATCCGTGGAGTTTCCAGATGAAATAATCTTCTGTCTGATTTCTCCAAGAAAACGATTATCTGGTCCAACGACGGAGAAGGCATCTTTTTGATCTCTAGACCCACGAATTCTTATCAACACTTGACCAGATAGATCCTTGATAGCAATCTCAATTCCTCGAAATTGATCATGATGGAGGAATGATTTTGCGATGACCATTCCATTCTCATCAAGGACTTCCATTTTGTCTTCGATATCAGAACAACATCCAAATAAAGAAGCCAGTCCCGTTTGCTTATAGGATTGTTTGGGCTCATTTCGAATGAATTTGGCAACTGCCTAAATTTATGTGAACATATCATACGATTTTCTATTCCATAGAATAGTTTCTAATTATCTTAAATCTGATGGAATTTTGATTCAAATACTAATACCTTTTTATCCTTGTTCATCACTTTCAGACAAAACGGACCATCTTTTGTGATTGGCATCGCACTTGTGTTTACCACATAGAAAATCTGAATATCTATATTTGTTTCACTATGATATATGTATTCTATACCACTCTGTTATTCAAATCATAAACTTTATAATCACTTCTCGCATGTTTTCTATGCAATGACTCATTTATGTGCAAATCACGAAACAATGAAAACGCTGCTGCATGTTTCAGCCGACCACATTGACGACTGCTATCTGTCGTTGCCTATAATTTTTGGTTTTTGGGAACCAAGGGTTTTCCATCTTCTAATACCTGATCGAAATCTGTGACAGATTCAACTTTTTCAGTAGCTGGGACTTCCGATGCTATTTCTTCCGACATGCTTGATAATTTTTGAATGGAAAAAATATGTTTCTAGAACAGATGATAACAATAAATCTGGCTGCTAGACTTGAAAACCACGACTGATACAAAGATGTGTGCGCAATGTGGATTTCAATGTGGTGTGCTGAATAAATGGGTGACCTGGTTGTAGAACTGAAAACATTAACTGGTTGGCTGTGATGATTCCGAGATACTCTTGAACCAGAAGATTATTATCGCCGACAGGCGGCGTGAATTTTCCCGTGAATTTGTCAACCTACCTTTGAGAGAAAAAAATCTAAGTGTTCCCAAAAAAAAAATTTTTGTAGTCTCATGACCTCAATTTTTTGTATTATTGAGATCAAAATTGACGGGCATCATCTCGCTGCTATTTCGGGTTTTCTGTGAAAATTTGGGGAATTTTGGTTCAGCGTGGACTTCGCTAGGGTCCGCTAACCGGGAACACCGGACACACACACACACACAGAACTTGGTGATTGTTATTAGTAAAGATTCATAAATTTGTTCAGGTGACAATTAATTATAGGAATTCCGTATCCTTCCAGTCAAATTTGTGTCAGAATAGATCTGTGGAAAAGTTATTTCTACATTCCCGTTCTTCTCTTGCCTGAAAGATATTTCCTTTACAAATTTGTTAACTGCAGTTCACTGAATAATATCTAGGTTATCAAGAATATATTCCTCCAGTCAATCTGAATATATCGTATTACATTTTCATACAACTGGAACTAGAAATTTTTTCGTAAACTTTTTTGTTCAGAAGTATACAATTGAAAACTGATAACTGTGAGTTGAGAGGAAGTGAAACAGAAAGTTTTGAAAAAAAATTTTTGATCCAGAAATGACAGCAACGAAGATCAGATTTTGAGATCATGAAACAAATATTTTTCAGAAACATACATCAACAATAGTCATTCATTGAATGAGATTTGATATGACATGAAACAAACGAAAAAATAATGTTTCCTTCTTGTTTTTCCTGATGACGTCGTCTAAATAGTCTTCTTCTGTTTCGTTGCTATGCGGATTGCCCTCTCTATACAGCACACACGTCCATCGTCGACATGAACGAAGATCAATGACACACTCGTTGCGCTCTTTTCTTCATCTTCTTCAGAGGGCGGAGTTTTCTTTTTCTTTTTTTATGTTTTTTTTTTCTCGCCGCCCCAACTTCCTCTTTTTCTCTATCTCTGTTTCCCACTCACCCCTCCCCTGAAACGCTATCGTTTGCTTGCAGTTTCGTTAGTTTCGCCCTCTGACGATGGTTGCGCGTTGTCCTGTAAACAGTATAGTGTTGGCTCCCCTCGGTTGCTTCGTGGCGCCCGCGTCCCTGGGCCTAGCTTTTCGTGGCCTAGAAAACTTTGCATAAATTCGGGCGACACCTAAATTTTGGGATTTACTTTTTGCTGCTCTTCTCTCTATTCTAGATTGCTTCTTGACCGGTTTGGCTGAAAAATCTAAAAATAGGTCTGACTTTTTTTAATTTTAAACTTCCGCTCAAAGAAAACTCAAAGGCCAAGTCTGTCGCTGCGGGACCCACCAGTCTTCTTTTTCCGAACTCGCTTTTTTGCATAACCTCATTCGAATTTCTCACGATTTCGATGATGTTCCAGTAGTTTTTTTTGCAAATATCTAATTTTCAGGTAATGTTGAGCACGCTCGCCAGAGGCGCCCGCTCGGTCGCTGTCCGAAACTATTCGGCCGCTACTCTCGATGCCCACTCCCAGGTGCTCGACGAGCAAAAGCCAATGGAGGAGCAAGTCAACCCATCCTTCTACAAGATGGTCGACTTCTACTTTGACAAGGGAGCAGAGGTTATCGCCCCAAAACTTGTTGAAGAGCTCAAGTCCAACTCTTTGAGCCAGAAGGACAAGAAGAATCTCGTTACCGGAATCCTCGGAGCCATCAAGCCAGTGAACAAGGTAAATAATAATTCAAAGAGACTTGTCTATCAATATTTTCACAGGTTCTTTACATCACCTTCCCAATTCGTCGTGACAACGGAGAATTCGAGGTCATTGAGGCCTGGCGGTCCCAGCACTCTGAGCACAGAACTCCAACCAAGGGAGGTATCCGTTATTCTCTTGATGTCTGCGAAGATGAAGTCAAGGCTTTGTCTGCTCTGATGACCTACAAGTGCGCTGTTGTTGATGTTCCATTCGGAGGAGCCAAGGGAGGAGTCAAGATCGACCCAAAACAATACACCGACTACGAGATTGAGAAGATCACTCGCCGTATCGCTATCGAGTTCGCGAAGAAGGGATTCCTCGGACCCGGAGTTGATGTGCCAGCCCCAGATATGGGAACCGGAGAGCGTGAAATGGGATGGATCGCTGACACTTACGCCCAAACCATCGGGCATTTGGACAGAGTGAGTTAAAACTACTTTCAACGCTTTACTAACAAAGATTTGTTTCAGGATGCTTCCGCTTGCATCACAGGAAAGCCAATTGTCAGCGGTGGAATTCACGGACGTGTTTCCGCTACTGGACGTGGAGTCTGGAAGGGACTTGAAGTGTTCACCAATGATCCCGACTACATGAAGATGGTTGGACTCAACACTGGACTCGCTGGAAAGACTGCCATCATCCAAGGTTTCGGAAACGTCGGTCTCCACACTCACAGATACCTTCACCGCGCTGGATCCAAGGTTATCGGAATCCAAGAGTACGATTGCGCCGTTTACAACCCAGATGGTATTCACCCGAAAGAGCTCGAGGACTGGAGAGACGCCAATGGAACCATCAAGAACTTCCCAGGAGCTAAGAACTTTGATCCATTCACCGAGCTCATGTACGAGAAGTGCGACATCTTCGTTCCAGCTGCTTGTGAGAAGTCCATCCACAAGGAGAACGCTCACCGCATTCAAGCCAAGATCATCGCCGAGGCCGCCAACGGACCAACCACCCCAGCTGCTGATAAGATCCTTCTCGCTCGTGGAGATTGCCTCATCATCCCAGACATGTATGTCAACTCTGGTGGAGTAACTGTCTCATATTTCGAGTGGTTGAAGAACTTGAATCATGTCTCTTATGGAAGACTCACTTTCAAATACGACGAGGAGGCCAACAAAATGCTTTTGGGTATGTTTTTTTCCGGTCTGCAAAACTCTGATGCCGAGTAGTTTTCCAAATGTTGAGTAAAAGATGCTCTGACTTTTTTACACTTGAGCGTATTGCAATATTATGCTTGTCTGAGAAAAAAAGGCTAGAGAGTATTTTTTGCAGTCTGAATACGGTAGCGATATCGAAGCGGAGAGCCTAAATAGCGCATATTAAGTGGAGACGCAGACACTATTTCTCTGCGTCTCACACTTTTTTTTCTCAGACAAGCATAATAGAGTATAAAGAAAAGTAGCAACTCAAGTGCGTGCGGACGGGGCAGAGATATTTTTCTATTGGTGGGAAATAGCAAGACAATTATCTGTGTGTTTCAGCTTCGGTCCAAGAGTCACTTTCCAAGGCCATCGGAAAGGAAGCACCAGTCGAGCCAAACGCTGCTTTCGCTGCCAAGATCGCTGGAGCTTCTGAGAAGGACATCGTTCACTCTGGACTCGAATACACCATGCAACGCTCCGGTGAGGCTATCATCCGTACTGCTCACAAGTACAACCTTGGACTCGACATCCGTACTGCCGCCTACGCCAACTCCATCGAGAAGGTCTACAACACCTACAGAACCGCCGGATTCACCTTCACATAATTATTCTCTCTTTTCACTCATCTCATGGCTCTTGTATTCTCTTTCTTGACATCAAATGGCTCCAAGCCAGGCTATAGTAGTTTAGTGATGCCCCTTTAGTGCCTTCTCAATAGTTTTATAACTGAAACTAGCCAGATTCACTAGAGACGAGATCTAATCTTTTATTCCTGGCTTGTTCTCACTTTAGTTTTTTAAACAATATTTTATTGGTTCCCCACCTTTTCGCACCCTATTCATAATTTTCCTTTCACAAGTGTTTTGTTGGTTCGGGACAGTTTCGAGACGGAGACCATTCTTTGAAAAAAAAATTTAAAAAAATAAAAAGAATTTTTAAACTTCTTTCTCGCCTCACCAATACAATCAAGGAGGCAGAATGTTATTTTTCTCCTCTTGGTTACCATAAAATCAATGCATTTGAAGTTATCATTGATAACTTATCAAGAAGTCTTCAGTCTCCTTATCAGGAAACCCTTGAAATTGCAACATTTTCATGTAATTAGTGGTTGATCATTGCCTTATCGAATGATCTTTCCGAGCAGAATTCTCGCCTGGTCAGACTGATGTAATTCATTGAAAAGACAAGAAACGTAGACGAATGATCATTTGGACAAGATTAAGGCGAATGAGAAGGAGAGATGATAAAGAAAATTGGAGGGAATCCCTCGTTTCGGTGCGAGTTGGGTTTCATCAGGACTACAGTAGGCTACATAAGTTGGGGATCAGGAAAAGCTGTTTTCTATAAATACTGTCCTTTTTCTTTCCTTTGTTTGGTTATATTCGAAACAAAACAATCCGTTTACAGAATTCCATGAAGTTAGCGTCATCTTTAGAAATCTGACGATACGTCAACAATTTTCTCATCATTTTCGAACTGATTCTGTCTTTCGATTCCCTCATTCCGTCGACGCATTGCACTGCACGAAGGGAAAAGTGTTGGTTGATGGTCTGATCTTCTTTTTATCTCTAAATTCTCTTAGTCTCTCACCCGATAACGATTAGAGACCCACGTGGGTAGGAGTCGCAGACATTTTTGCGGAAACCGATGTCATCGCAGCGACGAAAAGGAAAACGTCTCGGTTTTGCACGTACCCAGGAGAACAAAGAAAATGTGTCGAGTGGGGTGACATCTGAAGTCAGATGATGATAGTGATGAGGGGGTTTCCCCAGATTGGGAATCATAAGATGATAAAATGTGTCTCATAAGATGTGTCTGGCTTGAGCTGGGGTCATGTGGAGGGATTCAATGAGTGATGAACTGGTCCTCAAAGATATATTTGATGGGAGGGATAAATGCTACGTTACTGTTAGGATAACGGATTCTCTCGTTTTACAAGTAATGCTTTTCTATTCTCGAAATTATAAAACGTCGGTTTCCAGAATATAATGGTTTTCCTGAAATTCTATTTTCTTTCCGCTTTCAGGATTTAATTTTTTTTTTGATTTCGAATCTTTGAACATAATTTCTTTCAAATCCATTTTTTAGTCTGATCATTTTCAAGGCGGATTTTGGTTCGACTGAACCTAAATCAAAAATCCTACAATATCAATAAATTCACTGTTTTCCGTTTTATCCTATTTCAACCTTCTAGACCCAACCAATAACAACGAAGATTTCATCTTTAGTGTTTCGAAATTCTGAAGGACGAAAATGGTATGGGTTATATTTATGTCTGCGACTACAAATAGTTTCAAAGTCGATTGTTTGCCTCAGAAAATACTCAGTCTCTCCGTACTGTTTCACTGCAGAAGGGACTTCTTTTCTGAGCCCCCCCCCCCTCTAGTGAAATCACCGGTGCAACAAACACGTGGCGATGAGGGGAAGAGAAGAGAAAGTTCAAACAATCAATCTTGGAAAAAGTGAGAGATAAGCGGTCGGGGCATTGAGCCGCCCAATGGGTTTACACAAACTCGAATCGAGCATCCACGAAACAGCACGAAAAGTTCTGAAAGGGGTGAGTTTGTATACTCGATCCTGTATAGTTTGTATACTCGATCTGTGTACAGAAACAACGTGGTTGTCTAGAGATAAGGAACATTACGTTTGGGGAGTCATGGAAATGTTTCCTTACCTTTTTTGATGATAAAGTTTGGAAAAGAGAAAAAAATTTAAAGGAATAAATTAACAACTGGAAAATTTAACAAATCACAAGTTAAGAACAACAACAAAATAAATGTATCATAAAATCAAAAATCAAGAGTATATCCCATATGATCAACAGCATCTCTAACCCATTGAGGAACTTCTTGTACTTTCTCTGTATCTTGCTTGGAAGGGTTTTCGGATTGAATGGGACCGTAGTAATCGAAAAGGAACTGTCTCAAAAATTTCTCAACCGAGTTCGATTGGATTGCTTGACGAACATCTCTCATCAGATCCAGTTGGTGTTTGATGTTATGAATGGAAACAAGATGACATGCGACGGTTTCCTGAAACATTTTATATGTAATAGCTCAGAAAAAAGTGAAAAGTCACCTTTCCAGCAATAGAATGAATGTATGCTCGAGTATAATTCTTACAAGTGTTGCATTTACATTTATCATCAATTGGCAGGAAATCTTCTTTGTATCTTTTTTGATTCAGTTGCATCAGACCTCCTCTACGAACCATTGCAGTTCCGAATCGAGCTGTTCTTGTGGGATAGACGCAATCGAACATATCAGCTCCAAGAAAAGAGCAAATCACCAAATCTACCGGAAACCCAACACCCATCACATAACGTGGTAGATGTGGTGGCAAAGCTGCACAACATGCAGCAACGACTCTCCAGAAATGATCTTTTTCTTCTCCTCCAGAAAGTCCACCAATAGCGATTCCAACCTTTGCTCTTTTTGCCATTTCTTCAGCACATTCTTTTCGTAAATCCAGATTGAGACCACCTTGTAGAATGGGAAACATTGCTTGATCGTCCCTCGTATGGGCAACTTTGCATCGATCCAACCATCTGATACTCCTATGCATAGCTTCTTTAACAATATCTCCCGTTGTCAAAACATGAATAACATGATCCAACTGCATCATAATATCTGCACCGAGTGCTTGTTGAATCTCAATTGACTTTTCTGGCGGCAAAGCCATCATCTCGCCAGTATGAGGACTTTCAAAGTTGACTCCATTCTCGTCTACAGTCATCAACTTGCTCAAAGATACCATTTGGAAACCTCCAGAATCCGTGAGGATCGATCGATTCCAATTCATCATTTTGTGAATTCCACCAGCTGCTTTGACTCTTTCGTGTCCTGGACGATGACCTAGATGATAAGTGTTACATAGGAGAATCCGACAATCCATGGCAACAAGTTGTTCAGTAACGACCCCCTGCAAACAGGAAAAAGGTGTTTTTCAAATCTCAGTTTTTCACACCTTCATTGTTCCTTGAGTTCCAACCGGCATGAATACGGGAGTTTCGACGATGGAATGGGGAAGATGAAGGTTTCCTCGTCGGGCGAATCCAGCTCTCGCAAGGACATCATACTTCATATCCGCCTGACACGTCGGAAGTGGTTCTTCTGTCATAGATCCTACTCTGAAATTTTGTGCGACTTCAACTCTGGTAATCGGTTTCTAACCAGAGGCCGTATGCAAAAGTGGAAAACCATTTTCTGGTTTTTAGAAAATCGTTTTCCGAAAGTCTGGAAAGGATTTTCACCGTGCTTTTATTAATTTTTAGTCATTTTTTAGCCCAGAATCCAATTTAAAATGGGGAAAAAAAATATTTAAAGACTTTCAGAAAACCGTTTTCCAAACATCGGTTTTTACAATGGTTTTCCACTTTCTTGCATACGACCTCAGTTTCGGGAAATTTTCCAACCAGATTCGGTTAACGCGCATTTTCCATCCAGATTCGAGTAAAATTCCAACCAGAAACTTTTTATTTTCCCACCAGATCTGGTGATTTTCTGACCAGATCCGACCGAGAAAGCAAATTTTCAACCTGATTCGGACAACTTTCTAACCAGATCTAGCCATTTCTGATCCGGAATTTTCCCGAATCTGTTTGGAAACCGATTACCCGAGAACAGACTTTCAATGTGAGTCTAAATATTTTTGGTTGTGGACCGAATGTCATTTCAAATCAAGGAATCTTTATATTATAGCATTCAATAAATTCGTTTGCTCACATCGTTTACAGTCTAAAAATACCTATCCATAAACTGAAAATCTTTCGTATTTAAAAGTTATTCAACAACACTGTCTGGGCGAGAAACGGGAGAATTGTTATTTTACAGGGAATTCAATAATTTCGAAAAGCAAATGGCAACACTACTCGGAATACCTCTATGATGACTAGGGAATAGAGTGAATGCACGGGGGGACAATTAATTTGTTTAGCTGTTTAATTATGAGTGGAAAAGAGGTACGGGACAATGTCTTAAATGGCAAAGTAGAAATACAATTATTACACCTCGAGGCAAAATGATTGGGCATTTATTCAGAAGTGGCAGCTGGAATTGGGACTCCTCCAGCTTGTTCGGCATCCAAAGCAGAAGTTGGATCACACACTTCGAGAATAGCACGACCTTCAACTTCCGACATAGAAAGCTGTTTCAGAACGGTGGATGCTTGATCAACTGGATAAACTCTGTAATCTGGGGCATCGATCTGTCCTCCTGCGATCAAATTAACGAGATTCTTGAGTTGCTCGATGCTTCCTCTGTAATAAAACATTATCAATCAAAATTAAAACAAAACCTAACCTAGTGACACCCATAATGGCAAGTCGGTTTTTGGCCACATGCTTTATTGGGAGTTGGACATCGAGCCAGAAAGACCTCCAACGAACAGAACACCTCCTTCGGCGAGACATTTCAATGAACGAGTGACGGTTCTTGGCGATGTTACGAAATCGAAAACGACGTTAACTCCAGTACGAGCAACATCTTTTGTTCTCATGATGAGATACTCTTCGAACTCTGAATCATCCCAGTGAACAACAAAGTCTGCTCCATTTCTTTCAGCAAGAGATAAACGTTCCTCTTTTGCATCAGCAACCATCAAACGAATCTTCTTATCATTGTTGATAGCCAGGAAATGCTTGGCGAGCTTGAGAAGCCACAATCCGAGACCTCCAGCTCCTACGATAAGAATGTTACAGAATCCTTTAGATTGCGAGAAAGCTTCAACAATCGGTCTCGCCTGCAGAATGGAGAATGATAAACTATGATTCAATAAAAAAACTTACTTGAAGAACAGCGGATAAAGCCCAGGTAGCACCGGCTGGAAGAATCGAGGCGACATGCATCGACAGAGCTTCTGGAATTTTAACAAGGAAGTGGAGAGTCGGAACGGCAACATAATCAGCATATCCGTGACTGCACATCTCGTCAGTCGGCCAAACAATAACCTTGTCACCAATATTCAAGTCATAGTCGCTTGGATTGCATTCACTACCGAACGATTCCACGATTCCCGATACTTCATAGCCTGAAAAATACTTAAATAAACATTTCAGTAATCTAAAAAACTTTTCCGAACCTGGAAACAAGCTAGTGTCCTTGATTCCATTTGTGATTCTGGCCTGCTTCGTGTTGGACACTTCGCGATCGGTCAAACAAACTCCAGCATAACAGACCTTGACACGAGCACCTTTTGGTGGGACGTCAGGAATCGGCTCTTCGTCGAAGAACTTCACCTCTCGGAGATCTTTTGGCGATCCTAACGAAATTCTTCTGTTAGTTGCTGGCATTTTCTGTAACATAAATATAGTTTTCAGATCAATATATTTAGATACAGTTTTATAAAGTACGACACAGATACTCGGAGAAGGCTAAATAAAAGCAGTTAGACATATCACGTGCATCTGTTTGCAAGAGACACAGTTCTGAAGAAAGAAATCAATATAATCAACAGTGTAAACATGAGAACCGAATGATATGTATTTTTCTTTTTAATTGACACTAGATGTTTCAGTTGTTCAATCAGTTTGCCATGTTTTTAGAAGCAGACGTGCCGAAAACAAAAATCTGCTGGATATCCGGAATTTCGCCATATCACGAAAACGGGGTCAGTGAGTTAGAAGGCACATTCTGCATGATTAATTGGGGGGGGGGGGAGTTCGAAATGTGTGGCAGAGAAAAAGAAAGAAAAACGCATATTAAATATTTATCGGTTAAGAATTATCCGGAAATCGAGAAAAAAGGAAGCATGAACTTCTGCAAAAAGCAGTTTCAAGCAGAGCGAAAACATGGCGAATGGAGAATATCTGAGGGAATAAGACAGTAGACGCAGACAACAGGGAAAAGGAAAGACGAAGAAGAAGTTTCTTGCATGTTTCCCATGCGCTCTTCACGTGCACGAAAACAGATTCTAGAAGAGAGTTAGGAATTCGCAAAAAATGGATAAAAAAGTGGCAAATACTCATTAGCTTGATGATCTTTTGCTAAATGCTCACTTGCTAAATATGATCACTTGCTAAACTCGCTCATTTGCTAAAATAGTCTCACTTGCTAAATTTCATTTGCTAAATTTTTATCATTTGCTAAAAATGAAAAAGTGGAAATTTTGGGTTTTGCTTTAAATTTTAGGCTTAGGCTTAAAAACCTGTTTTCCGGTAAGTAGTTTCAGCCTAAGCCTTCACTTTGAACAAATCCTCTATTTAGCAAATGATCAAAATTTAGCAATTGAAATTTAGCAAGTGAGACTATTTTAGCAAATGAGCGAGTTTAGCAAATGAGAATATTTAGCAAGCGAGCATTTAGCAAAAGATCATCAAGCTAATGAGTATTTGCCTAAAAAAGTTAGCGAAGTCGGCCAGCTTTCTCAAAAAAAGTGAACATTTTCAATGAAATGGAGGTGGAGAAATACTTATCCGCAAGTGAGAGAGACATTTATTTTGATAGAATGTAAACGAAAAATCGATAAAAACAATTTAGTATGTTTGTTTATGTGGCCTTTGAATTATGATGCTTGTTTTTTGTAGCGGGGAGAATGCTGGACACATCTCTCGTTGTGGTACAAGATTTATGATGAAACCCCAAAGTTTGACCATGGTGATCGGGTGATTGTTTGGGTGGGTCCGGACAATCGGTCGAGCAGATACTGATGGTTCAGAGGCAGATCATTTTTAACCTTTAATGCGGATTTTCAAGACACCTCGAAGTTCAGATTATGATGCCCTGCTTTTTTGCCATTATCTGTTTAGTAAAAATGGTTACACTGATGGTCTTTTTAAAACTTTTCATATTTCTCTAGGATATCTCTTTTTAAAAAAAATTGTTCATTAAAGGAGGCGAGACAGCAAAAATTTCGGGGGACAGTTCGGGGGACGAAATCGCGCCGCGCTTATGTAGACCATTTCCGAATTCAGTCAAAAACAATTTCTGGGTCGACTCCAAACTTTTTGAGGTTCCACTTCTCATGATGGGCCCCTTTTCATGTCCGACCTGAATAGATAATCCAATGAAATTTTTGGGTAGAATAATGATTATTCAAAGCAGTGTATTATCTTTATTTATATACAAAGTTAAGATGAAATATATTTTAGTATGAATAATGATCTAGATTCTTTTGTTTCTTGTGATCGTTCTCTTTATCATCGTTTGGGAACCACAAATCATTATACGTCTGGAAAATTTGGAAGAGTGATTCAGATATGAAATGAATCAAACCTCGAAAGTCACTGTTAATGGCTCCACAGTAGCTGTCGCTTCCTCAAACGATTCAATAGATTTGGAAAATTCAGAATTCAGCAGTTCCTCCAACTGTTCATCTTCTGAATTGTATTCTTCATCTGACTCCTCACCAATTTCCATTTCTTCTATCTGGAAATCTTTCACGTCAGTCCTGTCAAGTTCCCATTCCAAAATTTTGGTTCTGTCTGGGGTTTCTATTGAAAGATAAACACTCTTCCAATACCCATCCTGATCATATGGTTCTCTCTCGGGAAGACAATTCTGAAATTGTTTAGTGAATCATTGAGTTGGACAGACTTTGATTTTTTTTTTGACTTTTGCAAACTCCTTGTCCTTTTCTGACATGTTTTCAACTATCCGATTCCAGGAGCGCATGTTACGTTGGCAACTCCAAAGCATTTTCTTATCGAACTTCTTCTGGAAAAAAATTATTTGAGTAAGCAAGATCTAGCATACAAGATACATTTTTCTCGTATTTCGCTAGATACCGAACTATTTTCGAGTAGGAGCGATAACCAAAGATGAGTGGGATGATGATGACGAGGAAGACCAGAAAGAATAGAATAAACTGAAAAAAGATAAAAGAATAATACATTATGAAAAAAATCGTGTTACATCATAATAATAGTTGTAGTCCGGATCATTTTCTGGACTCGGATACTGTCGGAAAAATGAGGTCAACACATGAAAAATAGAAAAGGCGGGTGCCATTCGCCATCTCCATTTCCAAAATGACCATGTGTAGGCATGACTCCATTGGGAATCCGATGGATTCCCCATGAGGGAATGAATGTCACCATAGAAGATTTTTAATCCGTAGCATTCAAGTACAGTAAGAACTTCAGCGGTAATGAACAGTCCCGTAGCAACTTTTTGGACATCTTCAACCATTGGGATGTACGTTGAACCACCCTGATGTTAAGGAAGTTATTCCATAAGTTTGTAGTCCGAAACGTACATCGCAACAGAGAATAAGACCAAACGAAGCCATGACTATAGAAACTCCTATTGTAAAGTAGTTTTAAAAATGTGATCTTGTAGAAAAATGAATAGCATCCGCAAGAGAAACAGAGATAGTCTTCAGAACTACTAAAAATATTAATTTTGAATTTTGGAACTGTTTAATAGGAACCAACAAGCACAAAATTTCCAACCAACGACTAAAATTGCAATATAGTAAAAGAGCACCCAGAGCCATGCGTTATGGGCAACTTGTCGGAGAAGAACAGGCCATGTGGAATGAGTGAGAATAAGTCCTAAAATGAACATTAGAGTTTCCTTCTTCGTAATCGAATGATATACTAGGAGGTAGAACAGTTAAATCGTATACAGAGTCCCTTCCAATTGAATGACTGATATGTCCTAGAATGGAGAACAATGTTCCAGCTATGATCAAACTCAAAATGGTATCCAAAAGAACCGCTAGACTAGCAACCTAGAATCAGAATCTGTTCAGTTAAGACCTACCGTGTTTCTTATGATAGAAACCTACACAAACCGTCAAATTTAAGCTCAACTATCTCAATTCCCATGAGAGATATCAAAAATCTGTTAACTGATAAATTAGTTATCACAATATCACCAACATTTTATCAGTTTACAGATTTTTGATATCTTGCATGGAAACCGTGATAATCTTGTTCAAAGTTAGTGGTCTGGATGGGCTTCTATTAGAGGGAATAGGGTATGTTCTATTACTGACATAGAATGTTTGTCTTTGTGGTTGAGCCATCGAAGCCATTACAGTATGACCTCCAATTCCGATGCTCAACGATTGGATGACCAGATTCAAGGCATCAATCCACAATTGGCTGTATAAAAGTTCAGCCCATTCGACTCGTATCATTTCCATTATTCAGATAGTTGCACCATCTAGATGAAGAGCTCGAAAGAAAAAGAAAGGACAAATCAGAAATATTATCACTGTAGGAACCTGGAAATGCTATTTTTGCAAAGTTGAATTGGACTACTTTCTTACATAAATCAGAGGGGTAGTCTTGTTTCCAGCTCTCAATTGGATGAACGCAATTGAGAGCCAAATTATAAAAATGGAGCATGCCATTCCAGAGTCAAAATTGGAGAATGACATGTGAGATTTCACAGATTTATGAACTACCGAACTGTAAATATAACATCGAAAATTCTAATGAGACAAGGCATACTGTAGATACTGTTCTTCTGCTGATTGGATTCCTTCTGTGGGGAGATCTGTTTCATTGACACATACTCCCTTGAACACGATGTGACCAGATCTTAGATCGGGACATTTTTCGTCGAAAAACTGATAACAGTCTAAAAAATGGTTGTTATTTATTTTTGTAGTTCTGTTTTCATAAGTGTACCTTTCGTATTCCAGCGATTATCACAAGTCGACCAAGGCATTCTTAATTTCGATCAAGGTCTAGATAAAGAAACAACAAATTTGAAAGCTCGGGCAACCGAATACTGGTATGGGAAAAGAATCAAGATAGCAGAAACTAAAGACATCCAACCGAATCCTTGTAGAATGGGTGCACATCGTATCATGAAAAGCATTAGGGAACTTCTGTGATACTGTCCAATAATCGATTCAAGATAATGAGCTGGATATCCAATTACAATGAGCATACAGAAATAGGCAATTAGGAAAGCGCCTCCTCGATACTCATGAACTTTTGCAGGAAATATTATAAAGTTAGTGAGTCCAATGCAGAGATTGTTAACAGAGAAAAAGTATTCATACTGAAATTTCATCTGATATGAGCCTATTGGCGGTACCACTTTCCTACCCATGTTTTGAATTGATGACGAGATGGTTCTTCGTTTTTAGATTCTTTTTTTGTTGCGATTAAATTTTCAGTTTCTACCATGTCTAAATAGGCGTTAGTCTTCCGGAATCTGACGACATCAGCCAGCTGCGTGGATCACCTACTTTTTGTGCTCCTCGAAGAATATGAAAGTTTACGTTAAAATATCAGGTTGTCTATATTTTATTTTTAGCTTCGTACAAACGAGTGTTAACATGGATAAATTTAATAATTCTTAAATGAAATATGCATAGAACTTTTTCATGTTTTTTTTCAACAGCCCACGCTCTCCCACAGAACAATTCCGAACTGCAAATTAATTTTTGATCTACAGAAAAAAGTTTGGCGCGATCACAATTGCAGGTCTAAAACCATAATTTCAGAATTATTTACCTGATTTTGTGGAGTTCCAAGATGATTCAAATGATTCTTAAAAAATTAATTAGTGGTTGTAGATTCATGTATGGTCGTTTTCCGGAAGAAAACATGTCAAAAATGGTCATTTTTTAAAGTTTTTTACAGAAAAAATCTATCTCCTTTTTCAGTTTTTTTACATTTCTAGGAGTTCTATATTTCAAAAAAACCGAAATTATTTTCTCTACATTTTCTATGGATGAATTTTTAATTCGTCTGACAAAACTTTTTTTATAATCAAAAAACAACTCAAAAAATGCTATTTTGTGCAATTTCATGAGGTTTTTGAATTATAAAAAAGTGTTGTCAGACAAATTAAAAATTCATCCATAGAAAATGTAGAGAAAATAATTGCTTTTTTTTGAAATATAGAACTCCTAGAAATGTCAAAAACTGAAAGAGGAGATAGATTTTTTCTGTAAAAAACTTTCAAAAATGACCATTTTTGACATTTTTTCTTCCGGAAAACGACCATACATGAATCTATAACCACTAATTAATTTTTTAAGAATCATTTGAATCATCTTGGAACTCCACAAAATCAGATAAAAAATTCTGAAATTATGGTTTTATGGTTTTAGACCTGCAATTGTGATCGCGCCAAACTTTTTTTCTGTAGATCAAAAATTAATTTGCAGTTCGGAATTGTTCTGTGGGAGAGCGTGCAGCCGCAGAGATTTCTGAAAAAAAATCACAGAAAATTTTTACATTTCAGGTTACTGTCAATTTAAAGGCGCATTGCAGAGACTGTTGTGTAGGCTTCGCACAGATAGATTTAGTACTGTGCGCGCCATAGTTTTTCGCTTTCGTCGAATATTTCTCTCCAAAATCAACTTATCCTGCTTTTAATATGAATTTCTCGTGCTTTGATTACCGAATTGCTGATTCATTTGTTCACACATCTTTTAGATCAAATTTACACATTAAAATTCAGGTTATTCGCTATCTGCATGATTACACTGGCAGGGGATTCCCCCAAAATTTTGCGAATTATATTTATGAAAAGTTTCAGATGTTTTTATCCCGATTTTTTTTCTCTGTTGCAGGTTGAATGAGTAGTTCTGATTGACAATTGAGTGATTTTGAAACCTTAATTTTGTTGCATTATTCACTTTGTCGAAATCTACGCCTACATGTGTTTGTAGCACGAAATTCCATCGAGATCAAATATGCAAATGCGCATTTTCTGAATTGTTGAATCTGTCGGCTGACGCAGCCGCCCCTTATTATCACCCGTCGCCTTTCTAATGATATCACATCGCTTGTCGAAGAAGGTATTCCCCCAATTTTCCGCCGCAATTAATGAGGCTTAGAAATTTCGAGAGATCGTTTAAAAAGCAAATATTGTTTGGCTAGTTCTTCTAACTTTTGTTTGAACAGTGATTTTATAAGATTGTCTACTGACCATCGGTCACCGGCTCAATCGTTTTTCCTCACTTAATACGGTGCTTCCCTCGCTTCTGTCAACTTGCTAATTCTAGAGACCGACCGAACCGTTTTAGATTCGTCTCGGAAAATCATAAATTTCCCACTATGATCTCCCTGAGTCTTATCTGGTTTCACACACAAGTAGCATGAGTTCCCGATGGCGTCTTGTTAATTTATCTAGTTTTGCTACCGGAAAACGGCATGTTACATCTGTAAAAGCATACCGTATATCCTCATCTCTCTGGCCTGTTCAGATTCGAGTACATTCCCGAACGATATCTCATTCCGTACAACCTGGGTGCGTTTGTCCGTACGTGTCTCTTGGCAAGATAATATGCAAATATTCGTCTACATCATCATCCCCACCGTTTCCTTGTTATGTCTTCGTTTGTCCGCGTCGTAGACACCTCGTGGGTGGGCGGGGTCACCTGCCTACCCATTATGGTCGGACCATACTCACTATCTACATCTATGCATACACATTCCCTCACGCTCATTACGCTACAAATGTTTCCCATTCTCTTTTCTTAGTCTAAACGAGTCGAACGTATTCTTTTATGACTCATATAAGTATTTTCAATCATACAACTTGCAAATTTGTACTTTTTTCAGAGCCCTTTCTTCGTCTACGCTCGCTCAACTCTCAAACGGAACAAACCCAAATCACACGACAGAAGAAAAGTCTACGTTCGAGGCAGTGTTTGTGGCGTGGCCCAAACTTAAATCTGCCGAAGACCTTCACCAATTCACTGGAGCCACAACTTCATAGACTAACTACCCCGCGACCTATATTTATCCTCTCTGTGCTCTAGGAATGACTTCTGATCCTTCTCTACTCTCATGGAATGGCGTTCGCCTGTTCCTCATTTGCTCACTACTCACTGCGATGACTAATTTTCCTTCAGGTTTGTAAATCAACATATTCCTTTTGGCACCATTCAATGTTCTTTCAGGATTCTCTCACACATCCGTTAACACCGCCGTTCACAAACTCAATGAATACCTGAATAGTTCATTCACGGAACGGTACCGACCATTAGATCATGAAGAAGTGTCTCTTCTCAAATCTGGAATCAACTCAGCCTGGTATCTTTTCCAAGTCATCGGCGCAATGTGCAGTCCTTTCCTCTGTGACACCTACGGCAGAAAAGTTGCATTTGCTCTTTCAATCGCATTCATGACTCTCGCTGGCGCGATGCAGATGATCGCTAGTTTCACACCATATTCAGAAGTTTTGATTACCGGAAGACTGATCGCTGCTGTATTCTCTCCGCTTAGTGATGCAGCATTGATTCTCTATCTTCAGGTTGATAAGAATACTTTTTACAATTTGGAAATCTTGTTTTACAGGAAATCTCTCCAGCTTCCCTCCGTGGAACGATGTCATCTCTCTACTCCACTGGATACTCTACAATGTGTTTGCTCGGAATGTTGCTCGGACACGAAGGTCTTCTTGGACATTCACTTTCGGTGCTTCTTTTTGTTCCGGTCATCCCTGGAATTCTGTCTACGGCGTTTATCCTTTGGATGCCTGACACCCCAAAGTTCTTACTTTTGGTGAAAAAAGACAAGGTGGCTGCACTGAAATCACTAAGGTTCTTCCAAGGATTCCTGCCTGATCAAGCTCTACTTATCGATTCGATGGAACAACACCAAAAAGAAGAATTGGCTGCTAACAATAAAAACAATATTGAAGATAAAGAACCAGCAACTTCAGTGATGCACATTCTGACGACCCCACATCTTAGGAAGGCAATGTTGTTGTCCGTTGCTGCAGCAGTTTTAACACTTCCTTTCTATCCGATCCTTCAGAGCAGCACATTCTTCTTCACTGATATGGGCGTAGATATGTAAGATCATATTATGAAAATAAAGGATGTTTCTAAGAACTGATTACAGGAGAACATCTCAAATGGCCTCAAGTTTGATGATGGTGGTGCTCACGGTCTCTTCTATCTGCTCTACCTTGATCATCGACAAAGTTCCTCGCAGAGTTCTTCTCCTCACATGCGGATCATGCACGGTTCTTTTTCTGACTGTCTTCGCTGTAGCAGAGCAAATGCACCAACAATCGATCGCTATGGGAGCATGTTTCGGATTCGTCATGGCCTATGGGTGAGTCTGCTTTGGAAAATAACAACGAAAATAACTTTTTCTATTCAGAATCGGAGTCGGCCCCGTTATCTGGTCTATCCCACCAGAGTTGTCTCCACTGGCCAACAGATCAATGATGTTCTGCTTCGTTTACTCGATTCATAGCTGTCTCGTAGTTGTGACCAATTTCTCAACTATTCCACTCTTCATGAACATCGGCGCCTTCTCGTTTGTGGTCTTGTTCGCCATTCCATCAGCTCTGGCATTGGTCTACTTGCTGACCTGTCTCCCAGAGACCAGCGGACGCGAGATTCATGTCATCATCAACGAACTCAAAGGGTTCATCGAGGACAAAGAACCATCTGCAGATATTATTTCTGCTGTTGCCTAATCAGTCTTCATTTAATTTATTCATTCCTGAGCACTTTGAGAAATGGTCGCGGGGTAGACCTTGTTTTGTTTCATCTCATGTATTTTTGATTGTATCTTGTGTCAGCCTTTTGTATCTGTCTAACAGAATTTTGATATTCACACACCGCATGTCTTTCTCACCCCAATTTTGCTGGTATCACACACTCACCTCAGAAAACAAATTATGTATTTTTATCATTATAAATTGCTTTAATACTCGAATTCAGTCGTTTAAATTTACTAATCGGAACAACACTTGAAATCCAGAGAAAATAGAGAAATTTAAAAGATAAAAAACACCCCAGGCTGACGAGAGAGAAAGATTTACAACTGTTTAGAGAAGACGAATAGATTCAGCCAGATTTGAGCTATTTTTTCAGAGTTTAAAGTTTCGGTCACATTTCGAAATTTTTACAATTGCAATACAGGAAAAACATCAGGATATGTGGAGAAGCTACCAAACTAAAGCTATCAATTGAAATACAGTCAAGCAAATAGAAAAAGAGAAGATTCGGAGAGAATTTGTCCCGAATTCAAACGTCATCGACTCTTGAAATAGAAAATAGAAATTGATACCTAGACAGAGAAAAATTTAATCAGAGAATCAGGGTCCCGAACTGAAAAACTGACTTGGAAAAGAGGAAAATCAATAAAAGAGAGTTAGGATAAGACCACTTCAGAATCACGATGTCCCATTTCTTGATTCTTAGGTGGAATATACAGAAAAATATAGAAATTTCGAAATGTGACTGGAAATTTTGTTGGAAAGATTTCTCAAAACTGACTGAAACTATTGCTGAAATTACAATGAAAGCATGTGTGTTTTGAGTTTTAGAGAATTAAAAAGAAATAAAAAAAGAGATTACAAAAAAAAGAAAGAGTTGGTGTTGACAGGGTGAGAAAAAGCCGGGGTTTGTGATTTATTACTTGATATAAAAAGAAAAAGAAAAGTGGAGAGAAGAAGAAGACAAAAGGATGAAAAACACGAATATCAAATGGCGAAAGAAATTTGGCGAAAACTGGGAAATTTAGACAGGGAAAAGCGGAAAGAATTTAAGGAAGAAAATTATTGGTTGGGCTAGGTGTGATGACTACAAAAATAGATACAAATAAACGGAAAACACAGGATTTGTTTTGGATCTTAAATCAGAAGAAGAGCTGCCGCATACTTTGCAATTGCCTTCTTCTCTCTCACCACTTTGGCTACATAAATTCCGTCGTCGTCCTGCTCGACGTTCTGAAATATAGGCGCAAATTAGTTTTCAAATTTCGAAGAAATTCTTCATGCCTTAATGTCAAGCTTGAAGGTATTTCCGGACTTGACAGATTTGACCCGTTCGTTCTTTTCGATTTTTTCCGATCCACGGAACCACTGTACTGTGAGACCTGAAATAGAAATTTTATTATTCTGAAATGCGGTCTAGTCTATACCTTCAACATTTTCAAAATCAATTGAGAAGGAAGTGGATCCACCGAGTGGAGCAGAGACAGATGATGGTAGTCGGGTGACTGGTGGATCGGCTTTTTCTCCAACGACAACCAAAGAAGCTACAGAAACAATGTTGGTTCCCTTCGATCGAACTTCCAGTTGGTAGTGTCCAGCATCAGATGCTTCAGCTGAGTTCACAGTCAACAGAAGGGTATCGCCGTTTTGAGAAATGCTGGTCTTCTCTCCATCGGTTAACTGAAAATCAAGAAAAATTATTCTGAAAATTGCCATTCTTAGCATACCTCTTGTCCATTTCTCATCCATAAAATTTCATCTGGAGTTCCTTCAATTCTGGCTTCAAAAGTAACGGCTTCTCCAGTTTTCACAACTTCTCCTGCCAAATGTTTTGCGACACGAAGTTGGTTTTCAGCTGTTTCAACATGTCCATTTACAAGTGGTTGCTCTCCTTTTACTGTCAAAGTTGCTCTTGTTTGTTCTTGTCCAGCAGAGTTTGAAGCACGGCAGAGATATTGTCCTTCGTCTGATTTTTTTATGTCACTGACTCTCAACGTGGCTTTTCCACCAACAAACGAGGATCGATATCGGGAATCAGAATCGGAAATTCGTTCTCCGTTATGAAGCCATTCAATGAGTGGTTCTGGTTGTCCGGTGACTTGGGCAGAGAATTCAACTGATTCTCCGACGTCGGTTTCAGCATCGGAAAGTTGAAGAGTGAATGATGGAAGTTCATTGGTAATCTTTGTTTTGAGGTCATCAGCAGCTGATCTGACATCTGGTGATACGTCACGGATGAGGGATCTTCTTCTCATATCCGCATAGGAATGGGATCTTTCAACATCGGTTCCAGTAGACAGGGTATCATAAGCTCGTCTTGGTCTGAACGAAGAAACACGTGGAATTGGTTCTCCGCCTTTAGTTTGAACAGTCAGAACACATTCAGAAACATCCATTCCAAGATCGTTGGTAGCAGTGACGGTGTAGGTTCCAGCGTCGTCGACACGTGCATTGAAGATTTCAAGAGAGCATACACCACTTCTGAAGGACACTTGCACACGGTCTTCATCCACTGGATGTCCATTCTTCATCCATTCAATCGTTGGATTTGGATTTCCTTGCAACGAGCATGTCAATTTGCATTGATGGTTCTTTTGGATCAAACGGTTTCTCAGATGGAATGTGAACTTTGGAGCAGATCTTCTCTCCTTGAACTCCTCAACCTTTGGTGGACTTGGTGCTCTCTTCATTGGTTCTAATGGCTCGAATTTGAGTGGTGCTGATTGACGAGTGACATTCAAGAACACGATTTCCTCCTTTGCACCATAAGAATTCTTAGCACGAACGGTGTATTCTCCCTTATCATCTCCCTTAACTCTATTGATTGTCAATCCATAATCATTTCCATTGTATCTCTTCATGTACTTCACACTCTGTTTCAACTCTCTGTCATCCTTATGCCACGTCACAACTGGTGGAGATGAGGCGATAACTCTGCAGTAGAAGTTGGCAGATTGTCCTTCGGCGACTTCGGTTCCATATGGCTTGACAATGAATCTTGGCTGAGCTTCAGATCTATCCCAGAAGGCGTCACGGATTGAATACTCTTGGGGTCTGTGCTTTCTTAATGAAGAATAGTTGGAAATTCTTCCAAGTGGTGGAAGTGGTTCTGGCCAAGCATCATATTTCGATTTGATTGAATCACGAATCTTGGTGTATCTGCTGCTTGGAATCTGGGAATCACGTCCTGGAACGCTTCCTGGAGAGAGCCATGGATGCTCCAAAGCTTGATGAATGGTCATTCTGGAGTTTGGATCAGCAAGAAGAAGCTTTCTGATGAAGTCCTTTCCGTCTTCAGAAATGCTGGAGAATGCAGAATCATCCATGTTCCAGTCACAACTCTGAAAATTAGAAATAGTTAAAAAAGAAGATGTAAGACCAAAAACAATTACCTTGACATTCCTCAGTGTGTCATCATCGTTCTCTCCTCCAAACGGCGAGAGTCCGGATAGAAGAATGTAAGAGAGGACTCCGACGCTCCACATATCGGTATAATATCCGACTGGCTTGCCCTCGGCAACTTCTGGAGCGGCGAATTCGGCTGTTCCGGTGGTGACTTTCACAGATTGTTTTGGATCGAGATGGGCGGTAAGTCCAAAGTCAATCAGTTTCAATTCATTGCTTCTCTTGGTTGTGAACATGATATTTTCTGGCTTCAAATCCAAATGCACATAGTTGTTCTCATGCATATGACACAAGGCTTTGCACACTTGTCTCATATACTCGACTGCTTCATCTTCACTCATTCGGTTGTGTTCATCGGCGACCTTCTCGAAAAGTTCTCCTCCACTCATGAATTCGTAAATCATAACCATTTCGTTGTCATCTTCGAAGGCATCATGAAGGTTTACAAGTGTTGGGTGTCTCAAAACAGACATTGTTTGGATCTCTTTCCTGACTGTTTCCTTATCAGCTTCATGTGGAGTCATCACGAATTTCGCGGCAAAGTTATTTCCGGTTGCTCTTTCTGTGACTCTGTGAACAACTCCAAAGGCTCCTGTTCCAAGTTCCTCATGGATATCGTAGTGATCAAGAACATGATCGTGTTTGATTTCAACTGGTTGAGGGTAGTATTGCTTCCAGATATCAAAGACGTAGTTGTCGTAGTTAGAAGAGATAGCTCCCTTTCCACGAACAATTTTTCCTTGCTCATCCACATCATATCCACGTCTTCTCTTTCTTTCGTCTCCTGGAATGGTGACTGGCGCAGTTGGCTCACATGGTTTCGATGGTCCATGTTTGTTCTCGGCAGTTATTCTGAACTCATACTGCTTTCCAGCACGAAGTCCTTCAACAGTAGTGTAGGTGTATCTACTCTTGGCACATGGGGCCCATGATCCTCCCATAGCTTCTCTCTTCTCAATGGTGTAGTTGGTAACCAATGATCCTCCGTCGAGTGCTGGTGGTTTCCAAGACAAGATGACAGCTTCATCAAGGATATTCTCAATGATTGGGAATCTTGGTGGTTCAGGAACATCGGCAACGGTGACATTAACGATTCCAGAATCAGATCCAACAGAGTTCTCAACGACGACACGGTACTCTCCGAAGTCTTCACGGCTGGCATCGGAAATTCTCAATGTGGCAAACTTGTCGTCGGTGGTGATACTGTACTTGCTGTTGTTCTCAATCTTCTCACCATCCTTGGTCCATCTAGCTTCTCCTTGTGGGAATGCTTTGTATGGAATCTTCAACTCAACGGTTTCTCCCTTTTGTGCTTCATATCCTCCGTGGTATTTTGGTGGGATGAAGACACGTGGCTTGGTCTTGATTCTCAAGCTGGCTCTTGTGCTACGAGTTCCCGATGAGTTTGTGGCACGACAAGTGTATTCGTCGGCATCATCAGAAGTCAAGTCGTTGATGATAAGAACTTGCTTGTCTCCCTTGTTGATAAGAGTGTACTTGCTGGTGTCCACGAGCTCCTTGCATCCCTTGAACCATCTGTATTCTGGTCTTGGATTTCCACTGACAGTACATTCGAATGTCACACTTCTACCGACTTCTTCATTCAAATCACTTAATGGACTGACAATCTTCGGTCCTTCCCCAGCTCCAGAAGCCTTGAACAAAGTTTGATCAAGTTCCGTTGGATCGGAAAGTCCGGCATCGTTGGCGGCAAACACTCTGTATCTGTACTTTCTTCCATCGATGAGATTTGGAACATTGTAGGTGTTTTGTGGAGATGGATTCTGATTGCATCTGAACCATTCGTCATGTCCTTCCTCTTGTTTTTCAATGATGTATCCACGAAGACGACCTCCACCATCAGATGATGGTCGTTGCCATGAGAGAGTGACATAGTCTCCTCCGACTTGAATAATTTCCAAGTTAATTGGAGACGTTGGTGGGTCGAATGGAAGACGAGCAACAATTGGATGCTCACTGACAAGTGGAGCTCCGATTCCATTCTCGTTCTGAGCGGAAACTCGGAATTCGTACTCGTGATTTTCGAACAATCCGGTGACAATGTAGTTCATATCCTTGACATTCGATGTGACAGTAACCCATTCATCCTTTGATAAGTCTCTTTTCTCAACAACATAGCTGGTGATCTTCGATCCTCCATCGGTGACTGGTGGTCTCCATGACAAAGTAGCTGTGCTTGGTCCAATGTTGCTGATGTGAAGTGGACCTTGTGGTGCTTCCGGCAATCCAGTGACATTGAGCCAGAATCCAGTAGTCGCTTCTCCGGAATCGTTAGAGACGGTGTACTCATATCTTCCAGCTTCTCTGACTGACAATGCTGGGATGGTGATGAGAATATGATCATCGAATTCGACAGTTCTGATTGTTGGGTGATCCATATCGATTTCTTCTTTGTTCAATACCAAACTATGACGGAATGGTGCTGTTCCAGAGAAATAAATCTTGAGACGAACAAGATCTCCACTTGGAAGGATAGTATTTGGAACGTCCTTCTCAATAACTGGTGGGGCTTGAACAATGAGTTTTGCAGTTGCAGTGTCGCTTCCATAAGAATTGAACACTTCAACAGTGTACTCTCCTGCATCAATATCCCAGACTTCCTTGATGGTGAATTTGTATACTCCATCGCTTGATTCAAATCTGTATCTGCTGCTCTCTGGAAGTTCTCTTCCGTTTCTGAGCCATCTTGCAGTTGGTTCAGGTCTTCCGACGGCTTCACAGACGAATACAGCTCTTCTGTTGTATGGTTGAGCAGTGTCTTCTGGTTTGACCACAATTTGAGGACGGGTTCCTCCGGATTCTTGAATCTTGATTGGTCCAGATGGAAGTGATGGAATTCCTTTTCCTGCTGCGTTGATGGCGACAACACGGAATTCGTAGTCGTTGAACTCCTTGAGCTTATCAACAGTGAATTCTGGTTCGCGCACATTGTAATCACTGACGACAGTCCACAAAGTGCTTCCATACTCTCGCATCTCAACATTGTATCCGGTGATCTTAGATCCTCCGTCTTCGAGTGGTGGCATCCAAGTGATAGTACAATGATTGCGTCCGATAGATTTGGCTCCAACTTGAATTGGTGGTCCTGGTGGTCCATATCTCGATTTGAGTTGGCATCTTTCAGACGGTGGAGATGGTTTAGAGAATCCAGCAGCATTCTTGGCAATGATTCTGAATTCGAATTCTCCGTTCTGACGAAGTCCGGTAACACGTGTATGGCACTGTTCGGCGAGATCCGATTTGGCATTGATCCATCTTCCAGAAGAAGTATCTCTGTATTGCACTTGGTATCCGATAACCTTCGATCCTCCATCCTTTGGTGGATCCCATTCCAATTCAGCCCAAGTTGAATCCTTATCACGGACAGTTGGAGCCTCTGGTTGGTTGGGCACATCGAATTGGTACTTGGTAACGACGACCTCGGAAAGTTCGCATGGCTCAGAAACTCCATATTGAGTCTCAGCACGGATACGGAATCGGTATCTGTTGTCCTTGATGAGTCCTCCGACAGTGTAGTTCAAATTGCGGACGAAAGAAGAAACCTTCTCCCACTTTCCATCAGAATGACGAAGATCAAGCTTCTCGACGATGTAGTTGGTAATTGGAGATCCTCCGTCGGATGATGGTGGCATCCAGTAGAGAGTACAACAATCTGGAGCAATATCCTCAACTCTGATGTGTTGTGGTGGTGCTGGTTTGTCGACAACTTTCAGACGGATACTGGCAGAATCACTTCCTTGGCTGTTTTCAAGTTCAACAAAGTAGAGTCCTCCATCAGTCAATTCAGACTTTTCAATAGTCAATGTAGCCAAGAAGTCACTGTATTCCACCTTGATTCTTGGATCTGTTGCACTGATCTTCTTCTCTCCCTTTGAGAAAGTAACCTTTGGAGCTGGGGAAGCAGCGAATGGTACCAAGATTTTAGCACGATCTCCTGCATAAGCCAAAACATCTCTGGTGAGCATTCCCATGTTGATCTTTGGTCTGGTTGGTGCGTTGTCAGCGGTGATTGGAACAGAGTTAGCACTGTATTCTCCTTGTCCGGCAGCATTGTAAGCAGCCACTCTGAACTCGTAGGTCTTCTTTGGTGTGAGTCCAGTGACACGGTGTTTAGTGTCAAGGATATTTCCAAATGCAGCTTTTGTCCATTCAGTGGTTCCAGCTTCTCTCTTCTCGATAACGTATCCTTGAATTGGAGCTCCTCCATCAGAAGTTGGTCTAGTCCATTGAAGAGTGATAGCTTCTTCAGAGGTCTCAACGGCTTCTGGTTGTCCTGGTGCTCCTGGAGTGTCGAATGGATTCTTGGCAACAATAGCGTCATCGGTCTCGAGTGGTTCTCCGACTCCGTATTGGTTTTCAGCCCGAACACGGAATTCGTATGGAGTGTTGGCATCCAAGTTACGGACACGAAGAGTGGTTCCTACTGGATGTCCGACGGTGACCCAGTCTCCCTCCCGGAGTTCTCTTTTCGAACACGTAATTTGTGATCTCAGCTCCTCCACTGACCTTTGGTGGTCTACATGAAAGACTCATTGCTTCGGCTTGAATATATGTGGCACGGATTGGACCAGTTGGTTTTCCTGGTGCATCAAGAACAAATACGTTGAGTTTGCATGTGTCTTTTCCGTACTTGTTGGTTGCCGAAATTTTGTATGGTCCAGCATCAGATCTCTTGGATCCAGTGGTAGTGATCACGATTTCTCCTGGATTCACATCGACGACAGTTCTCTCATTCTCAAAGATTGGAGAGTTTCCATTGAACAAGTCAATGATTGGCTTTGGATTTCCACCAGCGTATGGAATGCGGATTTGAATGGTTTCTCCAGCACGGACGGTGATATCCTTGAGGTTGGTGATGTCGAAGATTGGGCGACCTGGTTGTTCCTCGATAAGAACCAAATCAGAAGGCTTCGAAGGCTCTCCTTCTCCAGCACTGTTGACTGCGATAACACGGAATTCGTATTCCTCCTTTTCTCCAAGATTCTTGACTTCAAAGGCAGTGTCACGAACTGGTTTATCATTGCATCGTGTCCAGTCATTATCTCCCAACTTCTTCTTCTCAATGATATATCCATCAATTGGAGCACCTCCATCTCTCAATGGTCTATTCCATGTGAGCTCAGCAGAGTTCTTTGTGATCTTTCCAACTCTTGGAGCATCTGGTGCGCCTGGCTTCTCGACGTATGGACGGCAAGTCACTGGTTCAGATCCGTTACTTGGTTCTCCTTGACCAGCAGCATTCACAGCGCGGACACGGAATTGGTATGTCTCGTTTTCATGAAGACCGGGGACGATGCATTCAGTTCCCTTGACCATCGGCATTTTGACTGGAGCCCAATCGCCTCCTCCTCTCTTTTCGAATCGTTCAACAACGTATCCAATGATTGGAGAGCCTCCATCATCTCTTGGTGGATTCCAAGACAATGAAACTTGGTTGGTATCGTATCCAGTGATTTCTGGAGTGCTTGGAGCACCTGGTGGATCGAATGGATCCTTGATAACAACTGGTACTCCTTGACAGTAATCGGAGAGACCAACTGCATTCTCGGCACGGATTCTGAAACGATATTGCTGTCCATGTTCAAGTCCACGAACGGTGTATGAAGTCCCAGAAATGAGTCCTGGAACCTTATCCCAGATTTGAGATCCAATCTCTTGGTACTCGATCTTATATCCAGCAATTTCAGCACCTCCATCGTCCTTTGGAGCATCCCAGTTGAGAGTGCAGGTGTGTCTGCTCACAGCTGGATAAGTGATGTTCTCAGGTGGTCCTGGTTTGTCAATAACAGTGATCTTGATATTGGCTTCAGCTTCTCCATAAGATTGACTGCCTTGATCTTAACTGGTCCTGAATCAGTTCTTCTCGTAGATGGGATAACCAATTTGGTTTGTGAGTCAGTAGTCTCAACACCAGCCAATGGTTTTCCTCCTTCCTTGGTCCATGAGATGTCTGGTTGAGGAGAAGCAGTGTATGGGATGGTGATAACCAATGGTTCTCCAGCCTTCACACGGAATTCCTTTCCATCCAAATCCAAATCGAACTTTGGTGCTTCGTGCATCGGTTTGGCAGTAGCAGAAGCAGATGGATCTGATGGTGCTCCTGGTCCAGCCTTATTGACAGCAACGACACGGTATTCGTAGGTATGACCTTTTTGAACACGAGTATCCGAAAAGGCGTTTCCTTGAACTGGTGAAGTGTTGACCTTGATCCATCTTCCAGTCTTTGCATCTTTTCTTTCAACATCGTAATGATCGATTGGTGATCCACCGTTGTCTCTTGGTGGATCCCATTTGATGTCAATATGGTCATTATCAGTATCAACGATCTCAGGTTTTCCTGGCTTTCCTGGTGTTCCGAATGGATCCTTGGCAAGGACTGGCTCATCGGTGTTCAATGAATCAGATCTTCCGAAAGCGTTCTCAGCCATAACACGGAATTCGTACTCGTGACCCTCGGTGAGTTTTGGAACAGTAATGGAAGTTCCAGTGACAAATGCAGAAACTGGAACCCAAGTGTTGGTACGAGTATCTCTCTTCTCGACAATATAGTTGCTGATTTCAGCACCACCGTCATCCTTTGGTGGTTTCCAGTTCAGAACGCAGCTATCCTTGGTGACATCAGAAACTTCAAGTGGTCCTTCTGGTGGAGATGGTTTGTCTTGAACAACGACTTCGAAGATTCCTTCGTCCTCTCCCAACTCGTTCTTCACCTTCAATTTGTAGTTTCCACTGTCAGCTCTCTTGGCAGATGGGAAGAAGATTGAGGTCGTGTTGGTTTTGGCATCCACAATGAGTTCTGGAGCAAGCGCAGCTCCATCACCAACAGTCCAAGTGGCAGTTGGATCTGGGGCTCCGACAAAGTCCACTTCCAAGTTGTGAGTGAATCCAGCCTTGATCTTGATCTTTCTGTTTGCGGTCAGGATCTTTGGTTTCAAGTAGCGAGCCTTTGTAATTTGCGGATCAGTTGGTTCGGATGGATCAGATGGTCCAGCTGCATTGACAGCAATGACACGGAACTCGTATTCCACTCCTTGTTTGAGATTGTCAGCACTGAATGTAGTTCCAGCAGCCTTTCCAGCTTCAGTCCAGAGGGCACTTCCCTTTTCTTTCTTTTCCACAATGTATCCGGTGACTGGAGCTCCTCCATTGTTGGCTGTTGGATTCCACTTGATATCAATTCTGTCCTTGTCCCAGTCAGTGACTTCTGGTTTGTCAACTGGATCAGGAACATCGAATTGATTCTTGGCAATGATTGGTTCTTCGGCTTCCAATGGTTTGGATTCTCCTTGCAAGTTGACAGCCTTCACACGGAAAGAGTATTCCTTGCCAGGAACCAGCTTGTTGACCTTAGCAGTGCAATCCGGGAATGTTCCGACCTCTTGCCATGTTCCACGAGTGGTATCCATCTTCTCCACAATATAATGAAGAATATCAGTTCCTCCATTATCAGTTGGTGGCTTCCAGTTAAGAGTACATCCTTCCTTGTGAACTTCATCAATTTTAAGTGGTCCTTCTGGTGTTCCAGGTACATCAAGAACTGTAACATTGCATTGAGCAGTGTCTTTTCCATGTTCGTTTTCAACAATGATCTTGTATACTCCAGTATCTCCACGAGCTGCAGAGAAAACGTTCAAAGCAGAGGATGTTGGGGTGTTGGTCACATCAGCGCGAGCTCCGGCTTCGACAGTCTTGTCATTGGCTTTCCACGTGGCAACTGGAGCTGGTTCTCCTTCGAATGTGATATCAAGTTTGATTGGTGTTCCAGCCTTGATACGAAGATCCAAAAGTCCAGCAAGATTGAGTTTTGGTGCCATTCTTCTCGGCTTAGCAACGACGTTTCCAGTTGGATCGGATGGTTTTCCTGGTCCAGCCTTGTTAACAGCCTTCACACGGAATTGATAGGTTTCTCCTGGAGTCAAATTGTCAGCAGTAGCCTTGGTAGTCTTTCCATCGACACGAGCACATTCGACCCAGTCTCCGAACTTATCTTTCTTTTCAACTATGTATGCATCAATTGGAGCACCTCCATCATTTGCTGGTGGCTTCCATTCGAGATCAACATGATCCTTATCCCAATCGACTGGAGTAACATCAGTTGGTGCATCTGGCTCATCGAATGGATTCTTGGCAACGATGGCATGATCAGATGTGAGTGGAGCAGATGTTCCTTGACGGTTGACTGCCTTGACGCGGAATTTGTATTCGTGTCCTTCTGATAGTTTGTTGACCTTGAGAGAAGTGTCTGAAGTCTCTCCACATGGAACCCAGCGTCCTCCGTCTTCTTGTTTCTCAACGACGTAGTTGGTAATTGGAGATCCTCCATCATCCAATGGCTCATCCCATTTCAATACAACACTTTCCTTGGTGATGTCCTTGTGACGAAGGGGTCCTTCTGGAGCGCCAGGAATGTCGAGAATGTTGACATCGACTTCATGTTCATCCTTTCCACTTTCGTTGGTGGCAACAATTTTGTACTTTCCACTATCAGCTCGAGCGGTTCCCTTTGTCGTCAACTTGGTGTTATTATCAGTGTTATTATCGATATGGGTCTTTCCACCAGATGGAAGTGGAGTTCCATTCAAGAACCATTCAATCTTTGGAGCTGGTTCTCCTTCGACGTTCACATCAAAATTGAGAGTTTGTCCAGCCTTGATTCTTTGAGCAACGAACATATCTCTGTTGATCTTTGGTGCAAGATGACGTGGCTTAGCAACCATAGTTCTGCTTGGATCAGATGGTGTGGATTCACCAGCCTTGTTCAAAGCCTTTACGCGGAATTGGTAAGTTTGTCCTGGTTTCAATCCATCAACAGTAGCAGTGAGCTCTCCGGCTCCAACCTTGACAGCTGGAACCCAGTCTCCTGATGGAGTTCTCATCTCAACGAGATAGCCTTCGATTGGAGCACCTCCGTCATCAGCAGGTGGTGTCCACTTGAGATCTGCGTGATCCTTATCCCAGTCGACAATTTCTGGAGTTCCTGGCTTATCAGCACGATCGAATGGATCCTTAGCAATGATGGCTTCACGAGCCTCCAATGGATCAGAATCACCATGACGATTGACTGCTTTGACACGGAACTTGTATTCGTGTCCTTGTACGAGATCATCAACATGGAAGTTGGTATCCTTACTTTCTCCACAAGCGGTCCATCTGCCAGTTGCTGCATCTTGCTTCTCGATGACGTAGTGACTGACCTCTGCACCTCCATCATCTTCTGGTTCCTTCCATGCAAGATCGCAACCATCTTTGACAATGTTAGTAATGTCGAGTGGTCCACGTGGGCTTGATGGATGATCAAGAACAGTAACTTTAACTTCAGCAGTATCAGTTCCATTCTCATTCTCAGCCTTGATGATATAGGTTCCAGTATCCGAGCGAAGAGCTCTTTTGACATGGAATTTTGTTCTTCCGTCTTCATTAGCCAACTTCATACGATCATCAGATTCAACTGGGGTTCCTTCAAATGTCCAGGTAATAACTGGAGTTGGTTCTCCGCTGACTGGAATGTTCAACGAGAAATCTTGACCAGCCTTGACTTTGATTTCTTGGATAGAATTGCGGTCGATAACTGGTGGAACATTTCTAGCCTTGGCAACGGCGGAAGCCGAATCAGACGGATCTCCCAGTCCAGCCTTGTTCTTGGCACGGATTCTGAACTCGTACTTGGATCCTTCCTTAAGGTTTCCAACGGTGGCATTGGTTTGCGATGCTGGAACATGAGCGACTTCATTCCAGAATGGTGAGAACTCGTCCTTCATTTCAACGACATATTCTTCGATTGGAGCACCTCCATCATTTGCTGGTGGTTTCCATTCAAGATCAACGTGATCCTTATCCCAATCGGTGACATCTGGAGCACTTGTCTTTCCTGGTTTGTCAAATGGATCCTTGGCAAGAGTGGTTCCGAAGGTTTCCAATGGTTCTGATTCTCCCTCAGCGTTGACGGCGGCGACACGGAACTGAAACATTACGATATGAAGGATGTACAATATTGACTGGGGAGTTACCTTGTACTCGTGTCCTGGAATCAATCCGTCGACAACAGCCGTGGTTTGATCTCCGGGAACCTTAGCAGCTGGAACCCATCTTCCGTTGGCTGTATCGTATTTTTCAATGACGTAGTTTTCGAGTGGAATGCCTCCATCATCGTCTGGTGCACGCCAGTCCAAAGTGACATGATCACCGTGAACATCAAGAACGTCCAATGGTCCGTTTGGTGGAGTTGGCTTGTCTGAAATTAGGATAGATTGAAATGATGGACATGAATGAAAGAAAACTCACCAATGACATTAATCTTGACAGTTGCTTCATCTTCTCCGTTCACGTTGACAGCCTTGATTGTGAAGGTTCCACTGTCTCCACGCTCCATTTGTTTAACAACCAATTTGGATTGATAATCTGGATTGTCGAGCTTGACACGTCCTCCCTTTCTGATTTCTCTGTTATCTGGCCAGTGCCATGTGACAGTTGGAGCTGGTTCTCCAGATACTGGAACGTCGAATGAGATAGATTGTCCTGCCTTGATAGTCAAGTTCTTGAGAGCATCACGGTCAATGTGTGGCTTCACTGAAAATGAATAATATGCATAGGTATTGATTTCTGATCAAACTCACAGTTTCTTGGCTTGGCAATGACTGCCTTACTGGCATCCGATGGGTCGGAAGGTCCTCCCTTATTGACAGCGATAACTCGGAATTCGTATTCCTCGTTTGGTGTCAAGTCTGGAACGGTGGCCTTGGTTTGACCTCCTGGAACAGTGATAGCTGGTTCCCATCTTCCGTATTTGGTTCTCTTCTCAATCTGGTACTCTTCAATTGGAGCACCTCCATCAGAAAGTGGTGGATCCCATTTAAGATCAACATGATCCGAATCCCAATCAGTTGGCTCTGGACGTCCTGGTCTATCTGGACGATCGAATGGATTCTTGGCCAAGATGTCGGTGTCAGTCTCCAATGGTTCAGATGCTCCTTCACTGTTGACTGCCTTCACACGGAACTTGTAGTGATCTCCTTTGTTGAGAGTGTCGACTGTGAAGTGAGTATCACCACTTCGTCCACATGGAACCCAGATTCCGTCCTTCGTGTTCATCTTTTCGATCTCATAGAACTCGATAGGCTCTCCTCCATCATCCTCTGGTGGTTTCCAGTCGAGAGTGGCACGATCTTCGAAAACATCTGTGACTTCAATTGGTCCCTTTGGCTTCGTTGGCTTGCTCTTGACCTTGATATCAATAGTGACACTATCGGTACCATTAACGTTTGTAGCAGTGATGGTATACTTTCCACTTTGTTTACGAAGTGCCTTTGGCAAAGCGAATCTTGAAATGTATGGTTCATTTTCGATTTGAGCCTTGCTCTCTCCGATTCCTTTTCCATTGAAGGTCCAAGTAACATCTGGTGCTGGCTCTCCGTCGATGTGAACGATGAATTTAAGAGCAGCTCCGACCTTGACGGTGGTATCAGATAGATCCTCACGATGGATGCGTGGAGCGAGGTTGCGTGGCTTGGCAATGACACGATCAGATGGATCAGATGGATCTCCGGTTCCAGCCTTGTTACGAGCAGAGATTCTGAATTGATATTCCTCTCCTTCCTTCAAGTTTGGAACTGTAGCAGCATTCTGATCTCCTGGAACAACAAGTGCTTCTTCCCATCTTCCGTTCTTGTCTTTCTTTTCAATGACAAAAGCTTCGATTGGAGCACCTCCGTCGTCTGGTGTTTTCCATGCCAAATCGACATGATCCTTATCCCAATCAACCAGTTCTGGCTTGTCAACCTTTCCTGGAACTTCGTATGGATTCTTGGCAAGGATGGCAGTGTTGGTCGTCAATGGATCCGACTCTCCTTCCTTGTTCACTGCACGGACACGGAATTTATATTCATGGCCTGGTTGGAGATTTGGAACAGTTGTCTTAGTAGTTTCACTTCTTCCACATGGAACCCATCTTCCAGTCGCCATATCCATCTTTTCGATTTCATAATGATCAATTGGAGCACCTCCGTCGTCTTCTGGAACTTGCCATTCCAAATCGCAATGGTCCTCATAGACATTGGTGACTTCCAATGGACCCAATGGGCTGGATGGTTTTCCGAGAACGATAACTTCAACAGAATGTTTGTCAGATCCAGAAGCGTTGGTCGCTGTGAGAGTGTAGAGTCCAGCATGTTTACGTGTGGCTCCACGGAGAACAAAACGCGTTTTGTAGTCCTCATTCTCGATCTGAAACAGATTTAGAGTTTAGAGTTTGATTCAAAAAGTTTGAAATTAAGAAACTTACTCTGATCTTCTGATCATCGACTGGCTTCTCCAAGAAGAGCCATTCCTTCTTCGGTGGTGGTTCTCCACGTACTGGAACATCGAATTCCACATCGTTTCCAACTTTGATTGTAATGGTCTTCATGGCTTCTCTGTCGATCCATGGCTTCAAGTTTCTTGGCTTAGCAACAACCTTTCTGCTTGGATCAGATGCTTCTCCTGGACCAGCCTTATTGATGGCCTTGACGCGGAATTGATATTCTTCTCCTTCTTTGAGCCCAAGAATTTCAGCATTCGTCTGATCTCCAGACACTTTTCCACACTCTTGCCAATCTCTTCCATGTTTTCCCTTCTTTTCAATGATGTACTGGGTGATTGGAGCACCTCCATCCGACTTTGGTGGTTCCCATTCAAGAGAAACACGATCAGCATCCCAGTCAACAACATCTGGAGTTCCAGTCTTTCCTGGCTCATCATATGGATTCTTGGCCTTGGTATCCTTATCAGTAGAAAGAGCATCGGAAGCGCCTTCTTTGTTGACAGCCTTCACACGGAACTGGTAGGTTTGTCCCTTCTTGAGACCATCAATATGAGCCTTGGTGTCCTTAACCTTGGCACATGGAACCCATCTTCCAGTGGCGGTATCGAGCTTCTCGACTTCATAATATTCGATTGGCTCACCTCCATCATCATCTGGTGGTTTCCATGAAAGATTGAGATTGTCCTCAAAGACATCTGACACTTCAAGTGGTCCATTCGGTTTGCTTGGTCTATCCAAAACAATCAAATTCGCCTTTTCTTCGTCAGCTCCATGAGAGTTCTTCACTGTCAAACGGTACTCTCCAACGTCAGAACGCATTGCAGATGGAATGCAAAGGATAGTATGCTCGTTCTTGCGAGTATCGATGGTGAGTTGAATTCCGTTTTCAAGATGTTGATCTCCCTTGAACCATTTGACTTCTGGAATTGGTTCTCCACCGATCTTCACTTCCCAACGAACAGTGGCTCCAGCCTTCACGGTGATAGACTTCAGATTGTCGTGTTTCAACCAGGCCGGAACTGAAAATTCATGAGAAGTCAAAAATCAAAACAATATATTAAACTCACTGAATTTCGGCTTGGCAAGTTGTTTCTCGGATGGTTCGGATGGTTGTCCAGGTCCTGCTTTGTTAACAGCTTTAACTCTGAATTGGTACTCCTTTCCTTCCTTCAAACCAGTGATCGAAGCATTCGTATCTGGGACACGTTTGACCTCCTTCCATTCTTTAGTGTCTGGATCACGAACTTCAACGATGTATTCCTCTATTGGAGCTCCACCATCTTTGTGTGGTGGCTCCCAAGCAATATCGATTCTGTCCGCATCGAAGTCGGTAATCTCTGGACGTCCTGGCTTTCCTGGTTCATCCCATGGATCCTTGATCTGAGTGTATTGATCGGCAGAGAGTGGTTCTGATTCTCCTTCGTTGTTGACTGCCTTGACACGGAACTTATAGTTGCCCTTGTTACGAAGTCCGGACACTTTGAGATTCGTGGTATTTGGATCAACTCTTCCAACTTCAATGTACTTTCCTTTGTTATCCATATCCTGAGCCTCAACGATGTATCCAGTAAGCGGATCACCTCCATCATCCTCTGGTGGATTCCATGAAAGAGAAGCTCCATCGGCACAGACGTCTGTGATATCGAGTGGTCCCTTTGGTGGGGTTGGTCTTCCAACAACAGTGACAGTTGCCGTTGAATCACAAGTTCCCGAAGAGTTTTTGAGAGTGATGGTATATTGTCCAGAGTCTCCACGAACGGCATTTTCGATCTTCATGACATGCTTTCCTCTCTCTGAAGACATCTTGACTCTTCCAACAGCCTTCAGTGGTTTTCCATTGACAATCCAAGTGCAGTCTGGAAGTGGCTCTCCAGAAATTGGAACTTCATACTTGATTGTTTCTCCAACTTTGAGACGAAGATCCTTGATTCCTCCTCCAGTGAACTCTGGAGCGGCCTTCTTCGCCTTGATCTTAATTGGTTTTCCATGATCACATGGATCTCCTGGTCCTGCTTTGTTGACAGCCTTTACGCGGTACAAGTACTCCTTATCTTCAACAACCTTCGTGTCTGTCAATTCACAGCAATCTGGTTTGGTCTGGCCAACTTGGTGCCAATCCTTTTCAGATTTCTCTCGTCGTTCAATGATGTATCCAGTTATTGGAGCACCTCCATCTTCTTCTGGTGCTTCCCAAGCCAAAGTGCAATGATCCTTGTCAATATCGATGGCTTCCATGTTCTTTGGTTTTCCTGGAACTCCATACGGATTCTTGGCAAGAACTGACTCTCCGGTGAGTGGATCCGATAGTCCACACTCGTTTTGAGCCTTGACACGGAACTTGTATTCTCCGTGTTCCTTGAGATCCTTGACCTTGAAATCTGTTCCCTTGGTCTCTCCAACCTTGACCCAGTTTCCACTTCTGCCTTCTTGCATTTCAATGATGTAGGCTTTGACTGGAGCTCCCTCGTCTGGATCAGGTGTTCCCCAGACGAGATCGAGTCCTTCAGCAGTGACATTCTTGGTCTCAAGTGGTCCCTTTGGTGGCTTTGGTTTGTCCTTGACGAATAACTCGAATGGAGCAAGAGCAGTTCCAGCAGAGTTTCCAAGTTCGAGTGCCCATTTTCCGGTGTCGGCCAATTGTGGATTCTTGAAAACAATCTCAGCCACATCATCCTTGATCACGACTTCAACCAATTTACGCATTTCCTCATCGATTGGCTTTCCATTCTTCAGAATCTGTGCTTTTGGATCTCCACGACGAGTTCCCTTGATCTGGAATGGAACTTTGACAACACATGGTTCTCCAGCCTTAGCTTCAATTTTCTTTGGCTTCCAATTGATGATTGGCCTCTTTTCTGCCTCCAAAACTGTCACATTACAAGATCCACGAAGACCAGCCTGGTCGATTTCGTAGACATCGGCTTCGTTCATCTCAATCTTTCCAATTTTGAGAGTATGTGTTCCGTTTCTGGATTGAGTTTCGAATTTTCCACCTGGCATACTTGAGATTTGTTTTCCATTACGGAACCAGATTCCAGGAGTTTTGGTGTCCTTGGTTTGACACATCAACGTGACATCATCCTTTTCAATCACTTCAGTGTCCTTCAAAGCGACAAGGAACTTGTTCTTAGCATCAACAATAAGTTGGGCCATTGTTCTGTCATCCTTGGTGGTACATTTGTATTCTCCGTGATCTTCAATTCTGGCTCCATTGATGATAAGTCTTCTCTTTCTGTTAGCAGATTCAACCTTGAATTTAACTCCATCAATGTCAATTCTCTTTCCATCGTGCCACCAAACAACTTCAGCATCCTTATCGTTCACATCAGTCTCCAAAGTCGCCAATTCACTTTCGTTAACTTTCTGAGACTTCATTGGAACGACGAATGTGTGACGTGGCTCTTCGACGTATACTTGAACTTTAGAGAAGACATCTTGAGTGATTCTAGCCGTCCATTCAGCTTGATCGTCCTCCTCAACTTCCTTGATGGTAAGAGTACAACGACCGACGGCATCTTTCTCAATGATGAATCTTGGATCTTCTTCTTGAATTTGTTTACTTCCTCTCCACCATACCAATGGAGCACGTGGGGTGTTAACTTTGCAAGTGAGCACAGCTTGCTTGGTACGGTAGATTTCTTGAGTATTCGGCAACGGATTCAGGAAACTGTACTTCATTGGTGGTTCTGGGAAATTCAGAAAATTAGAAGGATAGTAAAATGTGTCACTTACCAAGTACAGTCAGCTGAGCATGAGTTGGTACTCCGTTAGCCTCACAGGTGTACTTTCCGGTATCATCTACTTCTGGATTGTTGATAATCAGTGTGCACACGTTCTTCTCGATGACGATCTTGTATTTGAGACCTCCGGAAAAGATCTCTTTTCTGTCCTTGTACCAACGAATTTTGGCATTTGGACGCGAGTAGGTACACTTCCACTCGCAAATTTTGTCGACCTGAAAACTATGAATTTTTTCTAGAATTTGATTATGTTTTAAATTTCAAAGTTTAGAAAAATCAGCTTGCCTGTTGCTGAACAGTCTTATCCGGCAACGGAACATCCCATTTCTCGACTTTCTTTCCAGGGAAGAGGGATTGTCTTCTCTCAGCTTCAGTCATTGGCTTCTTATCTCCACCGCCTCCGCCGCCTCCTTCTCCATCTTTTTGGAAGCCGGCTTGGGATTCTCTGAAAATATAATTTCTTGATTTAGTCTAAAAAATGAAAAAATCCAAACAAAACTTCTGAAAATAAATATAAACTGAAAATTGTTGAAAACGGGTGGAAAAGCGTTGGGTTCAAGGAGAGAGTTTTAGATTGCGATTTGGCATGTGAATATGTGAAATTAATAAACTTAAGAAAATATTGAAAAGGAGCATGCTCGGATTACTGTAGTGCGAGTTAGTGAAGATAATATGAAAATTGTTTTTGATGAAAAAAATGTCGCTATATTTGAAAAAGAAACCTTTTGGAGTTTGCCCGTTGTTGACCGCTAAACGGAATGAATAATCAAATGAAAAATAGAGAGAAAGGAGTGGGGAAGAATTGGGAAAAAACAAAATCCATAACCGGAAAAAATAAGAATACCTGTGTTTCAGCATGGCTCGGAAATCGAGTCCGTTGTCAGATGTGACCAACAGCTTCACATCAGCAGAATCGGTTCCGTGTGCATTTTCGATCGTCAGGGTGTAGGGACCTTCATCCTAAAAATCAAAAAAGAACGTCACAAAAGAATGATCTTGTTTTCCCAGAAATGACCTGAGATCTGCACTTGAGCAAGGCCAGTGCCACAGTTTGTTCTTTTCCATCAGTGATATGTTTGAATCTTCCTCCACTGATCACTTCACGACTTCCTTTGAACCACTTGAAAGTGGGGGCGGGACTACCCGACACTTTACATGTTAGAATGGCGGTTTCGTCTGAAAATTATAATCTTCGAAAAAAAAATATAATCAGAATCTTACTCTCAACAACTGTGACATTTTCTGGGACTTCGACGATTTTGGGAGCACTGCCTGATGCACCGCTTGGGACGAGCGGTGTCGACGTCTAAAGATTCAGAAGTTAAGTTAGAATCATACCACATTATCCTACCTTTTCAAGAATTTCTTGAACAGATTCACGTCTCATGTCGATACTAGAGCGTCTCTGAAACAAATTAAGTACGAATTCAGACCTAGTTGGACAGTCAAAACACGTGGAAAGCTTAGACATCACAAAACCATAAAATCTTGGTTACTGTATATCATCTTAAGTGATTCGAGAATTCAAGACAACTTCTTTGAAGCTATAACTTTCCACGTGTCTTTGTTTCTCATGCAACATTGAATGTTCAATTTAGGTCACACAAAAAAGTTGTCTGTTTTTGAAAAAAGTTTGAAAATAATCACAATTGAGTCTCTGCGAGAATTATCTGCTGAGTCTCTCGGAGCTCGAGATCCGCGTCGGAATTCTCCGAAGACAGATCCACGTCGTGACTCGGATTCTGATTGACTCTCATCATCGGCCACGTGTTTTGGGACGCCAGGTACTTTCTTCAGCTTGATTCCCTCCAACTCATTCGTCTCCTCTTGAGCCTTCTTTGTCACTTTCTTCAATTGAATCTGCGACAGAAGATTCTTGGGCTCTTCTGGTTTAGGGGCGGCTCCATTTCGTTTTTGTCCGACCTGACGACCACCAACTTTTGATTTCAGCTCTTCTGATTTCGACTTCTCTTCTACTTTTTCGTGGTGCTGAAACAAATGGTTAGATACATAAATAGTTAGAAACGGAAACAAAAATGAAACGATTTTTGGACGGATCTTTGAATATTAGCAGAAATTGGAAAATATTACAAGAAATCACCTCAAACCATGCGAAACTCTTTTTCTAATGTCGTTTTGTCTCTTACTCGTGGAGTTGTCGGCTCATCACTTGAAGTACTCGTTGCCACTGGAGCAATACTGACTTTTTTGGGTTTATCCTAAAAGAAATTGTTAGATTTGGGGAAAAGAGAAATGTTAACTTATAGAAAGGGGATCTTGGGTATGAAATAGAGGGATAGAGGAATGCAAAAGGAGATACATAGAGAGATAGGATATAAGAGAAGGAAGCGATGAAACACATATACATATATTAAAGTTTTTATACTGAATTTCCAAAAATTCAGTACAAAAACTTTAAAAATATTTTTGAAAAAAAAGACATAAAAAATACCTCCTTCTTGGACCCATTGCTATCAGTTTTCTCGTATTTTTGCAAAGTGGTCCGTTCTCGTTTTTCCATTTTGAATTCGGTTTTGATTCCTGATTCGGTGCCATTCTTTTCTTTTACACTGATCGATGACTCTTTCACTTCTTTCTTCACAACTTTCTTAAGTTGTACTTTGAATGCACCGTCCGAATTCTCTTCAACCTTCCCCTTTTTCAACTCAAGCTTCTTCATACTAGCCGTCGAATCGGATTTTTCCAATCCTCCTGCACCAGTTTTTACTTTTTTGAGTTGTGCAAACGGATTTCCCGCTTGCTCGGGATGGCCATCTTTTGAGAAAAGAGAAGTGGATCCGCGCCTTGACCTAGAATCCTGGGATAGTACAGATGATGTGGAATCGGTTCGGTCAAGTGGGAAGCCCGGTTTGTCAGCGGTTCCTCCTTCCTCTTTCTTCACTTTTTTCAACTTAACCATGGCTTTGAAATCGAGTTCGCCATCGGCCTTCTTGACAGTTTTGCGAAGTTTTGTCTTCTCCTGAAATGGGACAAAAAGACATAAAAATGAAAAACAGACATTGAAAAGGCACACCTCTACAGTATTCGATTCATTTCGTGTTGATGTAGTAGTTTTACGAAGAACAGTGTCGCGAGAGAACATCTCGTCCTGCTTTGGAGGACTCTGAAACACACATACAGACTGACTCTGAAAACAGACAAAAAAGACAAGAGAGACAATAACAGGATGATCAATTCAATGATCAGGAGAAGTAGTTGACACATGATGGCTCACTATCTGTTTGCCCCCGTTTGCGAGGGGTTTTCTTCCTCCTAAAAACTACAAGTGCTCTTCTCATTCTGGGTCACTTTCCTACGGGTTCTGCGGGGGCAAAACTGTGTTTTCTTTTGAATGATTAACAAACTATGTTTTGGAAAAGAAGGTGAGCCATCCTGTGAAAACAGTTCTAACCAGACAAGTACAGATACAATGGACAAGAAGAAAAAGAAGTAGAAGAAAAGAATCGGAGAGAAAAGAGAAAGAGATACTGAGAGAATAGAGATAGATAATGAATAGGTGGCTCTGGAGCCAAAAAGAGAAAATAGAGGAGAAGTAAGAGAAACACATACATCAGTCTTGCGGCGAGGCTTTCCTCCGGCGAATGATGGAAGTTCGGATATCGACTCGGATACCTGTAATCGTTTATGATTCCAAGAATTTAAAATAGTTAGGTTTGAAAACTTGAGAAAATACGAGCAAAAACTATTAGCTCTAATTATCAAAACCATCTGATTTTTTTTCCATTAAAGTCAGTTTCAATACGAATTTTACTTCCAAAATTTGAAAAATTAAAAATCAATCTAAAGTTTCCGTTTTTTTTGAATATTCATAATTGAATTTTCAAAAAAAAAATTATTCTCAAAATCAATTGGAAAAAAGGTCATTCTTTTTTCAATTCTCTTTTTTTCTTCATATTTTGAGTTTCGATAATGGTGTTCTTCAGAAAACATGCAAGAAACCAGAAAAAACTAGGTACCGTAAACACAAGACTACCCCAAAAGAATATGTTTTTTGCTTTTTTCTCATTTTTCAAAATTCTAAAAAAGGAAAAAAAACATTAAAAAATCAACTAATGCTCGCAACATACATGAACACCAAGTTTTTTTTGCAACCGATGGGCGTGGCTTCTATTTTTCTTTTCTTTTTTCTCTGTGCGGATAAACAAACAAAAGAAGATCAAAAACTGTTTTATAATCACTAAAGTTTGCTCAAAGAACTACCGTAAAACCTGTAATAGAAGAGCCACTAACTGTCAACCTTAAGCCAATTTATCTCGGTTTATGTCAAAAATATAAAAAGTTATCAACTGACGAAGAAGAGTTTTGTCAGTCGACTCATTTTTGATATATCTTTCATAGGAATTAGGATAATTGAGCTCAAATTTGACCGTGTGGGGACCCTGCAGTTACAGGTTTTACGGCCAACCTGAATGTTGAAATTCTATGCATTTTCGAATTTCAACTTTTTTCGGATTACTGTAACTATGCTCAACAACTTTCTGACATATTCGAAAAAAATTTAAAAGCTCGAAAACAAACCTCGTCGTCACTTTCTCCGACCTGACCCAATAATTCTCGACGGCGCTCCTCTGGGATCGTCAGACCCGAACTTGGGATCTCGTCCAACTGAGATTCCTGAAAACAAGATTTTAGTTAAGATGCTTTATTTTTTGTGTGTGGGTGCGGTCATCATAAGTACTTTTGGCACGTGTCCCAGTAGTTTTTTGTTGCAACATACAGTTCATAAGAACCGTTCGTTCAAAAAAAGAGAGATATTTCAGAACATTTTTCTATTTTTTCTTATTATGTGTTCATGTGATATTTGTGCATTGGTTGTGCAAGAAGAGATAACGACATTTTTGTGAGGTTAGGAGATGAATATCTCCTCAATATACACGCACTTTCTCTTCTTCGCCTTTCCCGCAGTTTTTTGTCTCATTATCACTCGAGGATTTTCTCTTTTCAACTATTTTAGCTCTCAAGTACCCGCACAAGAAACCACTCTCTTTCTCTGCCTCGCGCACTAGGTTATTTATCACGTACTTTTTGGTTATCAATGTTTATAAGTGAGTGGAGAAAAAGGAGAAAAAGGAGAAGAACAAAGGGAACAATCAATTTTTGTAGATTCGACGATAAAAAACTTTAGGAGTGGGTCAGAAGTTTGGGGAACTTTTCTCACTGAGCTAGATTTTCGAAAAACTCGTCAGTATTAAGATATTAAAAGGAATTATAGTTCGAAATGCTGTCAGCGTTTTTGTTAAGAACTTCATCTAATATATTTACCGTTAAACTTGTAATAGAAAGGCCACCACACTGTCTGAGCTCAATTATTCCAATTCCTGAGCAAGAAATCAAAAATATGTCAACTGACAAAATATTTTTGATTTTATGATAAACAATTTATCAGTTGACAGCTTTCTAATACCTTCGACAAGAACAAAATATATTCCGAGCAGCCCCATTATTTCTAAATAATCTTTTCAGAATTTTCTTGGACTATATTTTTTTGATAACAGATGTATGTTTAGATTATCTAATGCTACATTCGATTTTTCGCCAACAGCTGTCCCAAAAACCCTGCAAAACGCCCCCGCTACAACTATCAGGTTCCTCCAAAAACCACAAAACTAATTGAAATCAATTTATCTCATCGACTATGTTCTTATGTCATATGTGTTTTGGTCTTTGTTTTGACCTTCTCTATTCTGTTCTTGTGCTTTCTCGCCCCGTTTCACTCCTGAAAATCCCTCAAAGATGCTCGAAAAATAATCCTGAAGTGAGAGAGAGGGAGATTCTCTGCCATCGGCCAAAATTTTTACGCGGGGCGGAAGCACAAGAGAGAAAAGAAAAAGTGTGGAGAAGAAACGAGAGAGAGAGAAAACGGATAAAGATAACATTTTTACACTTTTGCCCAGGTCCAGTGTCGTGGACCAATGGCACACGGCAGCTTGGCGGAGTGACAAAAAACAACAAGTTGAGGATGATATAAAGTTGAAGCATGAACTTCAAATGTTCTAATTATAAAATTTTGAAACTATGAAAACTAGGTTCATTGCCAGGCTCTCCAGGATTTTCAGAATATAGAAATGTCTCACCGAGTCAGAATTTTGATCCATGATTTCAGATCAAAAAAATTTAATAGGATTCGAATAAATAAATAAAATATAGCTAGTTCTATAATTCAGCGAAAATTCTCGTTCCTTCGTCCATAACCGACACTGTGTTTCTCGGGTGTATTACTGTATTCGGAATGACGGAATACAGTAAACAAACAAACAAAATGTGTGTTTGGGTGGTTTAGTGTTGATTGTGTGGATACCAGGAAATTGATACACACGCCCGGTTGAAACACAGAGGCAGTCAGACGGAGCAGTGGGCACACGAGTCGGGTCGAGGATGAGATGAAATGGAAGAAGAAGAAGAAGAAAAATAGTGTGGAAGGATGTGTTTGGTGGTGATAAGAGATTGGAGAAGACCGTGGAGAATCTGGATCCGAAAAAAAGAGATTCGATGAGATTTCATGTTTTTGAGAGAAGGATCAGAATCTTGATGTTAAGGTTTACTAATCGATTGGGAACCTACTTTTTATTTCATTGGCACAAGAACGTATACTGTAGTTTGAAAAACCTTATTTTGAGTTTCTGAATTTCTGATTTATGTGATGACACGCATTGAAAACTAGGTGCTATTGAAAGTTACCGTAGAGCCTGTATTAGAAGAGCCGACTCTTCTATTTTCATAAGTTAGCTCCGGAGGGCCCTTTTATTACATTACACAAGGCTCTTCTATTCTATTAGGGGACCTTTTTATCAAAGGGGGCCTTCTAATACAGGTTTTACGGTAACGACCCAAAATCTCCCCAGAGTAATATTTCGCTAAAAATCTAGGTTAGCAATGTAGACAGGGTTGTCCTACCGAAACCGGAAAAGTTATCTTAGAACAATTTGTTTTGTAAGGTTCGTGGGTTGGAAATCAGATTGACTCACTTCTCAAACACAGTAGTTCCTCTAATAAACGCCCACCCAACTCGTCACCTTTAAGCTCAATTATCTCGATTTCTGTGAATGATATCAAAAATGTCCTAACGAAAAAAATATTGTTGGTATTTTGATAAAAGATTTATCATAAAATTTAAATTTTAGATATCTTTCACAGAAATCGAGATAATTGAGCTCAAAGTTGACAGTTTCGATGAGCTTCTATTAGAGCGAATATGGCAGTTTTTATTTGAGGCTTTTATTTTCCAATTGGTCTTTTGTCAATTAGAGGCTGGCACTTTATTGTTCGAAGTCAATTTCTACTGAAACTCATCACAAAAGAACTCGATTTTCAATTTTTCATAAAATGACTTTCGAGGTTTTCTTGATTTTTCTGATACTTTTTTAGAGACTTTCGGAGTCTCATGTTATCCTAAAACATTTTTGACAAAGACAGTACATTTTTTAAGCTTGAAAACAGCTAGAAAATGAGAAAATGTGTTTTTGTGTTATTCTTCCACTTTTGCCACAGTAACGTGAAATCCGCAGTGGCATTATATTAGGTGCTGGCACTTTATTGTTCTGAGGTGCTCTAGGATGCCATTATATTAGAGGCTGGCATTCAATTAGGGGTGGCTATCTAATAGAGTTTTTACGGTAGATTGAAAAAGGCTAGCCAGAAAGGAACAATTCTAAAGGTTCAAAGATTTGGATGAGGAAAAAATCAAAGAAAATTAATAATGCGGTAGATGCTAAAAAATGTGTGTGACAGTGAAGTCAGTGCGAGTACGCGTTCCCATGTTTGTTGTATTCTTGAGCCTCCTCCACACGGGGAAGAAGAAGAAGCCAGCTAACTCTCTTTCTTTTCTCATTGGATATCCAAAAAACGACACCCCGTTTTATTTCTACTTCTCTCTCAACTCTCTTACAGTTTCATATGGATACTATCACTCTCTAGCTGCCGATTGGTACGAGTACCTCTGGCGAAAAAACGCTATTTCGCAACTTTTTGCCTGCTCGTTGCACTATGCGGCGTTCGAAAGTGGATAGGGAAAAGATTGAGGAAAAGTAAAATAGAAACGGATTTTTTTCTCTGCGCAGGCGGTGGTATGGTAGAGGATTTGAGTTGGTTTGGAGTGCTCACAGGCACATTTGCACACGGTTTAGAGTTGGCTCCAGGGTAGAAATGTGGCATTTCGGGTGGAAGGAGATCGTCAAATTAAGGAAGTACGTGCTTTTCGGGAGAACACATGTCAAGACAAGCACTGCGATGAGCTAACACGAAGGCATACAGTTAAAACTGTAATATAAGGGCGTCTGTCAAGTTTGAGCTCAATTAACTTAATTCCCATGCAAGATTTCAAAAACTGGTCAACTGATAAAATGTTTGTGATATAATGATAAACAATTTATCAGTTGATAAGTTTTGTATATTTCTGACAGGAACCTAGATAAATTGGCTCAAATTGAAACGTTAAGGGTCCTTCTATTTAAGTTTATACGGTAGTTTGCATGAAGTTAGAGCCCCAGATTAATTTCAGAATTTTGTCTGGTAAGAAATCTGAAAGTTCTAATTAATCCTTCCAAATCTGGAAAACTCAGTTTCGGAATCAAAAATTGTAATAGAAGCAAATGAACATGTTAAATATGTTCTTCCTTACAATTAGTGGAGAACATTTTTCAAACTTTAATTTTCCCAAGTAATTTCAGTCAACTTCCAAAAGAACAAAAACCTAAAACAGATATGATGTTAACCAAATCAAACAGATCTTTGATCTTTCGCTGGATTTTAAGGATGAGTTGTGAGATGGGAACGTGCGAAAACCAGACAATTTTGGACAGTGTTCTCGGGATTTACAAGTTAAACTATTTTGTTAAAAAGAGTAAATAGGAATGACTGGATTTCGAGGAAAGAGTGGAATTTTTACTGTAGGAGTTTGAAATAAAAGTAGAGGGAAACATTCTTGAAAAATTGTCATCATTCCTTAAAAAAGACTAACATTACTGCTTGAATTCACTGATGATTTGGAATTTGTTTTCTTCAATTTCGGACTGGCAACGTCATCTCTACTTCCTCTTCTAGAATCAGGACCTTCCAAGTCCAGAATACTCCTCAGAAACCGTTCCTTGGCTTCTCCTTCTGGCATTTTAGAAAGTATAAATGCATGGATCTGTGAGATTTTGTGAAGATCCTGCCCAGAAGAATTTTTATTCAATGGATTCGGAGTTTGATCATTCGTACGAGCCGCACCTTGTCGATCTGAGACTGATCGGAGGTTGAACATTCGACGAGGAGAATTAGAAGACGATGAAGGATTCGAAGCAGTTGAATGAGATGGTTCGAATGGTGGACGAGGAGGTAGACGACGTGAAGCTGAAGATGAAGATGCGCCGTTATTATGATCAGAGCCTTCGTTGCTTGCCGATCTCTTCAGAAGATTCTGGAGATACGATCCAGGCGTGTAGTTCATCTTGACAGAACTATTCGATAAGCACGCCGATGTTTACACCAATTATTTTGTCCCTTTTTGAAACAGGGGACACGAAATATGGGGTTAGGATAAAAGGATAAATAGACAAGAAGACGTAGTGTGTAAATCCAATTCTGAAGATGGGTTGTTCGGCGAGCCGTCAAGAAGAAATTATAGTTTCTCTGAAGGTTCCAAAATTTGAAATTGAGGATTGGAAGGATATGAGAGTAGATAAGAAATCGGAGACTGTTATTTACTGTTCTTTTTAATCTAAAAATTTAATATCATAGTCAAAAGTTTCTATTCTCGAAAACAACACTGACAAACTAAACTTACTGTACAACCTGTCATAGAAGGGCCCCATCTTGTGATGTTTGAGTTAATTTTTCTTGGCGCCTATGCAAGACACCAAAAATGTGTTAACTGATAAAATGTTGGTGAAATAATGATAAACAATTTATTAGTTGACCAATTTTCTTTATCTTTGGCATGAACCGAGATGTATGTGCTCAACGTTAAATGTTAGGGGGCCCTTCTATTAAAGGTTTCACAGTAATAAGAATATACTGAAAATTGTGACATAATGTTCTTTTTTTAACTAAAAATGCAGAATCAAAATCGAAAGTTTCTATTCTAGAGAACAACTATAAACTCATAGTCAGACGAATAAAATTATTTCTTACAATGTATATACGCTTAATTATACCTATGACCTCAAAGTTCGATCTAATCGATAAAAATATCCTGAGAAATGTTTTGATTCAATTAAAAATGTGGGCTCACTAGACTAACTCTAAAAATTCAAATCATTCAAATCAGCTTTAAAAAACGTTTTTTTAGTGAGAGGATAACATCATGTGTGAACTATTGTTTAAGAGAGGGCATCTTCACAAAAAATGCTCAAGATGTTACCAAACTACTAGACTAATGTCAATCTTTGCCCTCTCCAAACCATTTCGACGACTTTTCAATCTTTGAACAAAAAGTGATGTATTCAAATTTCGATTTTGGAGAGAGAAATTTCAGAAAAAAAAAGCGAAAAATGTCTGCGCAATAGACGTCTAGCCAGGAAAAAGTGGTACTCGGGGAGGTCCAATCATGTCTTTTTCTCAGGTCGAAGTACCAAAGAATGAGAGAAATAGCGCTGGAGGCAAAGAGACGCAGACATTCTTCATTTCGAAAAAAATGATGTAGGAGGGCGAGTAGAGGAAGAGCTTCGGTAGAGCTTCATAGGTACTTGTGTCTTTTTCGAGTACCGTTTGTCACTTTTGTCGGGAGGAATAGTAAGCCGACTTGTAGAGACATCCGACATTCTACACGTTGTTCGACGGCATTTGTACTGGCAAGAGCAAAGCCATTTTTACTTTTTTAACCGAATGATTTGGAGAAGAAAGTACGGTAAGTAGGTCAAACTGATCAAGAATCAGAATAGTTCTTCCAGGAACATATGAACTAGTTTTTTTGTTGATAAAATTGTGTAACAGCATGCAAGGTTAACAATTAAGAACATGTCATTTACTTCGTTAGTCAATTTTTGAACAAAAAACTAAAACTTCATAGGATTCATTCAAAGGATTAGGTCAAGCTAGCAGATCAAGTTGCAATGATCAATCAAAAAATCTGTAAATCCCAATATTTGTTAGTTCAAATTCCATTCTTCTCAATTCCTCAATTCCTTCATTCGATCCTCTCTGATCTTTTCTACTCCTAAACCATTTTGATTTCTGATCTTCCCTTCCACGTCACACAATTGTTTACCATTCTTTCTCCATACTACATACACAAACACTAGTGTGCTCATAACCAAACAGTACAGCGCCAAGTATCCTCATACTACTACTTCAATTTTTGCTCATTTCAGAATCCAACTAACCTCATCTGGATCCGGTCTAACACTGGAACTTCTCTTCTGTTCGCCTTCAGAAGCTTCGGAACGCATGCTTTCAGAAGTGGCAGTCTTTTTGGCTTGTGGTGCTGGACTTTTACTCTTCGACTTGCTTCTTCTGGCCACTCGCTTCTTGGTTTCAGCCTGTAGGGTCTGGGACACTCTTCTGTCTTCTTCCTCTTTTTGGTATTCATCTTCCATATCTTTTCTGTGCTTCATGAGTTCTTCTTCCACATCTGAAAAATGCGAAAGATAATTTAGGTCAAACCGGAAGTAGAATTGCGGGCATCTTGTACCAGAAGCCGAAATCAGTTCTCTGAACCACCACTGATTTTCAGCAGTTAATTTTTTTCCAGTCAAAAAAGACTCACCAGATTGTTCGACTTTGACCATTGCACTACTTTGTCCATCTCCATAGTCACATTTGGCATGACATTTATAGAGACCTGATTTTTCTTCAGACAAATTGTTCACTTGCAATTTAGCAATGGATCCGTTGAACGACTGTGAATATTCGGAAGAATTTCTGACCAATTTTCCATCTCTGAAATTTATATCTGTGAAGTATACAGTATCTTCAAGACAGGGAAATTTTCAAAATTTTTCTGCATCTTTGCTCTGCGTAGCTAAAATAGAAACCGACCCAAACCGTCATCTTTGAGCTCAATTATCTCGATTCCTTTGAAAGATCAAAATTTTAAACACAAATTACTGACAAATTATTTATCATAATATCACCAATATTTTATCACTTGACGGAATGTTGATATCTCTCATAGATACCCAGATAATTGAGCTCAAAGTTGACGGTTTGGGCGGGCTTCTATAAGAAGAACTACGGTAATGTTTGATCCGTTTTTGAAGAGAAAATCCAAAGTTTTTGCTCTTATTGGTTTTAAATTTTAGAATTATAATGAAATAATAATCTCAGATTTCATGAAGACAATTTTACCTGTACCACTCGATGATGGTAGAAGAATGGCATTGCCATTGGACCTCCAAAACGACAGATCCACCAATTCGGCCAGTCTGAAAATTTTATTTTTGTCATTTTCCTTCTCCATGACTCGTTTCATGAGTTTCCGTACCCCCGAAAATTTTCAAATTCTTCAAAATGTTCCATTTTGTTTCGTTTTCAAAATTTAGTCTCACATCTGGTATGAATGGGCTGCCAATTGAGCGCCGAACTTTTTTTTTCACACAAAAAGTGTAGGCAAACGAGAGAATCGAAAATCAAGAGTGCCGTGGGAAGAAAAAGAAAAAGAAGAAGACATACTCACCTGGGACCTACTGGCTTCAAGAACGATTGGCGGCCTCGTGTATTTGTCACGCGAGGATTCGTGGACCTGTTGAGACGATGTGGAGGATGTTGTAGTTGTTGTATTAGATGTGGTTGTAGTAGTAGTTGCAGATCCGGATGCTCCTGTTGCTCCTCCCGCCCCGCTGGCTTTTCTTGAAGGCGTTGGAGAGGCACTCTTTCTGGATGGAGACTTTCTTGCGGAGGGACTACCAGCTCGAAGTTTCTTTTCGTCTCCACCTGGTGGTGGGAGACCATCCGGCTTCCGTTTTGCTGCTCCAGATACTTGATCTACTTCCATTTTGTCTGTTCTACTCGATCGGCGGGACTCCGATTGAGATGCTTCTTCGTTCACGGGGGTGGAAGTTCGGGACCTGAAAAATAACAAAGTACATATGAGATATTTTAAGCTCAAAAGACATACCGTAACTTCTTTGATGGTGAGCCCTCTCTTGGTTTCAATGTTCTTTTTGGTGTTCCTTCCCTTGATTTCATTGATTTTTTCGGGGAAGATGGACGACTCCCTGGACCGCGGGACGACGGTCTTGGTGAAGCAGTCGATCGTTTTCTTTCTTGCCTTTCGGTTGGATCTGGTTCTTCAAAGTTTAGTGCCAGGTTGGCATTCGTTTCTCCTTGATCGTTTCTAATATTACATCGATACTGTCCTGCGTCCGAAGATGACGGACCCTAGAATCAAATGGGATGAAAGTTTAACAAACTCAAAAAACTCACTCTAATCTCCAATTGACACAAATATGTTTGATCTCCGAGATCACTAAAAATTGCATGATAAAGACCGCCCATGCTCAATGGTACACCGTCTTTCATCCATTTGGCGACAGGTGTGGATGCACTTTTCACTTTGCATTCCATCACAATCAACGCTCCACCGTCTTTTGGAATGATTCGTGGTTTTCCGACAAAAGATGGACCTCGGGACTTGGCTTCATCTCCTCCGGCACCGGCGAAATTTAAATTGATATTGGCGTTTGATTCACCCAATTGATTCTTTGCTGTGCACTTGTAAGCACCTCCATCACCGGCGTTTGGTTCCTATAAATTTTTTTTTTCATTCTTTTTCTTTCTACCGATTTCTGCTGATTCTGTCTCTCACTGTTTTTCTAATCATATTGAAAAATATTGTTTCTATTTATTCAACGTCCCTATTCAATGATCAACGTCTTCTATTATAAAAGATTGATACAGTAAAACCTGTATTGAAAGGGCTCACACACTGACAAGTTTGAGCTCATTTTTCTTGGCTCCTGTGCATGATACCAAAAGTGCGTAAATTGATAAAATGTGTGTGATATTATGATGATCAATTTATCAGTTGACAACTTTTTTATTCCTTTGGCAGGAATTGAGATAAATTGGCTCAAAGCTAAAAGTTAGAAGGTCCTTCTATTACAGGTTTTACGGTAACTAATAACATTCTGTAATTGTGAAAGTGATTTGTATTCTGATGTGACTGTTCTCTAGTTTTTATATCATTTGAAATCCCTTCAATTTTGTGTTTTGTTCTCTTTTCTTCCCCCATAACTTCGCAACATATTATCACCTGTTTGCACCTTTTCTTGTTATCTGATACTTCTTCAAAAACTCAGTTTTTATCTTCTTCTCACCTTGATAACTAATGTCGCTTTGTACATACTTCCTCCCAGCGGAGTCAGTGTCTGTACTACTCTTCCAGAAGGTTCCAGAAGATTTCCAGAATGTTGCCAGGCGATAGTTGGTTGTGGATCCGCCTCGAGGTGACATTCCATCAGCAAATCACCCTGCAAATCATGTTTTTTTGCAATTTGATGAGTTCAATGTTTCACTTGTTTACACTTTCCCTTCTCATCCCTTCAGGTATCCAATTTGACGTCACACGAAAACATCAAAACAAGAGGATCCCCCGCAATTTGTTGACACTAACTGATTGGAAGACTTAACAATGATATCATAGATAAAACAGTAGTTTTTTAGTCTCTCTTTTTTTTACTACTTTTCACCGTCGCTTTGTTCCAGGGGATCATTTTTTTCACCGACTTCAAGAGGGTGTTTGTGTACTTCAATGGATCAAATTTCAAATATTTTTCTCAAGACAGTAGCACGTGGTTCGATGTAAATGTACCTAATTTTTCAAAATTTGAAGGATGAAGGAAATTTATCGACGACATAATTCTAATTATGAGACTAACGAGAAATCGGGATGATCCAAAATAGGAGATATGACTTAAAATATGAAACTATGTATGAAACTGTTCTGATGAAAGTATTTTTGTGAAATTTCAAAAAAATTTTGAAAGTGAATCTTTCAAAATTTTGAATTTCAAATTCTGAAAACTTTGCTCAAAAATAGAAATCGGGTCTACATTGATTTTTGCGCACGTTTTCAGTTATAATTTTTGATTGAGCCATTTTTGAAAAATTCTGTACACGGAATTTCAGTCAGAACCTTTTTCTACATTGATGCATATCAACATTTGCAGTCAAATTTGTTTCTCAATTTTCACAATTGTATTTTAAGATGCTAGTTGCACTTCAATATGACCCCACCTCAGTATGACCCCCCCCCCCCCCCCCACCTTATAAACAACTATAGTAGAGCCCCCCACCAGTACAAAAATGGGTGGGGGGCTCTACTGAGGTGTGGGGGGGGGGGGGGCTGAAGTTGAATTGGTTGATTAAAGTATGACCCCCCACCAGTACAAAGTGGGGGCCTATACTTGAAGAACCGGGTATTCTTAAAATATGGCCCCCACCCCTCCCTGCCTTCTTCAATTAAAGGCCCCCAACCATTCAAAAATAGCCCCCCAAAAAGAGAACCTTATCTGAGCCCCCCACTTTATTCAAATATGACCCCCCCCCGCCTATTTAAAAATAGCCCCCCACCCATTCAATTTTAGACCCCCACCAATTCAAAAATAGGTCCCCACCATTTTTTGGCCTAAGCCTGAGTTTTAGAATGTTTTAGTTTTGGAAGTTCTGATAAGATATACATAGCTGAAAAGTATTTTTCAGAAAAAGTTCCCAAGAAACAAGGAAAAATGGTAAAAAATGACACAAATTCCGAAAAAAATAAAAGAAAAATTTTTAAAAAAAGCTCAAAATTTGCATCCCTTCACACACCACAAACTACGCAAAAGTGGGTGTCTATAATTGAATGGGTGGGGATTTTTTTTGAACTGCTGCAAGTGTCTAGATTGTTGGAGGTGGGGGGCTCTACTATGGTTCATTTTGGGGGGCTATACTTGAATTGGGGTGGGGGCTATACTTGAATTGGGGTGGGGGCTATATTTGAATTCAGCCGACAACTTTTTTATAACTTTGACAGGAAATGGGATAAAGGGGGCTCAAAGCTAAAAGTTAGAGGGCCCTTCTATTACAGGTCTTACGGTGACCCTGATTTCGTAAATTGAATTTGAAGACATGTTTACAAGTACTTTCAATTAGTTTCAAAAGTGTTTCAACACAAAGAACTCATTAAAAAACTACGAATGGTCAATATTTACACTCTCAACCTCTCTCGCTTCACCGTTCGGCTTCTCTCGGCTATCCTTCCCTGTTTCAAACCCCCCCCCCTAATTTTTGTTTCTTACGTTCAGTTATTTGTTAAGTGTTTTGCGGTCAGGTTCAAGATTCTTTCTCTTATCTTCTCTTTCTTTTTCTACTCGTCTTGGCCCGGTAGTTTTTTGTTCTTCATCATCTACGGATTCCTGGGGGCTTCTCATTGACTTCTCTCGGCATTGCTGTCTTGAGCCCGTGAAAGCCGTAAAGCGATGAGAAGCACACGGCATTGCCGATCAAGAGAAGGAGCTAGGCGAGAAATAGCGCAGATACCCGTGGAGATCTCTCCCCCATCGGCCAGTTGGCTTTCGTGCATCGCCCCCACAATACACTAGGACTTGCGATGATCAGTGGATGGAGACGCAGACTGGATGGGATCCTGCCATGAGCCATTTGGATGTGCACAGGGCATGGACACAAAAAAAAGAGGGAAAGAGATATAGAGAAGGAGCTAGAACAAAGTTATATCATAGTAAGTTTTAGGAAGTTTCAGATTAACATTTTTAAAAATACTTACTGTAGGTGTCTGCTGAATGGATGGCTTCTGGGTGAAGCGTGGTGCGCCAACCATGGTTGAAGTCGGATGGGTCGGCGCACGACTTTTGGTTTCGATCAATCGGTCTTCTTCTTATCTTCTATGGCGATGTTCGCACGTTACATTCACTCGGTTATTCTACGAGTGATGTTAGATGAATCGTTTCTGAATTTTAAAAAAATTATTAGGAGTGATTTCAGAAAGAGAAGGTATAGGAAGGTTTAGAAAACGAAAAAGTATGTGGAAAGATTTATAAAAAAGGAAAAACATCAGAGAATGATATTTTCTAGTTAAAAAATAATTGTAAAAACAGGAAAAAACTTTTGGATTCTGTGAAAAAAATAAACGAAGAACTGGACAGATGGACCGGTGTAACATTTTGAAATCTACAACACTATGAGACAATTGAAAAGGGTGGTTTTCCGAATGACTTAACAATTGAGAAAAATTCGTAAAACAAAAATACAGATAGAAATCAGTTCGAATATAGGTTATTTCAAAAACAACAGTATTATGATCTGTTAGACAGTTTCGGATTTTTTTTTCTGAAAATTATTATTGGAATCTTTCAAAGAAGTAGAAAAATTAGCTGCATATTAGTTTTGGAGGACTTAAAAATCAATCAACACATAATCCAAGCTCTTCTATACGAGGCTTTTTCGAACTTAAGAAAAAAATATCCATAAATCAAGATAAAGCAAAAAAAGCGCGAAGCTGTTAAAACATCTCATCTTTAAATTTCATTACTTTTACTCTTCATAAAGTGGAACATGATATGGAGAAGGTTTTTATAATTCCCAAAAAATCAGAAATCATATTTTTGGAACGTTTCTTGTGATTAGAAGAAATTTTCGCCGGATCTAAGACCAACTGAAAACGAACAAAAAACAGTAACCTAATCCATTCTCACATGACAACCAGATGGAGAACGTCAGAGAGAAAAGAGAATGGAGAGATGCAGAGAAAGATAAGAAAACTGAGTCATACAGTAACTTATTCACCTTCCCCAGAAACAGAAATAAATGAAACAAGAAGTGTTCAAAAGTGGATCAGTGGTTTCTTGTAAGGTGGGTGCGTGCAAATAGCGATGCCCGATATTGCCCGTCTGTTGAAAAATAAATCATAACGATGTAAGGTGGGGAGGATGAGCAGTGGGAGAAGACGCCCGCAGGAAGGGGTCCCTTCAAAGATGAAGAAGCATGAAATTTGAGCGGTAAAACAGAGAAAAAATGATGAGATGGTTAAAAAATGATGAGAGCATCCGAGGGAATTCAAAAAAAAGTAGATTACTAATTGTAAAAAACTTCTCGGATGATTCAAAATTGATTCAAGATTCATGATTCAAGATTCAAAGAGCTAGTCTCGGAACTTTTGGAAACAAAGAAGATTTCGCAAATTTAGTACCGCGTCATTTGAAAAAGTCACTTAGAAGAGGATAGTAGACCTTCAACATCTGGCAGATAAAACGGAAAAGTTGAAATTCGGAAGCGGTCGTAAATTGTGAATTCTGGGAAGTTTTTGGGTCTTATGGAAGAGAGTAAATGGCCAGAAGGATACATCCTATTTAGTTGTTTGAGCTTATAGTTCTGAAACATTTATGACAAAAAAAATATTATAGTAAATATGTGAAAGCAATAGTATGCTCGAAATGCCACAAACAAAGTCGCTCGAGGGCATCGGAGAGATGTGGATAAAGGCACACATGAAAGAGGAGGCGACGAAGGCGCGGGAGCATCAGCAGCTCGCGGGAGCTCACCACACCACGTTGCAAAAATAGTACATAAAGAGAAAGAGACACAGACGAGGTGGAGGGGGCGGCGCCCGACGAACGGCATCGGATCAAGAGTATCAGAGACGAAGAGACGGAGGTAAGCGGCGATCCAACGGAAAAAAATAATGAGATGGTCCCTTGTGGCACAGACGATAGCAAAAGATGCTACATGTCATTGACAATGGACTTTGAAGAAAAAAGAGATGAAAAAGAAAAAGAGGGAACGGAGAAAGGTGATGGCAAATGAGATTGATTGCGCGAAAGTGAGAGATGGGTCATAGGTGCAAATGTGACAGGTGTCAATGGGGAGGAGCTATTTTTTGATATATCATTTTGGTTACCTTCATTGATTTCGTTCTGGTGTGGAATCCTTTTAGATCAAGTTGAAGTTTTTTCAGTATGTCAAAGAGATTAGAATGCTCTTCACGATCGTTAATGTGTTCGAAACTTCTTTTTAAAAAAATTTTTCAAGTTCAACCTAGAAAAATTTATCACCGCTATTATTCTGGTATACAATCGGAGCCGTGGAAGAGAAACGCCAGTCGTCGTGGCCGAAGGTCCCACAACTAGCGTAATCTAAAATTATATTCATTTTCCGGGATTATTTTTTTCGTTTCCCCTGTTTCGTCAAGTTATTTTTCCCCAAAAAAGTCGGAAATTCTTAGTGTTTGATAGCGAAAAAAAATGACTAAAAACGCACAAAAATTGAGAAACAAAATAATGAAAATCAAAATGTTTGTAGGTTACGGTAGTTTAAGTTATGGTTATGGGACCTTCAGCCACAGCCGCCGGAAGTTTCTCTTCCACCACTCCTTTTGTACCAGAACAAAACTAACTTTCTTTAATTTTCACGTGAACTTTTATTGTTTATAGGTTGCCAACAACACCAAATGTCTCTTGTCGATTCGGTTGAAAAAAAAAGTGTTTCTTGGAAAAATGGAGGCTCATGCTCAGGTGCCTCAAAATTGTTCCTATTTTCTTTACAGTGTACCTAATTTTTAGCGAGTGCAACCGCCACGAGCACCCATGACTTCTACATCCGGTTCTGATTTTGTGACAACTTCCACTGCAACAACTGGAACGACTGGAAGTACTCCAAGCGGTACTCACTCTTCGGACACTGGATACGGGCTGGTTTCTTTGCGAAGTGATTGTACTGATGAAGCGATTGGATTGGAATTGACTCAAGAAGAGAAAGAATGGCTCAGATTGGCTCATGAATTCACGGCGACCGAGAAACCATTCAAGGAGCAGAAGGGATTCCACGTGGCGCGCAAGTTGAGGACCTGGCATCCGAGACGTCATGTTACATGGACTTTCCTTCGGAGACTGGTGAGATTTTCAATCTTGGACTGATTTTTAGGTTATGCATTTCAGTACAACGGTCGTCAAGACATGAAAGATGACGAGCTCCGAAACATTGCCGAACTGAGCATCGAAGAGAAAAACTAAAGTAAAGCCCTGTTGAATAAATGATTATCATGTTCCGTTTATAAACATTTTACTCAATAAAACTATTCATTTGAAACAAATCTTCATTCAGATGAAACAATAAATTAAAACAAATATAAATAAACTGGATTCGAGTGACTATCTACATTTTGAACAACATTAGTTAAAGCTATCAGATTTTTCAAAAAACTATATTTCTATCCTGATTTCTTCTGATTATTTTTATCATTTTTCTTTGGTGCTGCTCTTTTGGCTGGTGCTGCTTTCTTAGCTGGAGTCTTTTTCGGTGGAGCGGCCTTTTTCGGAGCGTCCTTCTTTGAAGGAGCAGCTTTCTTTGGAGCAGCCTTCTTTGGTGCCGGTTTGTTTGGGACCGGAACTCTTTTCTGGACATTCTTTGGCTTTGTTGGAGACCTTCTCACTTCTTTCTTTTTCTTCTCTTGAGCTGTTTTGGCGATTGGACGGCTGAAAGATGTTTAATATATTCGGATATTTTATAATATAAAAGAAAACCTTTTTGACTGTCCAGCGTATGATTCTCTCAACATTTGCAACTGAATTGCAGCAGTATCAAACTCAGTCTGTTCATGGTTCATTCCATCGACCTTCCATTCATGTCCTCCTGGGAATTCAGATGCCTTCTTTCCACATGCCATATACCCAACAACCCAATCTGCTGTGGATGCCAAATTGAAACTCTTGTAAGAAGATTCGTAGTTTTTGAACCAGTTGATATCAGCCAAGAATTTCGAATTACAAGATAATCCAGTGTTCATATTGCAAATGTCAAAGAAAGGAAGCCCGCATAGATATGATCCCTGATTAGCACCGGCTACAGAAATGTAAGTATGCACTCTGGATTGCAATGATGGTCCCAATTCAACACTTTTATCGTCGACACATTTTCCTCCCAGAATAGCTTTTCTAGCGATAGGTGATCCCATTGAGTATCCGATTATGTTGATTTGCTTGAACCCTGTGTATTTGAGAACCAGCTCTATAAATTTGCGAACCTGTAAGTATTGGTTCTCAATCCGTTCAATCCAAAACATATAGCCTACATGTTTGACGTGGGCGCAAGACATAGCAACATTTAAATTCATTTGTTCTACTCCTCTTCCCCATGTCGTAGCAAATAGGTATTCAGAAGTGTATCCGGCCGCAGAAAAGTCTTTAACAACCTTCCATAGACTTCCTGCTTCATTGTTCAAACCATGAACGAAGACAACTGGTCGATCACTGAAATTGATTATTAGTTAAAGATTTTATAATATTTGACTTACTTTGTCTCTTTAGTAACAACTCCTCCACCAAAACTTCCGGTGGTCAAATCATCTCTTACAAATGCTGCTACTTCTTCTGGTTTGTAGTTTTGTTTCATGTAAGCCATAAAATGTGGATTCACATTGTGTCCACAATGGACAAATGCAATGGATAACAATGCTACAGCAATAGTAATGGAATTCATTGCGAGGCTTTTTTGGTCTAATACCTGAAACTATAAAAAGTGTTGAAGTGATTTGAGACAAAAAAAAAACGAAAAACCGAAGCTTTTTTTTGAATGATAGCTGGTATCTATCTTCCAGCGCCCATTTTATATAAATGCCTCTACAACCAATTCAGGTCCATCGTACTCGAAAAGGCGGAGAAACCCGTCATTTCCAGATTTCGGTTTGATGGGCAACTGCCCACAACGTCTCAAAAAGACGAAATTTATGGGCGGCCCACGGTTGGCAACCAGATAGGATTTCTGACCTTGTGGAAGGTAATAGCTAGCCGGGCTTATCAATGGCAGAAGCCCGAAAAGGAGGAGAGAAGAAAAGGAGAGAGGAAGAAGAGAAGGAAACGGTAGACGACGTGAGAATGGCAGATGGAAAATTCAATCAAGAGGAACGAATGGTTTCGGAAAAGAAGATTAGAATAGTTAATGATATATTGCCTTGAGAGAATTCGAACTATATTAGAAATTCGATTCGAAATCATCTCCCAGCCAATTTGAAGTATCGGAATCAAGAAAACTGTCCTAGTCAAGTAAAAACCTGAGACTTAACTTTATTTTTTGTGTGTTGATATCCAAATTTTCATTTGCCTCAACCAATATAATTGTTTTTTGAAAACATTCTGGATATCCTGCACAGGAACCGAGATATATGGGCTCAAAGTTTACAGTTTGGTTGATTATCTATTAGAGGGTTTACGGTATTTTCTTCAGATGGCCAATTTCTGACACTTTTCACGATTTCCTAATTCTGGAAATAGAAAGCAAACAAAAACATTCGAAAATATCAGGAACACTTGGCAATGACTAATCCTTTATATTTACTTTTGGATTCTGATATACGCAATAGAACACATGAGGACATTCTGTCCAATTGTTCACAGCTTTTCTCAAAAATGCTTTCATCTTCCCAGTCCCCTAATCCTGTTCGACGGTTTCCAAATATTATTTAGTTTGATTAACCAACCTGATGAGACATTCAATATGTTTTCTGCCCAGATCATCACACAAAAACCCAATAATGTCGGGAGATAACGACTTCTCACTTTTCGAACCGAAACCCAACACACAATATCTCTGCCCATAGTATACACACGCCCCCGGTTCTTTGTCAATTTCGAAAGTGATCTTCCGAACTGGATACCGGACTATAGATATCACGTAGATACAGTATGCCTGGCAAATGAAAGTGTTTGGAATGCAGTTTGATCAGAGAAAATAAGACATTTCAAATTTTGACACCCCTCGGGCATCTGCAGATTCTGTGATTGAGATGATTGGAAGAAGTGGAGCAGTATTCAGAGTCAATTCTCAGGTGATTTATCAAGAATATCATTTATATTAGTTGAACCTCTTCAGAACTGGTAAGTTTTTCGAAAACTATAAATAAAATTAATTGCGTTTCAGTGATACCGTATTCCTCTAATATAAGCTCACCAAAACCGTCAACTTTGAACTTAATTATTCAGATTTCTGTGAAAAAATGGTCAACTGATAAAGAATTGGTTATGTAATGATAAATAATTTATCATTCGACCAACTTTTGTTACCTGTCACTGGAATCGAGATAATTGAGCTCAAAGTTGACAGGGTTTCATGGACTACTGAGCCCATACTGTCCTGCCCTATAAAGTTGATCTATAAGGTTGAGTATCATATTTTTCAAAAATATTATGAAACTTTATAAAATTTGACAAAATTTCGCAAAACGCACTTTGGGCCTATTTATGTGCTCCGTACAAACAGTCCGGGGTCTGACTGGTATCATACAAAATGAATATTTTTCAATAACATGGATTGAAAACCAATAGATATTTCTCATGCGGGTAAAAATGTACTCGTACCAGATATGAATAGAAAATCCTCTTCCGTATTTACAATGAACGGGGAGCAGAAGCAAATTTTCACATTTCTCGGTATTTTTCAAATTCCAAATCAACAAAAGCTATGATTTATTATTAGATTAACTTGCAAAAATCATGTTTGGTCCCATTGTTTGAAGTTTTTGGAAAAATTAAAATTCCTTTCTTTCAAATTTTTTTTCGAATTCTCTTTCAATTTTTTTTTGTCCATTTAAAGTTTTTGATTATTTTCTTTATAAATATAGAAAGATTCTTATGTTTTCAGGACCTGTATTACCCCTACTTCTATAGAGAATGAACGAATAATTGCATCACTGTCCGAACAGTGAGTATTTCCGTTTTTGACATGATTCCTTGAACTTCTACGAAGTTCATGATTTCAGTATTTCAATATCTTCTATTTACTGAAAATATTCCAAGTTTTGTTCTCTAATCGTATTCGATAAGCTGATGGAAACCACATCTGAAACTCGGAATTATTTTAGTGTCCATCAAAACGGTGTGTTCATCAATCTTCCTGGTATCTCCGACATTCTTCAATTCGTTTCTAGTTGCGTCCGATCAAACGATTCGGTTCAGGAACAAGGTGGAAAAGGGTTGCGTAAGTTTCAAATCGTACGATTGTCATTTTCGGTATATTGTCCGGCTTTTATTGTCAATTAGACAAAAAGTGATACGGTGTGATTGGCATGAATGATTAGCGGTTTCAAGAAGATTGAAATCACATAATTGACAATTTCTGATTGAAAGAATTTTCAGGGAATGATTGAAAAAGGTTTTAGGTGAATTTAAGTTCAACTTTGAGGGGAAGCAAGTAATGAATCGTTAAATGTATTTTAACTTTTTTCTTAATTTCAACCAAAATTTTTCTGGACCGAGAAAACTTTAAATAAGGCAACTAATTAGTAATCAACAGTAATCATTTGATAAAAATTCGTTCAATTTTCAATTTTCGGAGAGAAATCTAGACGGAAGTAAAATAGGAACTTTCATTTATTTCTGTAGCCATATTTCATTGTTTCGATCTTTGCACTCGCTTCTTCCTCTGGCGCAATCAAAACCCGTTTTGTCTCTTTTTCCGAAAAGGGCAATCAATTAGAAGTGATAAGACAACGTCGGCATCATTGAAAGTTAATGCGTTTTGGTTGAAAAAAAAAGATGAAGTTCGTCCGCTTTTGACACATTTCGAATTATCAAAAAATTAAGGTATTCAGGGGAAGAGAAAGCTATTTTTATTGAATTCAGAAATGGAAAATAACAGAAAAACAAGGAATTTTCTAAAAAGTTTGGTAATGCAAGGTTTTCAAACTAGGTCTGTTTTGAACTTTCCAAATTTTTTTTTTTTAATTGGAAACTTGACAGCCGAACTCCAGGCTCCTGAAAATAGTAAAAATGGCCGAAAATAAACTGAGAAATACGTTTTTGTATATCTTATTGGCCGGTACTGTATCTGGTTAGAGCAACACTGCGAGTTTTGAAGAGAGTATTTTACTACTATATTCATATCTCCCTGTGCGGAGATTCCAATACATAGGGAAACTTATACAGATATTTTTCTATGGTTCTGAGCTCAAAAATATCAAATATGAACGTTCATAATTACCAGTAAGATGTGAGATAGAAGAACGCCATTGATTTTCAAAACTTTGTTGCTTTTTACCTTTCGAGAATTTTCTGAAAGTTTGCAAAAAAATGATTCCGTTCAACCGTCTGAACTTCTAAATCTCTCAACAAGAAAATTATGAAGAATATAATCACAGAGCTTATATTTTAGTAGTTACAGTAGAACACATAGAACGATCAGTTTTCAATTTTCTTCCTGATGTTCCTGATTCAAATCAGGTTCTCATTTTTCTCAGAGCGTGTCTCATTTCTAAAATTTTAGACTATAGATATCAACGGCAGGTCCGTAGACATCTCTTTCAATAATTAACCCGTTTTTTTCAACGCTTTTTGTGTGTCAGTGTAAAGGCTAATCTTGTCTCAATATGCCGCTTTTTTCTCTGTCTATAGGATAATCGCGCAGTCCAAAAAGTCATAGATGATTGGTCAACATTGTATTGGTATCCGACGGGCTGTCTTGAGGTGAAAACCAGAAACCTGTTAGGGTTTGTAAAGGGAAACCTATATACTTTTTTATCTCTCCAGGTGATGATTGGATAAATACTCGAGTCTCGAAACCTAAAGGTATAAAAAACAAAGGAAGCTGTAACTCATACTTGATCGTAAATTTAGCTAACAATTTACATTAAAAATATTCGTTTTTTGGATTTTTGACATTTTCTAATAGTTAAATGCCTCACAATGAGAAATGTTTTGGAATTCTCTTAATGATTTATTTAAAGGTGCTATCAGGATAATAAATCTGAAATCACTTTTCCCTCGACACAAATTTTCATGTGTTAATAAGATCCTCCCAAATTAATTGTGTGACTCCCTTTTTTGACAGGGGCACTTGGGTCCAAGGCAGCGGGTCAAAAAACGCGCCCCAAATAATTTTTAAACCGGAAGAAATTTTATTAATTTCAAAGTTGACTTGGATTTGACCTAATTAATTTTAATCAACGAGCCCAACGTTTAAAAGTTTGATCATCGGCCAAATAATTCAGCACACGCCAAACAATTTGTGAAAAACGTGAAACGGCGATTGCTGGCGCTTTTCTCGTGCATCGAGAAAAGAGCAAAATTCAAAAAGTTCAAAAGAAATTAATTTGTTCGAACCGACATAATTTGTTGAACCGACATATGGATGGATTTGAGACTCTAGGCATCACTTTTCCCCTCAAACTTTTTCCCTCTTCTAGGTCATTCCACATCGATCCAAGCCAAAAATGCCACGCCAATAATAGCACGCCAAATAAAAATGCAGCAAATTTTGAACAAAAATAATAATTTTCCCTCAAATCTACAGTAATCCGACTGCTTCAAATCCTATCAGGGGTCTCAATTCTAAATTTTATGGGCTGATTTTAATATCAGCGAATTTCTCGTAAAATTCTGGACAAATCCTACCTATTTTCATTAAGAATGGTTTGACAGATTTTTTGAAAACTTTCAAAAACCTTCAAACATGACAAAATTCAGTTGATTTTTTAGAAAATCTGTCAGGGTTTTTATTTTTGGGCCAAATCAGACGTTTTTTAGATCATTTGATTTGTTTTCAAATTCTCTACAATTTCTATTTATTTTGAAAAAAAAATTTATACCCGGAATTTTTTAATGCCAAAAAAGCTGATTTTCCCTTGTATCGAGAAAAGCGCCAACAAATCAGAAAAAAAATCAGAAAAACTCGATTTCCAATATTATTCGCCGTGCAGCAGCGAATTTTTTCAAAAATCTCACGTTTACTGAGCACGATTTCTGACCCGTTGCCTTGGGCCCAAGTGTGCACCCATAATGATTTCAAATCTTTTTGATAATTGAGCTCGATAATTGAGCTCGAAGTTCAAGTATAGGATGACCTTTTTCAGAGTGTTTACGGTAACTCCCACCTCGTCCCTCATCGGCCTGAAACCGTTTTCTTATGTTCCCAAAGTCTCATCGCTTAGAAAAGTTATAATTGAGATCTTGCTCTAGAGAACTGGCAGTTTGGTAACTCTTCACCTTCAACCTTCAACGGTACGTTCTAAAAACAGTATACGACGGAACTTCATTTTGTACATTTGTATTCAACAATAAATATAAACAAAAATAAATAGAATCAACGAAAGACAACTGCAAAGTGTAATTAAAGCTATTCAATTTTTCGATTATCACAGTTTAGTGACTGGCTGGTTTTTGGTTTTTCTTTGGAGGAGCAGCTTTCTTTGGTGCTGCTCTCTTGGCTGGTGCGGCTTTCTTGGTTGGAGCCTTCTTTGGTGGAGAGGCCTTCTTTGGAGCAGCTTTCTTTGGAGCAGCCTTTTTTGCTGCGGCCTTCTTTGGAACTGGTTTCTCTGGGATCGGAGGTCTAACATCTCTTCTCTTTGTGTTCAAATATTTTTTTACTTCAGCGAAGGAATTCTTTCCGGCTGGTCTGCTGTAAACGATGAATTTTGACTTTGATTTCTAGCTCTCCAAAACTAACCTCTTCGATTTTCCATCAGTTGATTCTCTCAACATTTTCAATTGAATTTCGGCGGTGTCAAACTCAGTCTGTTCGTGATTCAAACCCTCGACCTTCCATTCATGTCCTCCTGGGAATTCAGATGCTTTCTTTCCACATGCCATATAACCAACAACAGAATCTCCAGACGAAGCAAGATTGAAACTCTTGTAGGAGGATTCATAGTTTTTGAACCAGTTGATATCAGCCAAGAATTTCGAATTACAAGACAATCCAGTATTGGCATTGCAAATTTCGAAGAACGGAAGCCCGCAGAGATATGATCCTTGATTCGCACCAGCTACGGAAATGTAGGTATGGATTCTGGATTGCAATGATGGTCCCAATGCGACATTAGCATCGTCAACACATTTTCCTCCCAGAATAGCTTTTCTGGCAATTGGAGATCCCATTGAATATCCGATAACGTCGATTTGTTTTGCTCCAGTGTACTTGAGAACCATTTCAATGAACCTGCGTATCTGTAAGTCAGTACAATGAGGTCCTACACTTAAGAATAATAGAACATACGTGTCTGACATGAGCACAAGACATGCCAACATTGAAGTTTGTCGGTTCAAGTCCTCTTCCCCATGTTGTTGCAAACATATATTGAGTTGGGAATCCATGTGCAGCGAAGACACGGGCAACTTTCCAGAGGTTTCCAGCTTCATTATTCAATCCATGAACAAACACAACTGGTCGATCACTGAAAATAACCTGAATTAGGATCAAACTATAATAATGCTTTCTCACTTTGTCCCTTTTGTTAAAAGACCTCCACCGATACTTCCAGTCGTCAGATCGTCTCTAACGAAAGCTTTGACTTCTTCTGGTGTATAATGTTGCTTCATCCATGCCATGAAATGCTTATGGATGTCGTGTCCACATGTCGCCGTATTGATAACAGCAAGTGCTACAGCTACAGTAATCCACTTCATATTGGCTTCTATCGGTTTAGAACCTGAAAAAATCATCTCATTATTATGATTATATATGAAAGGGAAGTAAAAATTGTCAGGTTCTTTGGTTATTTTTTGAGCTTTTTATAGCAATTTGCCATTGAGGAAATCAGGTCCATATGTGACTTAAAAAGGTGGAGTCAGAAAAGTTAATTTCCAGATTTGAGGGACAACTGCCCACTGCTTATCAAAAAAGGAGTGACAAAAATTTATGGGCGGTACGAATGGCAACCGGATAAAATATCTGACCTTATGAAGGTAAAAGCCCCGTCGGTGCCTTATCAATGACAAATTGGCAGAAGCAAGAAAAGAGGCGGAGAAGATAAAAGAAGGAAAAGGAGAAAATGGAAATGGTTGCGAAACGATATGAAAAAAAGTGATTTCCCAGAATGGCAGAATTCTCATCAAAAGGAACGAAAATGATGGTTTCGGAATAGAAAAAGTAACAGCCATTTCATAGGTATATGTTATCTTCGAAAATCATTGGATGTGTGTGATAATCACCAGAAATGAAGGAAACGGATTTTATTATAATCTTTCTGAATTTTCAATTGCAAAGCCAATATTCGAAAAATTATGATTTTCAGGTATTGGGAAAATGGTTTTCTAAAATTTTTAAATATATACACTGGTGAAACTTAGGTATGTTGAAAAATTGTCAGAAAACAATTGCTCGAAAAGTAACTAAGAAATTTGTTTTCAAAGCCCTGAAAAACGATTGTCCACTTTCTTGCATAGATCAAATATAAAATAAAAATGGGGGAATGCATTCAATGGGGTTTTTCAGATTTACTGAAGAAGTTATTCTGTCTGAAATTGTTATCCTGCTCTTACTTCGCCAGAAACTTCTGATCGGAGGTTGCTCAGATTCCTGATTGACCTACTGAAGTCGACTGATAGTGAATTCCGAGAAAATAATGACAACGTTCCGACCATACTTGTGGAAAAGATGGCCGGGCCGGAAAAATTAGGGCATGGCCGGCCCGCGGGCCGGCCCGCTTTTTGAAAAATTTGAAATTTTTAAGAGAATCATCATTTTTCGAGATGGATTTTATTCATAATAAAAGAAAATCTACATTAGAAGCTGATTCTGTGAAAAAAACTGTTTTGAGGTCGGAGTTAGCAAAAAGTTTCATCCTTGGCAAAATAAAATTTGAATTTTTTGCTAAAAATTGAATTAAATTGAATTTTTCAAATGGTTTTATGCATTTTAATTAATATTTGATCTATTACAATTATTTTGGCACATTAAAAAACAAAAATTTCGAAAATTCGTTCAAGGCGGGCCGAGGGTTTTTGAGCAGGCGGGCCGGCCCGGCCCGGCCATCCACGTGTATGGTTCCGACCTAGTAGTATTTCAACTTTCAGCTTCCAAAATCTTGCCATGGTCTGCTATACATCCGTTTTTGAGCAAGTACCTGGCTAGGACCTTGCCAATATCCGTCCAAAAGCGGAGCCGTATCAACTTTTTACAAGCCGGAAGCCAAGTGGCCGAAATGAATTCAAAATGTTTATATTATTTTGGATTCTATCTATGTCGTTGGAAAATTTGTGATGGTTTTCACATTACTATGTAACTTTAAATCAATTCTTCTTTAGATGTTTCCGTTCCTCATTTCTCGTCGAAAGTTTCGCTAGACCTACTTTTTAGTTAGCTTTGTTACTATCTAAATTCAAAAATGTTCTTTTTTTCAATTATTCCTCTACGATTTTCAATTTTTTAAATTATCTAAACTATCAAATAACGCTTACTTTGTTTCTTATTGCCAAAAAAGAGTAAACTTCCAAAAGATGCCATTAAGTTAACCAGAAAGATTCGAATAGTTTTCATCAAAGGAACCATAAAATATTCTCGCATCTCTTAATCTTCAGAATGTCTCGTTTATGGTGGTTCCGTTTATGGGGTTCCAATAGGTAAAATTATCTAAGAAACATCCACACCATTTGTTTAAAATGCTTCATCCCACTCTCATCTTGGCATACTGTACCAATCAGAATTTCAAGGAAACCTCGAACCAGCTGAATTATTCAATTTATCAATGCAACCACCACAACACAAAAACTCATTTATCGATAAGGCGAAGTGGATTTCTGTTAAGAAGTTTATAGCATCATCACAGAGATATTCACGATCATCGTATACACAATCCTGCCGCATATCCCTTTTTTGACAGTTTTTTGCAATGATCTCTTGAACTGGACACCGGACTACACATATCACGTAGATACCGTATACGATGTGTTGCGCCTGATAAACGAGAGGAACTGGATGGAGGTTGATCATAACAGATATAGCCGCAAATTGAATTCCTGCTCTACGTAAAAACCCTAGAAACGGTAAAACGACCAATCAACTGAACACGGATCTCTGACTGTCAAGAGAAATACAGGTAAGGATTTATCAGAATATTGTTAATTAGGACGGATTTATGAAAAAAAGAGAAAGAATCAAACTCCTGAACAAACTTGACGATGCAATAATTCTATAACCATCAATCGGATGTAATTATGAATAATGAGGTCACGACAAAGGTTTTTGTGTTTAATGATACAAACATTGCTTTAGAATCATGAAGGATATAATCGTCTGAAGTGCAACAGATTTCAAACTTCTGTTTTACCATTTGGTCCTTAATTTGAAATTTCTGATTTTTTTTTCTATATTTGCTTAATATATAAAATTGAGATTTCAGGTGTGTAAATGTTGATACTTATGAACTTTCAACCACTGATATGTCCCATATATTCCCTTTTTTGAGATTTTTTTATTACGCACTTTTTGCAGATGTTTCTTCTGATCCAACGAAATTTTAGCAACAATGGACTTCTTTTCGGAAGCTCTGCGATTACATTTTGGTTTTTTTGTAATTTTTTAAAGTAAGTTTTCAAAACATTCAACGATTTTTTCGCCCTCGTATAAAATGCCACCGTAACCCAAAACTCGCCAAACAGGAGCAAGAAGACAAGTACAAATAAAAATGTTAAATTGTTACAGTATCATATTTTATTAGGATACCGTAAACAATTTAACAGAGTGTCACCCAAATTCTCAATTTTGAGCCCATATATATATGATTTCTTGTGAAAGATATCAAACACGAGTCAACTAGTTAAATGTTTATCATAATGTGAGAAATATTTTTCAGTTGACCACTTTTTGATATCTTTTGTAGGAAAGACTTAAAGTTGAAAGTTTGGGTTGCACTCTATTAGAGTGTTACCCGTTCGGGTTTTTATTTAATTTCAATGTTAACAATAACTCTTATGACTTCAAGTAATTGAAGTTTTTGCACTTTATATCAATTCTCTGATATATGCCCTTTCATTTCCTTCTGTGTCCAATTCAATTGGCAAAAAAACGAGTTGCGGGGTTGCGTAAGATTCGAGGCTTTGAAATGTCCTTTCCGATGAAGCGCCGAGTGGGATTGTGTCACAAAGCGAAAGTTGAGATTCGAAATATCACGTACTGAAAAAAAAGATCAAGTGTCCGAAAAGTCGAGTCAAAAAAGATTTGAGTAATCCATACTAGTTCCCGGATTCTGAAAATTCAAATTTCTTGCAGATATTTTCAAAGTACTTACCCTTTTTCAAGTCTTCATTTTTCAAAATACTGTAACGATTCTGTAACAGGAACGTCTTTTTTAAACCAGAACCCTCTTGAAAATATTTAAAATCCTATAAATGGCTGACCGTCCAAAAGAGCCCAAAAAAACACTTAATATTTCAAAATTGATTTTAGAAACACTACTATATTCGAATGAGACTGCAAAATATTGTATCCTATTTCCGGAATTTTCGGCCTGTTGTGGAGAAAAATGAAACCATAAAAAGCAAAAACGGCGAAAAGTGTCATAGCATTCATGAGCTTAAACTTGTGCTGGAAACTGACCGCCATCCTGCATAGCAATATAATACATTTTCACTCAGGAATTTTTTCGGATGACTTTAAATGGGAAGCCCAAAATCGATTTTCTGTGAGCTCATTTTATGATAAGTACGAAAAACAAGATTTATTGAAAGTCTGATAGAGTTGTCCAACTTCTAATAGTGAGTACAAAATTCTGTAGCCACAGTTCATTGATTTGATCTTTGCGCCAAGTTTTTTCTTCGATTCACGTAGACCAAAACCTGTCTGTGTCTATGAGAAGGACAATGAAATCGCAGGGATAAGACTACGGCCGATAATGGCAACATCAGTCTGATTGAGAATGCGTGAAGGTGTGTTTTGGTTGAAAAAGGAGGAAACGTATACGCGGAGGACATAGAACATAGACAGATCGTTTTGCAGACTTGAAGCAGGGTGAAAATAAATTAAAAATTTTAATAAGCTGGATACAGTGAATTGAAAAAGCTTTCAGGAATTTGAAATGAATTGAAGTATTCCTACAAATGGTTGAAAGGTACCCAGTTACCGTAAACACTCTCATAGAACGCCACCTAAATCGTGAAATTTGAGACCCTATGTATATCTCATTCCCTGTAAAAGATATCAAAATGTGGTCCACTAACAAAATGTTAATCGAAATATCAAAAATATTTTGTCAGTTTACCTCTTTGTCAGTTCACTTCTTCATATTTTGTCAGTTCACTTCTTCATGTTTTTGATAGGAACCGAGATAAATTGACTCAAAGATAAAAGTCAGTGGTGGCGTTCTATTAGAGTTTTAGCGGTAAGCTGAAACCTCGCGGAACTGTATAATAATAAAAATAATAATACATTTTTATCAGTACTTTTCATATTTTACACAAACTCATCTATATAATGAGAAAAGGGCAACTCTCAACTCAATATTGAAATTGAATATAATCGGTACTGTTTGGCCAAAAATAACATTTCAAAGTTATTAGGAAAAAAATGTTTCAACTACAAAAATTAATCCCTATTTCATCATATACTCGCAAAAAAAATCAGATCAATTGAAAAACTCTGAATCTTTTCTGTAGTACCTCAAAGTTGGATATTTACCTAGTGGACACTATTCTCCACGGAGTTTTATAAAAAATGTCTACCGGTAAATATCAGACAATAAAAAAATTAAATAAGAAGTATTTATGAAATATGCTGAACTTCTCAAAAAATCTGAGAGAATGGGCAAGAATGAACTACAGATTCTCGAGATCATTCGAGACTCCGCCTAGTTTCTGAATTTGATCAAAACGTGATTTTCCTCTCATTACAATCTTATTGGGTCGAATTTCTTCCGAATGAATACAACAAAACTCAAATAATGCATACATTTTGAAAGTTACTATTTCCATAACCGTATTCATATGGTTTACATCTTTCCATATATGATCTTCATCTCCTTACAGTTATCTTACTCTTCCAGATAATTCCAAAAAAACCGGAAACAGTTTCTAAACTCTTGAACTATCCATATCATTCGACTTTTTTCTTTATGTGATTATAACACGTTTTTTCATTCAAAGCCTCCAAAGCAACCGGTACGAGGCTAATCGTCGCAATATGCCGATTTCGTCTCCGCGAAGGTCTTCGTCCGTAGTCTAGTCGCAAAGTCCAAAAAGTCACTGACAATTGGTCGACATTCCAACGGCATCTGCTGTGTCTTCCTCGGTGAAAGCGAGACGCCTTCGGAAATTAGAAGGAGTCGAGGTGAAACCTGTATAAACAAAATTGGTCTTATCGACCTGGCCCTCTTCGATTTATTTTTTGCGGGCATTACAAATTTGTGCCAACTTGGAGCCAAGAATAACTTATGTGTAAAAACGAATACATTTGCAACATCTTTTTATGAACATCAGAAAAGGCACAAGAGTGGGTGTTCAACCGTATGGGATAAACAATCATACATAAGTGAACGGAGGACAAGGCAAAAGCTGGGAAGGAAGAAAGGGACACGGGAAACGGGAACAAATACATAAAGCTATGTGAAGATGAAAACGTTGAAAATGCACACGAAAATTCGGAAGTTATATACCAGTATGGGTTCAACAGTAATCTTATATTAAATTCGTAAAATTGAGAGAGAACATGCACATCAATTGCCAGTCTCGTTTTGACTCAACCGACGATATCGAACGTTTCCTCCTCTTGACCTGGATCCTTTTCCAGACCGACCTTCGAACATTAGACCTGAAAAGTTTATATATTTTATTGATGAAATCCTTCGTGAAATCTAACCAAGAATCTTCTTCTTGTTATGTTGAAGCAGATAAATAGCAATAATGAGGAATGACCCAATAAAAAAGAATGACATAAACCCGGTTCCATCCTCTTCCACCCCTCGAATGCGTTGGAAACTGGACTGGAATTCGTTCTGAAAAAAATGGGGTTTTGATGAAAATTTGAAAAAGTATATTATTAAATGTAGAATGGCTTACAGATGTGTCAAATCTATGTGGACGAGCAACTGGTCCTGCTTCCAACGTTTGTTCTTCATCTGCAGAATCTTTTTTCTTATCAGCAGTAGGAGCACCTGGCGCTGGATTTCCTCTAGCTTCTTCAACCGCTTCATGCAATCCTTCTGCAACAACAGAAGGGGTCTCGCGATCTTCTTTAGCTGCTCCATCTGCTTCGTCTTTTGGTGGATCTACAGCGGCTGGCTTGTCAACGTTCGCATCTGGATCTTCCTCTCCTTTTCCTCCTTCAACTTCTTGTTTCGCTTCAAATTCGGGAGCCGCATTTTCTTTCTCTTCTTCTTTCAGATCATCTGCTTCTTCTGGAGCTTTTGGAACCAGTGGTGCGAGTGTCTCCGTAGCTATTGTTGTTGCTTCAGGTATCACTTCCGTCTTCACAGCTGGTGTTTCTTCTTTTCCAGTCAGAAGTTCTTCTTTCTTTTCAGAGTCGGGTTTGGGTTCCTGACGTTATTTTTTTAAATTACAAGTTAATTTTAAGTGCACTCACTGCGTTTGTTGCATTGTCAGCTGCTGGGATGGGAGCCACCTGGACTGAAATAGTCGTGATGTTTGCAGTTGAACTGAGAGGAGTGAGCGTTGCAGGTACTGTAATCTTCTCCACGGGAACTTCTTTTATTGCGTCTTCTTCTACTGGGGGCTTCACATCGTCAACATCTTCTGGATTGACATCATCTGCGTTTTCGTCAGCGAATGAGCTTACTGCGAACAAAAGCAACACGACTAAAAGTCGTCGTTTCATCAGAATGCTGAAAGCAAAAATATTGAGAAAATGATCGGGGTATTAGAAAACTACGACTTTCGAAAACTAGGATACAAAAATAGCAGCAGTTAGGTGCGTAGAGGGACATGAAAGAAATGCCTCGTATTATCTTCATGAGGTCAGTTAGTCTATGAAGACGACGTTATTACGGCCGGGAGTGTCAGGGAAAATAAAATAGTAACGCCAAAGCACTGAGATCCCTGAAGAGCTTGCAGGAGAGGAGAGGCTTCTCCCAGACATCTGCGGCGAATTTGTTTACTTTGGTATGACGTGTAACTTGACAGAGAAAAGTGCGTACTAATTCGGTTACGATAAAAATCGATGGTGATTGAAATAATCCGTCAGTAACAGACGAGGTTAATCCCCAAAAAGTTTCCGATGTGTTGCGATTTCAGAAAAAATATATGAATAGTGACTATTGAGCAGTTTACTGAAAGAAAAGGAACTTGAAACATCTGGAAGCATGAAGCAACGAAAAAAGAAAGCATTGGTTATGAAAGTCTCTATGAATATGACAGGAAACGGATGTTGGCAAACATACAAAGAGGGCCTGTGAAAAAAACGTGGCTTGACTTGATTTGTATTTTGGTTTTATAGGTTGTATTTAGACTGCAAAAAATACGGTTCTCGTCTCAGAACGGATAGTTCGAAATCCACTTGACCCAGATTTTCTAATTACTTTTCAAAATTCAGAAACTTCAAACTTTATGAGCAGTTTTAGAAAAAAAATACTGTCAAATTAGTGCAATGAGGCGTCAAATCTGTTGTGTACGACGGAAACTTCGTGTACTCCTCGAGGAAGACCAAAAAAAAAAATATTTTTTTGCAATGTTTTTTTTTCAGTTTATCACAATTTTAGACGAAACTGGCATCCAAATTTATTGATCTCCGAAGAATCATATGATTAATTTACTTTTAAAGCAATAATAGCGTTTAGCATCACCTAATAAAAGTAATGGTACAGATATATTGGATTTTCACAATAGACAATTGAATTATTGTTATTAGTGATTAGTTGTCGACGGCTGACGTTTATGGTTGCTAATGTTTAGATTCGTCCGAAGATGATACTTTTCAGAATTCTCTCAGCGTTGAGTTTGTCGGCTGACGATTCAGCCTTGGCCTTTCTCTCAAGAGTTCTTCGTCGCTTGACGTCATCCGGATTGATTCTCTCGACAGGGAGCGATACATAATCCAAGTTGAGCTTGCGAATCTAATTTTTTACATTTTCGTTAATCGAAGTATTTTTAAATTTTACCTTCGAGACTTTAGCTCTGATTTTCTCGCTTTTTGAGCTCTCAATTTTTTGGAGATATCTGCTGGCTCTGTTCTGACTTCCTCTTCTTTGAAAGAAATTGTACATCTGCAATCAATTATTGCGGCTTTTCAACGATGACAACAAACTTACAAAGATATGGTTCTTCCATTCTTGTTTCGCCGAAGAGCTGTATCTGATATGCGCCTTATTTGTTTCCGTCCAAAGGTCGAATGCTTCCTCGTCGGACAATGCAGTTGGTTTTTCTTTAACATCCTCGTACTTGGACAAATGGAAGTAGAACATTAATTCTTCTTCTGTCATTTGAGTTTCAGTAGCCGGCATAGAAACAGTAGTTTTTGTCTCGGAGTGGTTTTTGTCGGTTTCGTTTGAAGGAGTAGCAGAATTCATCGTAAAAAACGAGCTGAAAGTAACAAGAAAATCAAAAGGCTGATTAGAAAATACAGAAACGAAATGACTTCTGTCGAGCTATCTGTTTTCGGATCGACTAAAAATTCGCGCCACAGAATAAACTTTAGTAATTAGCAGATCAATTTTTGTAGGTCATAAGAGAACTTTTTCTTTTTCTTTCTTATTCGCATTTTTCAAGACATTATATGATTTCAGGTGATGAACTCCGCAAGTATCTCCAGATTAACATCCGTTATTCGAACAACGTCAGTCCGGGGATTTCACGATCGCAGTTCTGTGCCAAGAGTAGTGGATGATCGTGAAAAGTCATCCGCCAAATACAATGATGCTGGTGAGTTTATCAAAAATATTTGTTGTTTTTTTTCGGTGACATACTCAATTTTAAAGCCAACTTCTAACTTCTAGGTTATACCTTTCGCTACCATCAACAAGGAGTAGACCCTCTTCCTCGCATACCGGACTGCAAAGTACCAGTAGCTCGACCGAACTACAAAGTTAGAGATCAATGGAACGATGAGGCTGCACGTTTCGGTCAGAATGATTACATCGATCTTCTCGGTGATGGATCAGTACATCCCGCACAACTACAATACCACACTCCAACCTGGCTCCGTGGATTCCCTGGACAACATAAGGCAAACGAACTGATCAAGTTGATTCATTACCGTAATCTCTATGACTCCAAGCTGAAACAAAATTCGCCGAAGAGATGGCACGAGTTAAGAAAGAGAATCAAGTATTTGATGATGCAGCATAACTATAATAAACAAGTGAGTTCAAACATATTGTTCGTACATTATTGGATTCCTTTTTCAGGATGAAATCGGTCGTGAACGAAACTTGGGATTGTGGGAGGAAGAGCCAGACTACACGTACAAAGACAAATCGCGAAGATCATTCAGAGACGAGATTCATTGATGTTCTCGTTTCAACTTGGGTAGCTGTTCTTTTAGGATTTTTGTTGTTGTTTCTCGTTTTCCAATAAATTTTATTTTAATTCGCCCCCGTTTTGTGATTCCGCAAAAAAATAGGGACAATTTTAGGGAATTTTTTTTCTAATTACAGATTACAACACAACGGATCAAGGATTCACATTTAATGTATTTTTCAAAAAATCTATTGGAGCTGTGGCCCCATAACGACAACTACCGTAACCTAAAATTTCTGATTTTCTTGCAATTTCAGTATCTAAAATTTTTATTTTCCTTCTTTTTTGGAGAAAAAGAACTGAAAGTTAGATGAAAAATAGTGAACGCCGAGAAAATAAATCCGAAGAATAAAAAATATTACTAGGTTACGATAGTTGTCGCTGTGGGACCTTCGGCCGCCGCCATCGGTATTTCTTTTCCACCGCTTCGATTTTTTGTACCAGAATAGTACATTGGAATTGAACTTTGTTGATCAGTAACTGAAATTTCGAGACCATATATGATATATCACGAGACTCTAAATAGATATCCTAACAAACGCATCCTACCACACCGAGGAGACATCAGTTTCACAACATTATCCTTGAATGGGCTGGGTTCCATCATTAACATATACTTCCCATCGTTTCGACGAGCCTATAGAAAGGATCTGACCTAGGAAACCTGTTCCTGCTTCAACCAATTTCCCAACAATACAATTTCCTAATTCAATGACATCACACTTTCTTCTCTCGACCTTCTTCGTCTCTTTTATTTCTTTACCTTTCCAATCTGACCAGCTGTACTCTTGTGTTGACATTGTATCTCAGCGCCTTATCAAATAGATCGAAATTCTGCATGTTCATGTTTTTGCATTATTGCATCCATGTTTTTCCCTTTTCCCTTTGTCCTACTTCTCTTTTACTTTTTTATCTCCAGCATGCTGCAAAATACAAAAAAAAAGAAAGAAAAACCGCATATCCTCCGGCTCTCCCCCCAGCTGTTCGTTGTGTGCCTCTTCCCACTCTCAACTCTTTTCTGAATACATTTTCTGTCTGCGCATCCTACTCTCCTCGACGATCGATACCCTTCGAAGCGGCCCCTCAGTCATGTGTTTATACTGGGGGAAATAGTAGAAAATCATTAGAGAACACAGAGATTCCTGTGGATGCCGCGCTCTTCTCATTCCCTCTTCCCTGCATAGCAACAGCAGAACGCGCATATATAGCTCAATACCTGTTCTAGAATCAAATACATCACACTCTATCAAAGATAAGGAATATAGAAGTTCAGTTACCACAGTGAACTTTGAAGTCTAGAGTGTTTTCGTTGTCGCATCTATGTTCATTTATTCTGGTAAACATCTCTCTTTTCTTTCTCAAAATAGCTTATTTCTTCTCCCTTCTTTGTAACAACATTCATAACAAGAACCAAACGATGATCTTAATAGTTTTCTTAATCTAAAAGTTCATAGCAACCATGAAATATATCACAATCCAGGTATTATGATGACGATGGTCTCGTTGTGTTATTGCGAAAGAAAATATTGGATTTCGCAATGCTCTCTTCTTTTACTTATTTTCAATGAATGTCAATACTCTTTTCCATTATCTTCTTTTTCAAAAGTATAGTTCCATTTACTTTTCGCTTACAGATGGCTGCTCAATCATCATCTGCTCCACATCAAATGCAAGTTCGTGTTACTTTCTACACGAGCCACAATCCACAATCTGTTTTGATGATTCTTAATAATGAACAGGCTCTGGAACAGATCACAGAGAAGGCACAAGAGCTCTTTTCATCTGCAGACTATCGTCTTTTCTATGGTAAGATACCCTCGTCCTTCTGCGTGCCAACAAATCAAATATTTTCAGGTGACGTGAATGGTCCAATCTACGAGTTCACCGATTCGGAACAGGTCATGTCCAAGATCCGTATCACGACCTTTTCGCGCACTCCACAACTGTTTGTTCGTCTTGAATCTGGATCATCTGTTCCATCATCCTGCAACAAGAAGACGTCAACTTCCAAAGAATCAAAAAGTGGAGCGTCTCTCAAACGCATTGAACAAAACCAGGAGCTTACTTTGAAGAAGGTCGAGCAGCTTCAGAAGGGTCTTGACCGAGTTGTTGTCTTGGAGACGATGCTGGCTGAGTTGAAAACCAAGGAATCGAAGACTGTTCCAGAAGTGGAGAAGGAAGTCAGACCATTCCCACCATCCAAACATTCAGCCTCGTGCGATGCTTGCCTTGGAGACATTGTTGGACATCGTTACAAATGTCTTGAGTGCGCTGACTACGATTTATGTGAGAAGTGCGAAAGAAAATCGGTTCACTATGAACATGCGATGGTCCGTATTGTCTCTCCATCTATGACCAAGATCCCATCTTATGTAACCAACAACTCACCAAACAATGTCTTCCCAAGATACATGCAATCGAGACAAATTTCCGATTTCGAGAGACAAATTCTTGAGCAACTGTCTCGTAGATCAAGAATCGCTAAGAAACAGGGAACCCCAGTCTCTCCACCAGCTGCTGAATCGGTCCCAACTCCAGTCTCTGCTCCAGCCGCTGCTCCAGTGGCAGCTCCAGAACCAACCTCAGTTTCAGCACCACCTTCCGCCCCTGTTACTGGCCCAGAAGCCAGTAAGTTTTGCTTCGTTATATTAACCAAATATATTATTATTTTAACATTTTCAGGAATCTTCAACGATGAGACTTGTGCAGCTATCATCAACAGTGCTGCTATTCTTAAGGATACCTTCAGCACATTGAGCAAAAGTTTCATGGATTTGGCTGATGGAGCTCAAGCTAACATGGGAACAAAGATCGTCGATAGATCCACAATGGAAGCTGGAGTCAGAAAAGTTGAAGAGAAGGTCGATAGCTTGAAGAGACACTGTGAGGAGAAGTGCTTTGGAATTCCAGCTCCAACTACCGAAACCTTTGAAGAAGTCCCCAGAAAATCTGCGGAATCTGCTCCAGGACCAAAAATCAAGAAAGCTAAGAAAAAGTCTGTCTACAAGAAATCTTCTGAGAAGCTCGTTGCAATGACACTAGCTGCTGCTGCTGAGGAACAGTACAAAGCAAGAGAGGAAGCGAAGAAAAGAGCTGATGCCAGTACCGCTGAGCTCCAAAGAAAACTCGCCGAACTCAACATGAAGCCAGCAACCGAACCAGTCAGCCAAACTCCTATTCAAGAGAGCTCCAATGGTGGATCTCTTGATGCTTTAATGAGAGCTATTCTCTCTCCACCAACCGTTGATCCAACCACAACTCCAAATGTTGAACCAGCTACTCCACAGGCTCCAACTCCAGTTCCTTATGAACCAATTTATCCAACTGTTGAGACGCTGATTGTTCCACCACTACCAGTTGCGGAGCCAAAGTTAGAAGGATTTATTCCACCACAAACTAGTGTTCCAATCTCGATTCACTCTTCATTCGAAAACATCTCATCCGACATGGAGAGTCTCAGTCCATCTTGGGGACAGTATGAGGAAAATGCAGACGCTGCAGAACCAGAAACCATGGAGGAGAATCTTCTTGATTTTGAAAACATCGTATTGGCACAAGGTCCGTCTACTTCTGATCCAAGTCTAGGTCAACCATTGGATGCAGCCACCGAGAAGGTAATATTCTTTTCCAAATAACAACACAACACCTTATGGTTTTACTAAGAATAGTTTTTCAGACTTTCGATCGTCTTTTGGAAATGGGATTCGACTACAATGTAGTCGTTGCAGCCATCAAAGCCAATGGATCGGATCTTGAGAAGTGTCTCATTTATCTCATCAACTGAACATTTTGAACATACTGTATTTAATAAAACCGCTCAACTAACTCATCCGTCCTAGACTATAGTCGTTTTGTTTCACCATTTCGATAAAACCTCTATTTATATTCCCTCTCACATTGGTTTCATTCCCCTTTTTCTGTATTAATGTATAGAGTTGTGGCGAAAATAAATCATCATTTTAATAATTATCTTTATAAATCATTCAAGAATTGAGCAAGTTCAGGTGTTTGGGGGAAAAGGATACGAATCGATTTTGGGTTATACACGTTATTGGGAGGAAAGGGGAAGACACAGGATTCAACACTGCTGTGGTATGCTGTTGCGCTTTAATGAGAAGGTGAATTTTGGGATGAAAAATCCACAAAAAATACCGAGAAGTTTGAATTTTTACGGCCTAGAACTTCGTCACGTCATTTCCTCAATGAAGCGCAATAGCATAACACGGCAATTCAAACCCTGTGGGAAGAGGGTAGAGTGAATTGGCGAGCAATCACGCTCGCAGCAAAAAAAACACCCGTTGAAAAAAAAGTCCGGAGATGGTACATATTCAGGATATGAATCAATATTGGAAATGTGGCTGATGAAGATGATCGTAGATCATTGGCACACTGTTATTGTAGAGATGGGGAAGTGCCGTCTGATTGGGTGATGGCAGTTGAGACGATGGCTGAAAATAAACAGGAGTGTAAGTGGAAATATTGCATTGATAAGATACCTTTGGTGGTGAAACGCTGACCCGCATTACTGGATTTGGCACTTCGAAGTCAGATCGGACTAACTGAAAATCAGGATTTCAATACTGAACCAATATCCCTTTTTTGCAAACCTTTGCAGGTGGTGGTGAAATTAAAGTAGGTGCCATGTTTTGAGAAATTGGAGCAGGGGCAAGTGGAATATGTCGAGGAACACTTTCGTAAACGGATGAAGTTTTTCGAATTGGTCCCGGTTGGAATTGATCATTAATGAAGTCTAGAGAATCAAACAAATCTTGTTTGCTCTTTCCATACAGGTTGGAAAGATTGACAAATTCACGAAGGAAGTCCTCATCTCGACTGCCAGCGGCAACTGATAGACGTTTAGATCTTTCATTCTCATCATAATCGGAAGATGGTGGCTTCACTTTACAGGTGACCACCGCGATTCTCATAGCAGTGAACTTTATATGCTGCATTGTGTCGATATCACCCATATGTGTGATATTACTGGAAATCTCACGGCTCTCTGATGGACTATCTGGTTTTCCACCAATGTCTTTCAAGTCTTCCAGCAAGTCTTCAATTCTGACGGCTTCGCGATTGGCTTTTACGAGGTATTTCACTTTCTCGGCTTCTGCAATATCTCGGAGATAATCTCTGAGACATTTCTGTTGGAGTCGCTTTAGATCCAGAGGTTCCAGGTGGATTGGTCTACTTGCACGAGGATCGGTGGTGTGTGCCTGGGACTTGACAGTGAAGCAAATGGTTCCTGAAACAGTTCAAGCATTATACATCACAATGGTTCTTCTTTCACTCCTTCTACTGATTCCCTCCTCGAAACGAAATTCATGTCCAAGACACATCTATTACTCACCTCCAGTGACGAACGAAAGACGCATGATAAGCGCCGAATTGTGATTTTCCAATTCTTGATCAACTTCTTCGAATTCCATAAACCCCATCAAAACTCCCATTTCCCAAAGCTTTCGGACATTGTTTCTAGTATCATGGAAGATTTGGAGTAGCTCTAGCATTCCACGCCAAACTGAGAATCGCACATTTGTACTGTTACATTCATAACGAAGATGTGGGCACAGAACGTTTTTAAAGGTGACAATTTCTGAAAATTAATGTGTTCACTAGACTAATTCCTCAAGCGAGATTTGTAAACTTACGCTGAATTCCATTGATTCTTGCTCCATCCTGTCCTGAGCAACAATCTGGACACTGTAGTTTGTATTTCAAAAGATCAAAATCACTGTCAACGAGACTTCTCTTCACATCTGCGTTCACTTTGAAATGTTGTTTGAATAAATGTTTGAAGTGATCCCAACTCATTCCACCATCAATCCATTGCAAAAGAAGACCGTCCTGACTGTCGTATCCGTAAAGCCAAAATATTGTTGCAGTGTAAGAAGACATCATTCTCTGTACTTGACAATCTTGGTTTCTCCTCGTGGCAATTGTGAAGGGAAGAGAAAGAGTATGAGCTGTAGCAAATCTTCCAGATGGAGAGAACATTGTGGCTTTGATGTGGAAATAGAAGATCGGACGTTTTCCACTTCCTTGTTTATCGTTGCTAGATGAAGTATTATTTCCAGAAGGAGACAGATCTTGGTAAGAATTATGAATAGATTGACGTCCTTTTTGTCTTGTTGTACAGAGAAGATGAGGATAAGTTGCAGCCCAGTATCTGTTTTTTGCATTGTAAACTGGATAGATGATGACACTTTCTTTGCTGTTCACATCACTTTTCTTATGAGCAGTATTGTTGGCAGAGTCTGCATTACTGGCAGCGTTGCTTCTTTTGGTTCCAGTTGTTGGTTTCATGGCAAGAAGAGCGGCAGATGGAACGTTGCCGATTGGAGCTGGATGTTGTAGAAGACGTTGTCGGGACATTTCTGATTGAATGTGTTCCGCTGTTTCTTCTGAAACCACTTGTATCTCGAAATCCTTGAAGACAACTCCACGGGCCAGTGCTCCACAATTCATCCTGAAAAAATAATTATAACTTCAAACTTGTCATCTTCAGAACTTACGCAAAGAGATTATTGGTAACCAAAATAGCACTGGTTGATGGTTCTGTAGCCAATACACAGTTAGACATCAGAAGTTCAAGAGCAGCAAACACGGCTTCTGACATGTGTATAACTGGATCAAAATTGAAGAACTTCTTATTGACGGTCAGATCGTATCGGAATCCCTGAAGTCTTGCACCGAGTACCGCCAGAACGTATGTCATATTGGAGTAGAAAGTGACCAGACTTTCAACGGACGTATCATGTTCCTTGAGCTGATCTCTCATTCTTCCAACTTGAACTGATCGAACTGTTTGCCATAGAGCCATTCCTTTGTTATTACAAAAAGTCTTGTAGTGTTCAAGGCAAGGACACAAAATGTCGTCTCCAAACGTTTGCAAATGGATTCTGAAGTTCTCCACGTCATCGGGTGTCTGATACATTGTAGAGTTCATCTGACGGTACAATCCATGGAGGCTCATCATCGTCTGATTCATCTTGTCTCTCAACATCACATATTCCGGATCCATCTCGTTGCTTGATGGGAATGGAAGGAAGTCTCTAGAATAGTTGACGAGTTCGACAAGTGCCTGATTCAGCCGAGAGTAGATCATTTTGTCTTCGTTCGAGACGACGACTTGGGAGAGGCTATTCTGAAGACGATTTGTGATGCATAACACATTCCACGTCAACATGGTCCATTCTTCGTAAAAGTCTTGTCCACGCTGATGGCTGTTGTTCTGTTTGATTCTGTTGACACGTCCATCGATCTCGGTAAGAAGTTTGCAGATCAAGTTTTTAACCTGAAAATTGGAAACATTTATGATGTACATTTGATAGTTGGAAATTAAGGAAACATAAGGGACAAATTTATGCTAAAACATATCAGATGACTTCATGAGTTATAAAAAGTTATTAGCTTTTCTAAATATAACCAAGTACTTCTCCATACCACAACCGTTTGAACATCACATATTTTTATGAGTTTCTTCCGATGCGTTGAACACTAGGTAGCCTTCATAGATACTGTACCTACACACTACGATCTTACTCTTTCTTATGTCTTCGTCTCCTTGTGTCATACACTCTCTCACCTCCTTCACACTGTGTGCTCTCTGCTCTTTTCATCTACCTCACGACACCGCTTCCAGACGAATCACGTCATCAACAAACACCAAAATGACGCAAAATGCGCACCAACCTTTTGCATTCTTTGCTCCTCACTATCAGGTATTGGCGGATCATAGTGCCGTTGAACAGCATGCCACATGCAAAACAGATCATACAACAGCTTTTGGAACACCTCGTTGGGAACCATATTTGAAAAATTTAAGGCTTTTTGGAGACGATTGATGAAGTCAAGATAGCCAAAGAGATCCTTCCTTGTGAAGTCTACAAAAGACTTATGATACAGAACCCTCAGATGGATTACGGGTTGGGTACTAGAGACACAGTTCCATGCCAAAAATATGAACCTTTTAGCTTTGAGAAACGGGAGTTAGGCTGGCGCCCGCTTTTGACGGGGGCCGTCCGGCAAAAACTCAAATTGATCGAAGGCGATTCGGACTTCACGCAATTCGAGTAACTACCTGAAAATAATGGACTAAGATATGGTAGAGTAAACAGATAAACATAATAGTACAAAGTGAAAAATAAGATACTGTAAGATTAGAAAAAAAAATTGAGAGTCTAAAAAGAAAACAAGACGATACCGTAAACCCTGCAATAAAATTGTCCCTCAACGTTTAACTTCGAGCCAATTTATCCCAATTCCTATCGAAGATATAAAAAAGTTGTCAAATGATAAATTGTTTATCATCATATCAAAAGTGTTTTGTCAGTTGACACATTTTTGATATCTGGCATAGGAATTGAAATAATTGAATCTTGGTAGTGTGGGCGTCCTTCATCACAGGTTTTACGGTAATGAAAGGTAAACGAAGGAAAAATGAAAACAAATATGAAACCATTTGAGCTGATTTTGATATGATGAACTAGATAGCCAGAGAATGATGGTGTATCTTGAAAAATATAAGATAACCCAGAATATAGCAGACAATAAAACAAAAGACAAGGTCATCTGAATACAATGCTACACACAAACGTGGATTTACAGTGTAGATAACAAAAGTGGGCCTGGGGGAAAACGACTCGTTTTATTCACATAAATCATACTTTACCTCCTTCAAGATGAAAAAAATTGTCATCAAGTTTCGGGAAAAGTGATTCCGAGACCAAACTTCGGAGAGGTAATTAACCAAAAAATGTCAATTTAGTATCAAAATTTTAATGATTCGATAAGAGCCTCTAAAATCTAGAAATGTATTGAAATATGAGATGAGATGAATACTGCTAAACTGGATGTTTTGAAAAATAAAATATTTGTTCTCCGTAATTCAACCTTGAGAGACCTACAGTCTATTCATAAAGAAAGAAAAACAACAACGTCATGGGTAAGAGCAGATGAAAGAATATGTTGGGAGAAGAAAAAGGAGAAGGTGTTACGTGGGATGTGTTGCGTGAGACTAGGTGGAGTGAACGGACCATCGATAAAGGAGAGAGACTGTAGAGAAGAAGGAGAGGTGGGTGGAAACTGTAACCTGGGGAAAGATGATGGATTGACAGAACAACAAAAGTGGGGGAGGGACAGAGGCACCCACATCTCTATCTCGATCTGGGAAATAAAGATTCTGGCACACTGCCAACTTTCTTCTTCTCTGTTCAATCAATGAAGATGACGACGGTACGCACACTCGTCAGAATGGAAACAAGATAAGCCAGGAGACAAAGAAAAGAAGAAGAAGAAAAGGAGAGAGATTGAAAACACAGAAATGATATTTGTGAAATCATGGCCACCGATATAAGATAATAAGAAGATGTCCAAATGAAGGGCAAATGTACTAGATAGTGAGAGATAGCCCTGGGCAGCACCTCTAGCTTTGCACCAATTTGGGTTTTGATCGATTCTTATCAGTTAGTGTAGCGATTTTTCGTAGGACGGAGATGGCAACATTTTGTGTTTGTATCGGTGATGAGCCGCGGAAATTTCAAAAAAAAAAAGTGGATACTACAAAAATACAGAGTTCGTTGTTCATTGCAGAATTTAAATTACAGCGTCGATTTTGCAATGAGCGTCCTATAATTGATCACATCACATGTAACTTTAAGTTTTAAAATCATAACAAAAACAAAAACAATTCCTTATAAGGTTCTCAAGTCATGAGCCTAATTTATTCGAAATAATGATAACTACAGTACTCTCCATAAATTTTTAAAAGAATTCAAGCTTTTCCGGTTCCACCATTCCGGATTTTGATTATTACAGTACACCCTAAACAATCTCACTTCTCCTTCATCAGAGCCTGATAAAAAAAATTAGAACCAAATACATCAGATTCAATATTTCGGAAGCACATGTCTTGTAGATGGGCTGTGTAGTTCGAAAAAGCAAAAAGTGACATTGTCGTCTTCATGATTCCTTCTTCTTGTGTATCGGTCACATGATTGATGTTCATGAAAATCAAGAAAAAAAAACTCAATTCGTCTCAACGATTACGATTTTAGATGGTGATTGCAAGGATTTCTGAACTTCTGAAAGTCCTACCGTATACGTTGGAGCCATCAAAACACAATAATATGTTTATGCTACTTTAGATAGAATGTATGTAACAGATAGTCAGTCGGTGTATGTGTATGTGCTGATTACGGTTCAACCGAGACAACACCATCCTCTCCTGTCTCGGTTTCCTGCCTTGCGTACAAGTTGCCATCCGCCTTCTCTGCGTCTCCTCGATTCACCTGATGTTTCTCACGTCTTCTTCAAAACGGCCTCTATCAGTGACCCGTCTCGCTGCTGGCCGGTTTGCGTATTTGACACAAAAAATTGGCATGATAATAATAGAGCGAAGAGCGTGCGGTGGTTGAAAATGAGAAGAAGAATATGAGAGAGGGAATGAATTGTTGAAAACTGCGGCCAATCGTAGTAAATTAGCATTTATTAAATGAAACAGGAGGGAACCACCGATGCTATGCAAATCGTTTTATTCATGAACAGACCCTACTAAGCTTAAAATTCAGGCCACATAGTTCTAGGATAGGAACATAGTTATTCGAATGACTTTCATGTTTTACGATGTTGATCCTATGTTTTTCAAAGAACCAGAAAATTGTACGTTCTGTTTTGGCAGTCATGGATTTGATTTTCCAAGTTCCAGCCAACCTGATCGGAAGTAAATGACTCAGCAAGCTGAAAACATTTGGAGAGCGATTTTTCAACCAACTAGATTGTTGAATCATTCTCTCACATTCATTTTCCCACTTGTTGAATGCTAGAACGTTCTGCTCTTGGAAATTTGATGTTGGGTTACGGTAACCTTCGAACATGCGCTCTATCAATGTTTTTTTGCCGGGAGTTTAACATAACTGTTTGAAACAAATATTTTCCGCCTGATTTTTTCCTTGTTTTTATCCTATTCTCCCGATCTCTTTTATGCATAAGCTGTCCCAGCTTCTTCGGCTGTTTGTCGAATGTTTGCTTCGAATGTGACCTTACTAACAATACCTGCGTCTCAATCAAGTAAACACACTGTCCACTCTTACCTTCTTTTTCCATCACCATCACTTTCTTTTACTCGATCTTATTAGTTATTGAAAATATATTTTAAAGCTCTAAAGCTTTGTAATTCCAGCTTCGCATGGCGAATTCAACAGGAATTACCAGAAGGCGGCAGGGCAATAAGGCGGAAGTAAAACCAGCTTCAACGCCACCACCAAAAGTTGTCGAAAAGAAGAAAAAGGTAATTGGAGCTGCTTTACCGATGGAAAATAAATATCGAATTTAGAAACGATCTAGCGCTGGTCTCGGTTATCTTCCACTGCAAATATTCTTTGGTGTTCTGATTTCTATAGTCGTTGCTGGTCTTCTCACAAACCGCATCATTAATGCTCCAATTAAAGCTGTCGAATTCGAGTTGGTGAACAAGAAGAAACACATTTCTCAACTATACTTTTTCAGCCTCGGTGAGAGAATTCCGCTAGTAGGAGTTCTTGCTGTAAACAGCCGCCTAACTGATGCCGAACTTCTTCTCGAAGATCAAGTTTACGGACCAGAATCTCTCGCTATTGACGAGAAAAACCAAAAACTATACGCAGGTTTCAAAACAGGAATTATTGCTGAAATCAGCTTGGAAGAAGGCAAAGAAAAAATTCTACATGCGGTTCAGTTGGCTCAAGGAAATCATGATTGTGATGGAACCTACAGTAAAATGCATTTATGTGGAAGACCACTCGGGTTGAGGTGAGATAGAAGGGATGTGTTTCTTCAGAATTATTTTCTCTTTCGTGCTGATAAGATAAGATATGCAAATTTAGTACGTCATTAGATCAATAAACCAAAGTGAATAGAGAATACAGAAAGGGGAAACAAATGCTGATTTTTCAGAGTAAGCAACGTCGGTGAGCTGATAATCGCGGATGCCTATCTGGGACTATTCGCCATCAACTGGAAAGAGGAAAAGGTTGTTAAAATACTTGGCGCTGGAGAATTACCAACAAACGACGAGAACGCGCCGCCAATCAAATACTTGAACGACTTGGATTTGCTCCCAGATGGTCGAATTATTTTCTCTGAATCTTCAACGAAATTCGACGATCGTGACTTCATTTTGGATCTTTTCGAGCATCGACCAAACGGACGTCTTCTCATTTACGACCCAAGAAAGAAGAATTTACGAGTATTGAAAGACGGATTATACTTCCCAAACGGAGTTCAGTTGAGCATTGAGAAAGGAGCAGCCAAGAATGCACCATGGAGAGTGTTTTATAGCGAAATGGGAATGACGAGAGTTATGCAGATTTGGGTTCCACAGGATCATTATTCAACTGCTCCAATCAAAACAGCACCTCTTATTGAGAGCCTTCCTGGATATCCCGACAACGTTAGATTAACTAAATCTGGACATCTTCTGATTCCAATCGCATCTCAACGTTCAGAAGAGGATCGATTCCTTGAGCAGAACCCGTCCATTCGTGAATTTATTACGAAGATCTTGAGCAATAAAGCACTTGCCTGGGTGGCGAATTACGTTTCTGATGCTGAAGGACTTGTGCTGAAAGTGAGTGCCGAAACTGGACAAATTATCGAATCTTATCACGATCAAACTGGAAAGGTTGAGTCTATTTCGATTGCCATTGATGATGGAAAAGGACGAATGCTTTTGGGCAGTGATGTGAACTACTATATTGGCCGAGCAAAATTTTAATTGTTTTATTCTTTGTGACTGATGATTTTTCATATACAAGATCTCTTTATTTATGATTCTGACATTGCATCATTCTGCCATGAACATATAAATTTGGAGTTTATTTTACCCGAATAGTTGATTGTACTTGTCTTCCAAATTCTTCCTAGCGTATTCATGCACTGCAATCACTCCATCATCCCATTCAGCCCGTGTCACATGTCGATTCCAAAATATGAAGTTTTCGTTGTGAGTCGTTAGAACACCAACAGATTTCGCCAATATCCCAGTGAAAACATCGTCGAATGGGAACATTTTCAACTGTCGCATTGTATTCTTGAACCGTTCCACTGTAGCTGAAGTGAGAAAGACGGCACCAGCAGAAACATATGGAGGGTATCTGGAATACGGGTACTCGTCTAGCGAGATCTGGAAAAAATAAAGCTGAAAATATATAATGTACGGTTGGGAACATACGCTGTGCTTGTGAAGCTTGAGTCGGAATGGCGATGAATCAAAAACGAATCCTTCGTAGACTAGATCATTTTTACTTTTCGTCTTCAGAAATTTTATCAAGTTTGGAATGTGAACCATGTAGTCATCATCTACTAAAAAGGAAAAATCAGGTAAAACACAACCGCTTGGATTTCCTGCATAGTCCAACGCCGCGAAGAGCTTAAATATTATGAACTTATTGGGTTTCGTATAGTATTAAAACCTTGAAAGTGTTGTTCCTGTATGAATCGATAGCTGATATGATTAGCATGTCTCTGTTTTTCTCTGATCTTCATCGATTTTTTTCATTACTTCTGAGCTTTCCACTCTGCCTACTATGAATACTGACATGACTTGAACTTCATCAACTACTCTATACGATCCCCATGTTCTTCTAACTGATTCCCGCATCTGAAATTACAAAATTTTCGAATGGGTGATGGAGATAGATAAAAACCTGTCTGTTTTTTGAGCTCGATTTTATCAGAATCATTAACTTCAACGCGTCACTGTCCAGCCTGCATATTGGAAACTGCATGAAATGGCTGTCGGTGGACTCTTGATTTGCAAGTCGTGGCCATTCGAACTCGGCGAAGTCTTCCTTCAATTAATCACAAGATTGATAAATTTGTTGTAAAACTGTCAATAAGGTGTTTGAAGCCACAGTGTCAAGTACCGCAATTTCTACACTTTTCAGGCTACGGTAGTTTTCGTTCTGAGACTTGCAGGCAAGAACACCGCCTTTTTCTCACGGCACGTTTTGTAGATAATTGATGGAAACCTATACGAATAGACAAAAACTAAAAAAATAACCTCTCTAGCTTTGTCTAGTAATCCGCATATCCATAGAATAAAAACAGTAGCTCCTAAAAGCAGTGCCTTTTTCAATCTCGTCAGCTCTGAATATTTTCTGAAAACTTCGATACTTTTTGCTTGTATTTGCTTTTTCTGTTCCACACCTTCTAATCCTTCTGATCCATATAATCATGTGTTTTCCTGATTGGCAATTCTCGAAAAGAAAAACGGCGGCTGTTTTCTCTTTTGCGCGTAAGACACCGCGCACTATACGCAAACACTGTTGAACTTTGCATCAAAACTGACGACTCTATGCATTTTTAACTTCTTGGAGATTTTAATTGTTTTTCTCATATTTTCCGCTCTCATGTGTTATTTTTCTAATTTTTACAGTTTAACAAATCAGTATATTATTTTCATTCGTTACTTTATCGAATTTCGTACGCATGTTTCTCGCCATATATTTTGAATCCGACTAGAAACCTCAGAATTTCTGGTCACCACTAGCCCATAAATATATGAAAATTTCAAAACATCGTTTTTTTTTCGATGCGTTCTAGCTTGAGAAACTATCGATTTTTACAGCTCGCCAAACTATGTCTTCTGACGAAAGTGATGTGGCCTCAATCAAAGAAGAAGAAGATACTGTAAGTCGCCATTTAAAATGCTTTTAAAGTTGTTCATATTACAGACTTTGAGTGACGACGACAACTCGGACGTGGAAATCAAAAGTTCTAAGAAGGATCGTAAAAGAAAAATTGCTTCAGACAGCGAGGTAGGCAACATTTACTAGGGAGAATAACATTGTTAGCGTCTCGTTTATAGAAAAGTGGTTCGGAAAACGACGATGACGACGAGGAGAACGACGACGATGATGAAGATGAGAACGTGTCCAGCAAAAAGAAAAACAAGAAACGGAAAAAGAAAGCTCCATCTGGAAGAGATTTCTTGGCTTGGGATGTTGAAGTCGACGATGAAGACGAAGACGATGATAATGACTATGACGACGAAGATGATCCAAGAATGAATGCCATGAACGAAAGAGAAGAAGCAGAACGCGCCATGAAAGAAATGGAAATGAATCAAAGAAATCGAGATCGTTTCAAGTTTCAAAACATGTCTGAAGATGAAGTTCAAAAGTACTTCGAGAATAAATATAAAGCTGACAAGAACAGCGGAGATTATGATGATGAAGATTCAGCCATGGACGATATTTCGAAAAATTCGCATCTTCCATCGACAAAAGATCCCAACTTGTGGATAGTGAAGTGTCGCATGGGTGAAGAGAAACTTGTGGCTATGCATTTGATGCGAAAGTGCCTTGCGGTGGAAAACTCTAATGAGGTAAAACAAATGGTCGTTAGACACTTTCAAATTTTTGATTTTTTTAGCCATTCCAAATCAAGTCAGTCGTCGTCAAAGAGGGTCTCCGGGGCATGATCTATATCGAAGCTTTCAAACAGTCTCATGTCATGTCAGCTATTGAAGGATTTTCTGCTCTGAACCAGTTCAACATTACAATGGTTCCAATCAAAGATATGGTTGATGTTTTGAGAGTTGTTAAGGACATTCCTCAGCTGAAACTAGGTTCATATGTTCGCCTGAAGCGTACTATGTACAAGGACGATCTCGCCGTTGTTGACCTAGTTGATATTGCGCAGAATCGTGTCAACTTGAAGTTGATTCCACGTGTGGACTATCAGCGGCGCCGTGGAGCTATGCGGACAGAAGCCGATAAAACGTATAAACTGAAGAGACGCCCTATGCCAAAACTCTTCGATCAGGATGCCATCAAGGAAGTTGGAGGAGAGATTGTCACTGATGGAGATTTCATTATGTTCGAAGGAAATCATTATCGCCGCGGTTTCCTTTACAAATATTTTCCTATCAATGCGGTTCAAGCTGATGGAGTCAAACCAACACTTGCAGAGCTCGAGAAATTCCAAGAGTCCAGCGACGATCTTAAGAGAGAGTGTTAGTCCATTAGCTAGTTACTTCCAGTTTGATTAATATCTTTTCAGTGGAAACAACTTCGTTGAAGGACACTGAAAATCCATTCGTTCCTGGAGATATTGTTGAAGTGAAGGCTGGAGAGTTGGTAAATCTGCGTGGTAAAGTGATGACGGTGGATGGCACTAAAGTGGTCATGATGCCTGATCAAGAAGATCTGAAAGAGGCTATTACATTAAATGCTTCGGAGCTGAGGAAGTATTTCAAGGAAGGTGATCATGCTAAAGTTATCAGTGGTCGTTATGAGGGACAAACTGGATTAATCGTTCGCGTCAAGGACAGTACCGCTATTGTGTTGGCCGATCTCGGAATGGAAGAGCTCAAAGTACGTGTTAGAGATTTACAGCTGTGCGCTGACGTAACGACCGGAGTGGATTCTCTTGGACAATTCCAATATCGCGATCTCGTACAACTTGATCATACCGGAACTGTTGGAGTGATCATTCGCTTGGAAAAAGAGCATCTTGAAGTTCTCAACATGCACGGAACTGTAAATCGTATCAAACCACAAGCAATCATATCGAAAAAAGATGTCAGGTTTGCAAAAGTTCTCGATAGTCAAAACAATTCTGTGGAGGCGAAGGATATCGTGAGAGTGATCAGTGGCGTCAATTACAAAGAAAATGAATCTGATGATGATCCAGTTGGAGAAGTACTCTATGCCTTCCGTGGAACAGTTTTCATATACGCACGGAAAATTGCGAAAAATGGAGGAGTTTTGGTATGCAAGCCGAAACAACTTCTTCTTCAAGGAGCTAAGAAAACTAGCAATGCACCAATGGTGGCTCGGATGGCTTCACCAAATCCTATGGCATCGCCAAGACACTCCGCTGGTGGAATGACTCCTGGATCGCAAGATGGCATGTCAAGTCGAGGAAGCGTAGGTGGCCAAACACCGAGACAAAACCAGAACCGACATTTTGGAACTGCTAATCAACAAAAAGTGCGACGTGATTTGACTATTATCGGCAAAAATGTTCGTATCACGAAAGGACCGATGAAAGGTCTTTTTGGTATCGTTCGTGACGCTACAGAAGATACAGTTCGTGTCGAGCTTCATACTCAATGCAGAACTATCTCCGTCGATCGTGCTCGTGTGATGGTGGTCGGAGACACCGGAATCACACATACAAGCGGAGGAAGCTCGTTCTACAACACTGCCAAGACTCCAATGCGCGATTCTAGCAAAACCCCGATGTATGGTTCGAAGACCCCAATGTATGGAGCACAAACTCCGATGTATGGTGCTATGACTCCTCACGCCGGAGACCGAACTCCTCATTATAGTGCAATGACTCCGGCTTATGACGGAGGAAGAACTCCAGCATATGGTGATGGAGGGCGTACTCCGGCTTATGGAAGCAAAACTCCAGCTTATGGAGATCATGATGAGCATTCATCTTCGCGAACACCAGCATACGGTAACGAGAGTGGAAGAACTCCTGCATATGGAAATGAAAGTGGAAGAACTCCAGCTTACGGAAGCGATAGCTCGCGAACGCTCGCCTACGGAAAAGAGACGGGACGAACTCCGGCATATGGAAATGAGAGTTCAAAAACTCCAGCTTATGGAAGTGATAGCTCAAGAACGCCAGCATATGGATCCGTGGATAGTGGTAGAACGCCAGCTTATGATCAAGATTCTTCAAGTCATTCATCGAAAACACCAAGCTATGATTCGAGCAAAACTCCAGCCTACGGAAATGACTATGAGACTCGTAAGGAACTTCTTATTTTGCATTTTGAACATTTATCTTTTCAGCAATGAGTCCAACGTATGAACCGGAACCAGCAGACACTTACAACAATGCACCTGCAAGAACTCCAGGATTTGACTCTGGACGAACTCCGGGCTACGAAACTTATGATAGTGGAAGTCCAACTTATGATCCTGAGCCCGCTGCAGGTGCAGAAGATGACATCGGTGATACTTCATCACCGAGATACGATTCTCCTCCACTCTCGTACTCTGCACCGACCCCAGGAGCAATGATCAATCCAGCCACGCCAGGAGCTTACCATGTCAATACTCCGGGACCATTTGTGGCTCCTATGACTCCTGGAAGTGGAGGAGGCTACGATCAGTACGTAGCTCCCTCACCTTATATGGGAGGAGGTTACGACACAAACAACTACAGTAGCGCTGGCGAGGAGAAGATCCGTAAGCGATTACTAGCGCATTTGTGGCAATTTATTCGGGTTTTCAGCTGATCATTTCCTTTCTCAAGGTCATTGGGTAATGGCTAATCTTTACGTTACGATCAAAGAGCATGATCCAAGATACAACGATCGCGAGGCTATAGTTCAGAATGTGGAAAACGGAAGAGTTGAAATCTACGTTCCTGATCTCAAAATCAATCTCGAAGTAGAGTTTGATCAGATTCAGCCAACTAAGCCAGCAGCTGGAGATTATGTAAGTCTTAAATATACTCTGGAATTTTTCAATATTAAATTCAAATAAAATTTATTCAGGCTCGAGTGATTTTCGGAGAAGACGGAGGACATAGTGGTCAAGTCGTTTCCAAGGAAGGATGTGACGCTCTCATTCGATCAATGACGGATGTCCGTGATATGCGAAGTATCAACATCGGAAATTGCTGCAAAATGCACGATGGTGGTTCATAAACTCCCAGTTAATCATTTCTAAATTATTGACTACTGTTCTCTTCCGTATTTCGTTCATTTCCTTTTGTTTCGCAATCGACTTTCTGTCGATTCATTAAGTGGCCCCTCGTTAAATCCGACTTCTATCAGTCACTTATTTTTTATTCGTTCAATTACATGTTTTTAACAAGTATCTTCTTCGAGTTTTACTTCTAATAATGAATACTTTATATCGAGAAGACTCGACGAAAACGAGATCAAAAGACTGATGAGATTTGAAAGAGATCAGGCTATATAATTCAGGCAGAAGGATTATGATTGACGAGATCGAAGTTCTCAACGAGCTGGTTTACTCTTCGCACAATGTCTCGTCCGTCTCTATTGAACACATCGTGGAACTGCCCATCTTCCGATTCTGGCATACTTCCACGTAGACGAATCAAAAATTCTGTTTTTCGGGGCAATGTATAGAGAGCAGCAGATACGGCGGTTCTGATTGGCCATGAATGAAATTGAGAGAGATGTTTGTCGTATGAGCAACGAGCCGGTGTCGATACTTTCAACGATGCGTCATCAGAAGTGAACACTCCATCCAGCATATCTATTACGAATTCCAGTGCTCTAAAAGAGTTTATTAAGTGGGATTTTAAGATATTTCATAAGAAAAATACCTGTTTAGTACCATCAAATGTCCTGTTCCACTTCGGTTTGGCTTCAAATTACGAATAGTTCCATCTGTTGACTCTTTTCTCGCCATCGTTTGGATGGATCTAAAAGACGCATGCATTCTTCGTGCTCAGAATAAGCAAATGGTACCGGTAGGATTCTGGATCAGCGACTCTCATTGCCGCGAGTTTCTCTATTTTGGCTGTAACATCTTTGACAACGAAACCGAATACGGTTCCCCACGACCCCATCACCCTAAAATCGTTCAAATCACGAATTTTCTGAGAAAGGAAACTCACTTGCAGACATGTTCCCAAAACAACAAGTACTGCTCCAGATCGACATTGTCGTTGTTCATCAGTGAATTCTCAATAGTTCTCATGATTTGATAAGTTTCCGGTTCCACATCTTCGGCTTGCGCCATTGCGCTCTGAAAAACTGAAAATAAATGACATGAAATAGGAATAGAGAAAGAGAGAGTTTAAAAAGAAAACAGAGAAAAAAACAGGCAGAAGCTTTGCACTTTTCAAGCAGCCGGAAAGGGGAAAAACACCTTTTTTGTTTTGGTCTGTTTTCAATGCATTTCGGTTTCGATGAGGGTGCAGCAGATCAGATTTTTCAACAAAAAACAACAATTCCCGCCAAGAAATTCTTTTTAAGATTGAAGTTTAACAACAAGACTCTCTCAACACTATATTTGATAAAGTTTCAAAATTTCAAAAAAAAGTTACAAACAGAAATTGAAATTCTCAAGCATTTGTACCAACCAGAAAACTATCAATCAACTTGAATAAAGTACACTATGACAACCTTTTTGGCTCTCGAAAGGTTAAATATGTAGATCAGTTCACTTTTGTTCAAACTATTTATCAATGGCACATGCCATCACCTCATATGCATAACTCTGGAATTTTGAAAACCGGTGCCACCATGAACCCCTTCTTTCAAACAATGACTCATCTCTCTCCGATCGCAGCTGTCCCTTTTTCCCGCCTCTTCGTTTTGTGTCTGACGATCAGGTATCTACGTCTCTCATTCTTCTCTCTCGCTTCGTTTGTTCGTTTCATTTTCACCTTCAGGCCGTTATTCACACAATTCATCATATCTTGTCACTTTTCAGCCATGTACATTCACAATATTCTACTATATTTAACAATCCTATTTCTTTTCGCAGTTGTCAATGCACACCTTCCTTACGGTAGGAAAACATGTTCTTCATCATTTTTAAAATTTTCAAATTTAGGTGGGAAAATCCAGGAGAAGTCATCAATAGAAGAAACAAATTGGGTCGACGAGAAAGAAATTCGAGAACGTCTTTCTTCTATTGCTGCCGAAAAATTCTCACACCACTATCATGAAAAGCAGGTACGTCCTGTTCTATCATAAAATGTTACACATCGTATGACTGTCCTGAAAGTGAATTCAGAATTGTCTACAGTACAATAAAACGTACAAAGTGAAATAGGTTAACCATCTTGGTCGTTGTTAAGTAAAACACTTTGATCAGGTTCAGTCAACCGGGAAACGAAAATTTAGAAAAAATGAATTCGAATTAAAGATCACATTTTTTCTTTTTTGTTTCAAAGTTATTTGTTTGCAGCAGGACCAAAATATGACGAAACCGACAAAAAGCAGATCAGTTACCAGGTCAGCTGTTGAGAAGAGACGTAGAAAAAGAGACGGAGGAATTGTGTCAGGACCAGTTGCCACGGCTCTTGTTACGGGAATGATAGGTGGGTTTCAGAACTGTAGACCTTTAAGTCATAATTTCTCTATATTTTGGCACTCAGCCACTTGGGAAACTTTTGTGAGCACTTGTTCTTTCTTTTATGAGTCATCACTTCAGGAATGACAGCGAAAACAGTCGCCGAGTTGACAAGTTTCAATCCACGTCTATCGGAAGGAGGATGCGAATGGTTTGGAACTGCTCCGCTCTGCAATTTTCCTTGCCCTTCTGATTATGACTACATTCGTGCTAACAATGGAAGATGTTCATCCTGGTGGCTCTCTGGTTTCTGCTCACCTGATCCCAGTTTTGGAAAACCTTGCTCCACGATTTTGGGAGATTACTTCAGCAAACGGTTCTGCTGTAAATCAGATCCCATGGAATGTACATGGTCCGGAAGATGGATGGGAGCTAACACAGCTCATAATATCTACTGTAGATATGATAACATTGGAAAGTGTGGTTCTATCGATTGCTCTATCAATCATTTCAATTTGAAGGTATTTAGATGATTTCAAAATTGAATTCTCAAATTATATTTTTTACAGGCGCAAAACTCATCAGAAATCTTTGGAGATCGCTGCGATCGTTTGGAACTTTTTGGACTCCGTGGAAAAGCAACTTGTGGTTATATTGCATGGTTTAATAAAGAAGGACAAATCGTCAACTCGTGGTACAAAACAAGGTAATCTGAATGGCTCTTCTGCTTCTCCACTTCTTCTCATGACTAATTTCTGTTCATCATTTAAAAATGTTCTGTTTAGTGTTTCTGTATCTTGTTATACCTTTTTGCAGGCGGTGAAAAATCTAAAAACTCAAAACTCAAACCGGATGAAATTCGATTTATACACATCTCAAAATATCGCTTGCCACTTTCTCATTTCCTTTTGTTTTCCACTGTATTATGATAAATAGATTTAATTTTGTGCATGTATTTAACGGGTTCAATTTTTTCAAACTTTGGTGCTGTAAGATATTCAAATAAATTTTTATTGAAACAAAAAATATCGTTATTTAGCAGCAATGCTTACAATTGAAACAAATGGACTACTGATGGAAAGTCGTATATCGTAAATACACATCTTCACATAATTAATCCTGATTACGCAGGATAATCCAGATGAAAATTTCGACATCTTTGACCTAACATTTTTGAGCTGTGCTGTTGAAGATCGAAAAAAAGATTTTTCAGAATAAACCTAACTAGGTTATAACTAGGTTCAATCCGTTTTGTCTGATTTTTTTCGGGTCGATAGAAAATCTCTCTGGCTACGCGGTTACCAAAAATCGTCAAAAGATAAACAGTTTGAACAAAGATATGATAAAATACGTACGAGTGGATTGAGTTTTTTCGTCTTTTTTTCAGCTTTTCCGGCTTTTTCTGCCAAACTAGGGCCTAAATCAAAAAGGCTTAACACTTTTATGCGTACCTTCGATAGCTACGATGTGAAAAAAACAGAACTTGATTTTCTCAAAAACTGAAAAAGCCTTTTAAGTGAAATGTTCGAAATTCCGAGGGTCCATATTTTAACCCTCGCGAGAACCACTTGATGGATTGATTTTTTGATTTTTGGCTCCCCCTAAAGGAAAACCCCTAAATTCTTGTTTCGTTCTTAGATTCTTCCCAGGTACGCTGGTTCATAAGATATTGGTGAGAAACGTCAGAAAAATTGGTGAACATTTGAATAAAATATCGTCAAAAACGAAAAAAAAACTGATATCTAATGGGATCCAAAATTCTAAATACTGATTAAGATAGATCACTGAGTCATCACTGAGCCTACTGCAACTGATTCCACTTGATTCCAACTTTTGGTTGTTACAGGGCCAAAGGCTTTTCAAAGGTTGGAGTTTTGGAAGAACGACAAATTTATTTTGGAATTTACCAATTTTTTGAGTATTCAGATTTTCAGAATTTTAGAATTTTGGATTGTATGATGATTTTCAATTCCTGTAACTCATGAAAATTCAAAATCCTCCAAAACTCAAATTAAAAAAATAAAATTCTCAGAAAATGGGAGGCTTGCAAGATCGGTCTGAAACTATTAATATTGGAAAAAAATTGTCTGAAAATCGTTGTATTGGAACCCGAAGAACTAGCAACTCGGGAGTTCAGAAGTACTAGAGAATGTGAAAAGTGAAGTCGGAAATCGGTGTGTTCCAGTAGATCCTCTGCTACCAGAAAGCCATGGGTACGCTTATCATTGCTACAGTAATCCTAATTCCAAAAAAATCAAAATCTAAGAAACTTGATAAAAAAAGTTATCAGGAAGTGGAAGTTTTGAACTCGTAAGATGGACGTTTGAAGTCAGAAGTCGATGTGTCCAAGTAGATCATTTGCTGCGAGAAAGCTCAGCGTACGCTATCAATTGCTATTTCATTTCCCTTGAAAATTTGATTTCAGTCATTTGGTAAAAGGGGGACGTTCAGTGATAAACACCTAGCCATGAACCCCAAACAATGGCGACCTGAGGCCTTTTAGTACTTTTTTTTACTTCAATTACGTTGATCAGTTTTCTAAAAAAACGAAATAGCAATGAGTAGCGTATTCCGAAGCTTCCTGACAGTGCACAGCATCCAACTCTTTCCAGCATTCAATATCCAATCCTCCTTGCTCATTAGTTGCCGATCCCAGTGATCGTCATCGAGTAGAAACGCCAGTAGTATTCGTAGAATTGATCGAATCCCTTGCCATCCCAGCTGCCCTGGAAGCTTGTTACAAATCGGACTCCTCATCGACTCCTCGGTCCGACTTCTGGTTGCTTTCTTCAGCTTATATAGCCTCTGTAGATCAGATCTATAGATAAGATAAGAAAAGAGTTCATGAAAGTTGTCAGCACGCTGAATTTCTGATCCTTTTTTGTAATTTCCAAAAAAAATAAAATCGAAAATAGAAGATTCACGGCGGATTACTGTAGTTTTTGATTTAGATCAGTGTTTTGAAAACACCAGCCTGTTTGCCGCGCCTCCGGCGCTTCAAACAGCTGGCTGGTGCGCTTTCGGCGCGATTTAATTTTTTTTCGTCGCTTCGCGACTCACTCCTTCTTTCAAGGTCACGTCAAATTTTATTTAATTTTCAAGTTTTTTCAAAAATTTGCGGACAAACCGAGAGAGAAAAAGAGAGACGCAACTTCATTTATTTATTACAAGAAAAGCATTTATTTACCAGCAAGCTGGTGCGCCTTCGGCGCGATTCAATCTATTTTTTCAAATGTTCGTCGCTTCGTTTCTCACTTTTTCTAAATAAAAGGGTCACATAAATATATACGTATTTTTCATTTTTTTTCAACAGTCCACAGACGGACACGAGGACGGACAGACGCCTCTAGCGCTTTATTAATAAAGAAGATAAGGAAGATAAGAATGATGTGAATCTGGATCATCAGCATCATCGGCGTATATTTCTCACTTCAGAACACCTAGAATTTCAGAATTGGAACTATGAGAAATTTCGAAGTTTCGGAACCTCTGATTCTCGACACCTTCGAATCTCAGACCCCCCCAGAATTTCAAAATTTCAGAATTTCCTAATTTCCGAATTCCAGAATTTCAGAGTTCCAGAATTTCAGAACTTCTGGATTTAAAAATTTCTAAATTTCTAAATTCTGAAATTCAGAATTCTTAATTATGGATTACTGTGTTTGCGCAAAATGAGTAGCGCATCCGAAGCTTCCTGACAGTGCACAGCATCCAACTCTTTCCAGCATACAATCCTCCTTCCTCATTAGTTGCCGATCCCAGTGATCGTCGTCGAGTAGAAACGCCGCAACAGCCACCCGCGTTCTAGACGAGAGACATTGAACATCTGCCAAAACGTTGGCAGGGTGTCATGGACCATAATGAACATTAGATTACTTACTGAATTATTGCTAAAGTTGAATAAAGTTTTGTTGAAAAAATCTCAAAAAATACAGATTACTTTTGAGATGATGTAATACATTTCTAAACTACAGTAACCATCAAAAAGGCAAACAGATGGCTGTTTAATAAACGAATTATTCCTAATTTTCGACAATCGGAAAACACAGTAATCCATAATTAAGAATTCTGAAGGTCAGAATTCAGAAATTCAGAAATTTAGAAATTTTTAAATCCAGAAGTTTTGAAATTCTGGAACTCTGAAATTCTGAAATTCGGAAATCAGGAAATTCTGAAATTTCGAAATTCTGAGATTCGAAGGTGTCGAGAATCAGAGGTTCCGAGACTTCGAAATTTCTCATAGTTCCAATTCTGAAATTCTAGGTGTTCTGAAGTGAGAAATATACGCCGATGATGCTGAAGATCCAGATTCACATCATTATTATCTTCCTTATCTTCCTTATTAATAAAACGCTAGAGGCGTCTGTCCGTCCTCGTGTCCGTCTGTGGACTTTTGAAAAAAATTGAAAAAAAATATATATTTACGTGACCCTTTTATTTAGAAAAAGTGAGAAACGAAGCGACGAACATTTGAAAAAATAGATTGAATCGCGCCGAAGGCTCACCAGCTTGCTGGTAAATAAATACTTTTCTTGTAATAAATAAATGAAGTTGCGTCTCTCTTTTTCTCTCTCGGTTTGTCCGCAAATTTTTGAAAAAAACTTGAAAATTAAATAAAATTTGACGTGACCTTGAAAGAAGGAGTGAGTCGCGAAGCGACGAAAAAAAAATCAAATCGCGCCGAAGGCGCACCAGCCAGCTGTTTGAAGCGCCGGAGGCGCGGCAAACAGGCTGGTGTTTTCAAAACACTGATCTAAATCAAAAACTACAGTAATCCGCCGTGAATCTTCTATTTTCGATTTTATTTTTTTTTGGAAATTACAAAAAAGGATCAGAAATTCAGCGTGCTGACAACTTTCATGAACTCTTTTCTTATCTTATTTATAGATCTGATCTACAGGGGCTATATAAGCTGAAGAAAGCAACCAGAAGTCGGACCGAGGAGTCGATGAGGAGTCCGATTCGTAACAAGCTTCCAGGGCAGCTGGGATGGCAAGGGATTCGATCAATTCTACGAATACTACTGGCGTTTCTACTCGATGACGATCACTGGGATCGGCAACTAATGAGCAAGGAGGATTGGATATTGAATGCTGGAAAGAGTTGGATGCTGTGCACTGTCAGGAAGCTTCGGAATACGCTACTCATTGCTATTTCGTTTTTTTAGAAAACTGATCGACGTAATTGAAGTAAAAAAAGTACTAAAAGGCCTCAGGTTGCCATTGTTTGGGGTTCATGGCTAGGTGTTTATCACTGAACGTCCCCCTTTTACCAAATGACTGAAATCAAATTTTCAAGGGAAATGAAATAGCAATTGATAGCGTACGCTGAGCTTTCTCGCAGCAAATGATCTACTTGGACACATCGACTTCTGGCTTCAAACGTCCATCTTACGAGTTCAAAACTTTTCTTACAGAGCTTTCACTTCCTGATAACTTTTCACATATATTTTTTATTTTTTTAAATCGAATTCGTGTCTTATCGAATTTCATTGGATTTAGATGTTTTGGTATTGCAAAAACTGTTTATATAAGCGCCAACACAAATTTCTGGAACATCTATTTCAGAACCATATAAATCTCCAATCCCTCTCTCTCTCTCTCCTCCTGCTGCTCTAGTCGAGATAAGGCCTTATTAGAACGGATGGGGACATTTTATCAGTTGACCACTTTTTGGGGGCTTCTATTAGAGTGTCTACGGTAATTCAACA